TATGTGGAGTCTGTGTTCCTGGGCCTAAGTCTTCAAACTTGGCTCAGAATAAATCCAGCCATGTGTAGTGACTCACATAGGTAATCCCAGCACTTTAGGAGGCCAAGGTGGGAGGATGTCTTAAGGCCAGGGCTTTGACACCAGCCTGGTCAACCTAACAAGACCCTGGCTCTACAAAAGAAAAATTTAAAAATTAGCCAGACTTGGTGGTATGTACCTGTAGTCCCAATTTCTGGGAAGGCTGAGGCAGGAGAATTGCTTGAGCCCAGGAGGTTGAAGCTGCAGTGAGTTAGGATCGCACCACTGCACACTCCAGCTTGGGCAACAGAGTGAAAGCACCTCAAAAAGATAGATAGATAGATAGATAGATAGATAGATAGATAGATAGATAGATAGATAGATAGATAGATAGATAGAAAGAAGAAACCCAGCCATGGTTCTCTGGTTCCGATGCCTGTTATTTCACTTTTTGGTTGACAGATGCGTAGGGCAAGGCATGTGAGAAGCAGCTTGGAGTTCAGTGCCCTCCCCTACTGGCACCTCTGCGTGTTTAGCTATCCCCCAAGTATCCCAAACCCAGTCTTTTGGGTTTTTATGGAGGCTTCATTACATGGGCATGACTGATTAAACTGCTGGCCATGGGTGATCAATGTAACCTTCAGCCCCTTTCCCCTCCCTGGAGGCTGGGGGGTGAGGCTGGAAGTCCCAGGCCTCTAGTCCTGCCTTGGTCTTTCTGGTGAGCAGCCCCATCCTGGAGCTACCTGGGGGCTGCCCGCCTTCACCCACCTCTTTAGCATAAGAAAGACACCAGTGTGGCGATTCCAAGGATTTTAGGAGTTGTGGGCCAGGAAGCCCGGATAAAAACCAAATATACATTTCACAATGTCACAGATAGCTTTAATTCATCCTGAAGAGCAGGAAACCCCCGTCATCAGCTCTGTTTTTCATCTTCCTCCCTTAGCACTGTTGGATCGTGCTGATACTTCTGGGGACTGAGGATCCTTTGTCAGAAATGAAATAGCTCATATTTTATGTGGGACCTTGCTCTTAGAGGGCTACTGTGTATAGATAACAAGCATCTTTGATCCCATTTTTAAATTTTTATTTATTTATATTTGATTTTCTTTTTTTTTTTTTTTTTTTTTTAGATAGTCTCACTCTGTCACCCAGGCTGGAGTGCAGTGGCTTGATCTCGGCTCACTGAAACCTCTACCTCCCAGGTTTAAGTAATTCTCCTGCCTCAGCCTCCTGTGTAGCTGGGATTAGAGGCACCCACCACCACGCCTGGCTAATTTTTATATTTTTAGTAGAGATGGGGTTTCACCATGTTGGCCAAGCTGGTCTCGAACTACTGACCTCAGGTGATCCACCCACCTCGTCCTCCCAAAGTGCTGGGATTACAGGCATGAGCCACTATAACCAGCCTGTATTTAATTTTTATTTATTTAAAAAAAAATTGTTTAGGGATGGGGTCTCACTGTGTTGCCCAGGCTGGACTTGAACTCCCGGGCTCAAGCGATCCTCCCACCTCAGCCTCCCTAGTAGCTGGGATTGCAGATAATGACCTTCAAGCCCGACTTCATGCCAGTTTTTTAAATGCAGAAGACTTTTAACATAGAAAAGTTAAGAAAACAGAGATTGCCGTGCCGCTCATGAACTAGCACTGAAATGCTTTCATTTAATACTCGTCTGTTGAGTAATCTGCTGAGATTATAGGCGCAAACCTCCATGCGCATCAAGTTCCAGTATTTCTAATCCTAATTTCAAGCCTTGTAAAGCTACAGTAATCAAGACAATATGGTGTTACTGTTGTTAAAAGAAAAACTTTAGAGAAACTAAATTTAACAGAGTTTAATTGAGCAAGAGTGATTGAAGAATTGGGCAGCCCCCAGGACTGAAATAGGTTCAGAGCAACTCTAGGGCTGCACCGTGGTCAGATTTATGGACAGAAAAAGGGAGGTGAGGTACAGAAACAGCTGGATGGGTGAAGATAGGCCTTTGCCTCACTGAACTTGGTTTGCACTGTTGGCCGCCTGTGATTGGCTAAACTCAGCCGCTGGGACCCCCCTTGGTACAGGAGTCGGTTACAGTCTGTCACACGTCCAGTTAGGTGACAGTTCACTGTGTATGGAGAAACCTTTAGGCTGAACTTCAAATATGTAAGGAAGCAGTTTAGCAATTTAACAGCGCAAAGACAGACAAATGGATTGCTGGAACAGAATAGTGCCCAGAAATAGACCCACACATTTACAATCAATAGATTTTCCGTAAAGGTGCCAAGACAGTTCAGTGGGGGAAAGAATAATCTTTTAAACAATCGACAACTGAACAATTGGATATCCATATGCAAAATAAATAAATACATAAAATGAACGCCAACTCTTATTTTCTACCATTTTCAAAGATTTGCTTGAAGTGGACCATCTAAGTGTAAGAACTAAAACTGTAAAGCTTCTAGATGAACATGTAGGAGAAAATCTTAGTGACCTTGGGATTCTTAAATCTGACACAAAAAGCACAAACTGTAACAGGAAAAAATGAATAAATTTGATTTTACCAACATTTGAAACTTTTAATCTTCAAAAGATACTGTTATAAAAATGGAAAGGCAAGCCATAGACTAGGAGGAAATATTTGCAAAATGTATATGTCTGGCAAGACTTGTATCGAGCATTTTTTTTTTTTTTTTTTTGAGACAGGGTCTCGCTCTGAAGCACAGGCTGGAGGGCAGTAGTGCAGTCTTGGCTCACTGCAGCCTCTGCTTCCCAGACTCAAGCGATCTTCCCACCTCTGCCTCCCAAGTAGCTGGGGCTACAGGTGCTCACCACCACACCTGGCTACTTTTTGTATTTTTAGTAGAGATGGGGTTTCGCTGCATTGCCTAGGCTAGTCTTGAACTCCTGAGCTCAAGCTATCTGACTCAGCCTCCCAAAGTGCTGGGATTACAGGCATGAGCCACCATGCCTGGCCTAGAATTGTTTTTAAACCCTTGTACTTGATAATATGAAGACAGCCCCAGCTGGGCATGGTGGTTTGTGCCTATGATCTCAACACTTTGGGAGGCTGACGCAGATCGCTTGAGCTCAGGAGTTCGAGACCAGCCTGGCCAATGTGGTGAAACCCCATCTCTATTAAAAATACAAAAATTAGCTGGGCATTGTGGCCCATGCCTGTAATCTCAGTTACTTAGGAGGCTGAGGCACAAGAATCTCTTGAACCCCGGAGGCGGAGGTTGCAGTGAGCCAAGACGGCACCATTGCACTCCAGCCCGGGCGACAGAGCAAGACTCTGTCTCAAAAAAAATTTTTTAAAGAAAAAAATTTTTTTTTTGAGACAGAGTCTTGCTCTGTCGCCCGGGCTGGAGTGCAGTGGCCGGATCTCAACTCACTGCAAGCTCCGCCTCCCAGGTTTACGCCATTCTCCTGCCTCAGCCTCCCGAGTAGCTGGATTACAGGTGCCTGCCACCTTGCCCGGCTAATTTTTTGTATTTTTAGTAGAGACGGGGTTTCACCATGTTGGCCAGGCTGGTCTTGAACTCCTGATCTCGTGATCCGCCTGCCTCAGCCTCCAAAGTGCCGGGATTACAGTCATGTGGCGTGATCTTGGCTCACTGCAACCTCTACCTCCTGGGTTCAAGGGATTCTCCTGGCTCAGCCTTCCAAGTAACTAGGACTACAAGTGCCTGCCACCATGCTTGGCTAATTTTTGTATCTTAGTAGAGACAAGGTTTCACTATGTAGGTTAAGCTGGTCTCGAACTTCTGACCTCAAATGATCCACCCACCTCGGCCTCCCAAAGTGCTGGGATTACAGGTGTGAGCCACCACACCTGGCCAGGACCACCTTAGAACAGCCTGGCAGCTTCTGAAAAAGTTCATTTTTTTACAGTCATTTCACTTCTGAGTATTTACAGGTCTAGGAGACATGAAAGCATATGTTCACACAATGTGTGTGCACAGATGTTCGTAGCAACTTTATTTGTAAGAGCCAATTTATACTATATGATTCCACTTACATAAAATTCTAGAAAGATGCAAACTAATCTATGTTTCCCTGGCAACCGGAGTAGGGTAGAAAGACGGGGAAGGGATTGAGAGGCACCAGGAAACTTTGGGGTGGTGGATATGTTCGTTATCTTGATTCTGGTGTCAGTGTCACTGGCGTATACAGCTGTCAGAGCTCACCAAATTATGTCCTTTAAACATGTGCTTTTCATTATATGTCAGTTATACCCCAGTAAAGCTTAAAAACAGTTTTATAGAAAAGGAAATGTAAGCATGGCTTAGCTTTGAGTAGCACAAATAGTCAAATAACGTAAATATGGAATTTTAAAATCAAAATATAATTATATTGGGGCAATGGAAAATATGTGCAATGGTGGAGCAGGGGGGCGGTTAGAAGAAAATCCTCATCTTCCACAGTGGGAATTCAGTAGATAAAATCTAAGACTGAAAAAATTCAGAAGGATCAACATAGGCATATTAGGTTGCAGTGAGCCGAGATCACACTACTGCACTCCAGCCTGGGCAACAAGAACAAAACTCCATCTCAAAAAAAAAAATATATATATATATATAAAATCAGAGCCTCCAAGTCACACCTCAAGTCTGTCCAGCTGTGAGGGGGCTCCGTGCCCATCCCCAGGACCAAACCGGAACAGGTGCTCAGATGAGAGGGCTGGGGGCAGTCCTCCATAAGATAGTGTGCCCAGGAAAAAGTCTTCACATTTCTAAGTGGAACCTTTTAAGAGCACCAGGCAGCTTTTGCTTTGCACAGCTCCAGTAGTTAGTCTCTTGGGGATCCGAAGATTGGAACTTAGATGCTTAAAGCTTGAATTGAAGGATGCCCGCACTCTTTGTATTTCTCTAATGAGAGCCCCACATGAAGGATAGTTAAGAAAAACGTCATGCTTCAAAGATAACCTGCATTGTTTCCTCCAAGCCGTGTGAGAAACATAGACCTGGTGACCTATTAAGTCTCTTTCTCTTCTTCCTTTTCCAGGTGGTCACTTTTTTCATCGAAACTCCTTGTCCCCTCGGAGTCTGGTGTATGAAAGCGAATTCTCCACAATCGAACCTTCTTTGGACATGTATGATGAGAACAAAACCTGAATTTTAAACAGGGGCTCTTGGGGTCACTGCTTTTGTGATTTGATTTCTGATCACCTTTCTTATTTTGTATTCTCCTGTCAGCATCCGTTTTGGAAGAATGGCAGCACTTTCCAAGCACAGGTTGGGGTTCAGGGTTAATTTGCAAAGTTCCCCAAGGTGAGGCATTGAGGACGGTAGTATTGCCCAGGTGAGCCTTGTGGTATTGAAAACCCGCCCAAGCTGATCATTGAAGGTGGGCGCCCAGCAAGCCTGGCTGTTTGCAGAGAAGAGGCTGGGCCCAGGATTAACGTTGCATTGGAGACGCATCTCTGAACACTCACATGCTGTTCTGTGCCAGGGAAGCTGGGGTTTTTAACATCCTTTTGTGGTCCCTGCTTACAACGCGTACCTCCCTGTGGGAGAAGCTTCCTACCCGTGTGGAGTGCAGGTGCTGCTCCCTGACTGGCTCTGGATGCTCCCCTCTCGCTTATTCTACTTCCTGCTGAAGGGCCTCTTCTAAAGGGGGTTGAGAGAAGGCCTTGCCTTTGTATCTCCTCTGAGACTGACCACCCACTTCCTGCCAGGGCAGGGCTATGGGAGACGCAGGCCGTGGGGCCGGGTCTGTGTGCGGGGCCAGGCAGCCATCTGCATTGCCATTTTCCAGCCTCCATGTCGAGCATGACGTAAAGTGACAAGTGTTTATGTCAGCACAGAAACACTGAAGGCCCTTCCATCCTGCAGCCTGTGGACATTTCTACTCGGCCACCCCTGAGTAGAGGGAGTGTGTGTATAGGGAGGTGGCACCCAGGAGCCCAGCCCAGCAGTGTCTCTGGGCACAGTGATTTCAGGGGGGGTGGCCAGCAGTTGTGAAAAACAGAATGATCTGGAATGTCTCATTGGGAAGACCAAACCCCCTTCTTGCTGCAGGTGCCAGATAAGCTCCCACCTTCAGTGTCCACTGTGCAGCCCAGTCCCCTCCACCAGTCCCAGCATAGCATGAAAAGGCACAGGAGCACCAGCTGCCGGGCTTACTGGACAGGGTGCAGCAGCCCGCATCCCAGGCCAGCATCCGAGGCATCAGGGACATGCAGGATCTTCCCACACACCTGGGATGACATCGAATTAACATGATGAGAAAATTGCATCTTGCGAGGAATCCCAGTCCAGAACCACCACGGGCAAATTTGTAAAACGAATCTGCACACCCTCTTTGCAAAAGGACACACCTGAGTTGAGTCTGCCTGTCCTCACTGGTATGAGCTGCGTGGGGGCGGGAGGCGCACAGAGCCTGGCTGTGAGAAGAGGAACCTCAGTCTGCACATCCCTAGGGTCAGATCTGATGGCAAACCAAGCAGATGCGTGAATCCCCCGCCCTGTTCTCACTGACTGTGGAACATGAATTTGAAGTGGACACTTGCCATTTTTCCACGTGCAGCTTCTCCCAAAGTGTCTTTTCTCGTGACGTGTCAGTAACATGCCTCAGACACAGGTGTGCCTGAAAGAAACCTGCAGAGCCCCGGATGGGGACAGCCTTCAGGAGCGTTGTCAGAGAGCGAGCAGTGGCATTTCATTTTCGCTCGTTTGAGACTAGAATGGTGCAGATTTTAAAGGTCTTGGCGGCTTTTGTGTTTTATCTTTTACCAAGGGCTTTGGGTTTTTTTTTTTTTTTTATTTACGATAGTCTTTGTACTATAAAAGTATTTTCAATGAGCAGCTTCAATATAGCATCGTTCAAAAAAACAGGTTTCCCCATTGGGCTCTCAGAGACAGGATGAGTCTACAGGAGGCTAGAACCCATTTGCTGGAGGTTCCAGACACGCGCCTGCATTTATGTGTGTTTGGCCCACCTGAGAGATCGGAGAGCTCAGTTCTGATTGTTGCCATGTTGTCTTTACCACCTCCTTGTCTTCCCAAACCAAAACTCAGACCCCAATGTAGCTTTTTCTCCTGATTTCAGGTCCCACCAAGGTGTACACATTAAATTCCACTCAAGACAGTTTCTTTACTGAAAAGGTATGAAATTACTTGAGAAGAAATAAAAAGTTCAGGCCCCTAGAATCTGTCTATTAATATAACATGTGAATTTCTGGGAAATCTGGGGCACACATTCGCTGTAGAATAACCACGGAGGCATTCCTTGCAGGGGAGCATCCTCAGAACCGTGCTATGGACCCTAGCTCGACACCCTTTTCTGGAAAATCGGGGTCACTCTCTGGCTCAGCTACAGAATGGCCTGTCTTTGTCAGGAGGGACACTAACTTCTCATTAAGGTCATGCTCTTCAGGAATAGAGGAAAATTTGGTTTTTGGTTTCCGGGTTTTTATTTTTATTTTTGTTTTTGTTCTGAGACAGGGTCTCTGGCTCTGCCCCCCAGGCTGGAGTACAGTGACGCAACTTCGGCTCACTGCAGCCTCCACCTCCTGGGCTCGAGTGATCCTCCCACCTCAGCCCACCGATTAGCTGGGACCACAGGCACGCGCCACCACAGCCAGCTAAGTTTTGTGTTTTCTGTAGAGATGTGAGACTTCACCATGTTGCCCAGGCTGTCTTGAATTCCTGGGCTCAAGCAATCCGCCCCCACCTCGGCCTCCCAAAGTTCCAGGATTCCAGTTGTAAGTCACCATGCCCGGCCAAGAATGGCTTTTCTTTTTTAATCCCAAATAACAGCCTCTTCACTAGCTGCTATGCTGGGGGAAATCCCTGCTAAGTCGGGACCCTGGCAGGAAGCGGTCGGGGCTGCTTGTCCGGCGAGCACTGTGAGGTCACACATCGCCACATGGGCAGCGCTGCCCTGAGGCACCTGGGGAGCAGCGTTCTACCTGCTGCGGGTGTGAGGGGGTGGAGAGAGTGAGTGTCTCAGTTCTCGCAAGTCTTGCCACCAGCAGTGGTTATTAGGAAATGTATGATAACCTCAGTCATTGTTGAGGGGGAACTATTTGAAGTAAGGAAGAGGCTGAGGAGTCAGCTATTTACACCACACACCCACCCCCCTGCCTCCAGTGGACTGCTGTGAGCTGGGCCTGTGCCAGGTGAGCAGAACCATGGGCATGTCTGGCAGGATGAGCAAGTCTAGGGCCAGGGCAGCCATCAGCATCCTCTGGGAGTTGGTTGTGACTATTGAAATGCAAATGCTTAAGCTTTGGTGATTTTTTGTTTGTTTGTTTGTTTTTGAGATGGAGTCTCGCTCTGTCGCCCAGGCTGGAGCACAGTGGCTGGATCTCGGCTCACTGCAAGCTCCGCCTCCCGGGTTCACACCATTTTCCTGCCTCAGCCTCCCGAGTAGCTGGGACCACAGGCGCCGCCACCTCGCCCGGCTAATTTTTTGTGTTTTTAGTAGAGACGGGGTTTCACCGTGTTAGCCAGGATGGTCTCGATCTCCTGACCTCGTGATCCGCCCGTCTCGGCCTCCCAAAGAGCTGGGATTACAGGTGTGAGCCACCGCGCTTGGCCAAGCTTTGGTGACTTTTAACATCCTAAGGGAGGAGCTGCCCATAGTAGCCCTCCTTTCCTGTTATTCCAGGGGGACGGGAGGCCAGACAGCCAGGGCTTCCAGCGCAGGAGGTGGAGCTCAGCAGCCAGTTGTGGTGGTGAGCATGTCTGCCCAGGGCTGCCTGCTCTGCCCTCCTCTTGGGAAGACAAGCTCTGCCTCCAGCTAAAAACTCCTCACAATCCTGATGAGCCTTGCTTTTGCAGATAGGCCCCATCTCCCAGCTCCCCTGGTGGTCCTCAGGCCTGGCTGAGAAGCACATCCACAAGGCACTGTCTTGAGCACTGGTCTGGCACCTGCCAGCCTCCGTGATGTGGCAGCAGCCCCAGCTGCCAGTGAGTCTGATGATATTTGGAAAAGTATTTTTTAAAATGGAAAAGTATTTTTTAAAATGAGATTACTGAATTTTACAAACTTGACATTTTCTATTGGCTTTAGAAGCTCTTCTCATGTTTTTATTCCCCTCACATCCAATCCATTCATTGAGCTACATGCTAAATCAAATTGGTTTTTTTATATTTTTATTTTTTTAGAGACAGGATCTTGCTCCGTCGCCCAGGCAGGAGTGCAGTGGCACAATCATGGCTCGCTGCAGCCTTGACCTCCTGGGCTCAAGTGATCCTCTCACCTCAGCCTCCCCAGTAGCTGGGACCACAGGCTCATGCCACCCACGCCTGGCTGAAGCTAGTTTTAACTGAAGAAAAATCAAAGTGTTCTCTTGCTGTTAACCTTTATTATTGAGGCATTGGCTGTGCTGTAGGAAAACAAGGAGGTGACGTTAATGTCAGTGGTTGACATTAACCGCTGGCAAGTGGCAATGCGGTTCCTTGACAAGTGGTTGCTGCTCTTAAATGTCAGGAAACAAAAACACTGATTTTAGAGATGTAGAATGTAGAAAGAAAAGAGTGGGGTTCTACAGTTAATATCATCAGCAGACTTTTATTAAGCTTTCAGTCTGTGCAAACACATATACTTGAAGTTGGGGTGAATCCGTGACCATTAAAATTTTGGCTGTTCTAGACAATGGGCACATTATCAACCAACTGGGCTGTGAGAGCAAATGATAAGAGGGTGAATCTGGATGAGGAGGGACTTCCAGGGCACAGGCGAAGGAGAGGCGTTGCAGCCATAGACAGGCCCAAGCGAACAGTCAAGAGAAGGCAAGGACAGTGGCCAGGAGGCAAGGACAGCACTTCCTGGGCAGGGACCGCTTGCCAGGGGGACCAGACTCCTGTCTCTGGAAAGAAAAGGAGCCGCACTGGGGGTCAGGGAGGCTGGGCACGGCCCCGGCCTGGGATGCCAGTCCTGCCTGGGGCCCAAGGCAAAGGGGAGGCATTCACAGACCCCACCCCAGGCTCTGACACCAAGTGGAAGAGGAAGGAGATTGAGGCAGAAACCTGGGCTTCCAGGCCTGGTGCCCGGGTGGGTGTCGATGGGACCCAGGGAGAGTCCTGTGGGGATACTTCAGGTCTGGGCTGGCAGGGGCTCTGGAAGGAGGCATGGAGGTGCGAACCTGGTGGCCAGTGGAGGTGCAGTGGGGGTGAGGTGGCCAGGGTGCAGACCCCTGCATCAGACCGCCTGCAAAGCTGTGTTTATTTATTTATTTATTTATTTATTTATTTTGAGTCAGGGTGTCACTCTGTCATCCAGACTGGAGTGTGGTGGCGCAATCTCAGCTCACTGCAAGCTCCATCTCCCAGGCTCAAGTGATTCTCCTGCCTCAGCCTCCTGAGTAGCTGGGTTTACAGGTGCATGCCACCACACCCAGCTAATTTTTTGTATTTTTAGTAGAAACGGGGTTTCACCATGTTGGCCAGGCTAGTCTCAAACTCCTGACCTCAAATGGTCCGCCCGCCTCGGCCTCACAGAGGCTGGAATTACAGGTGCGAGCCACTGCACCGGCCTGTTTCTGAATTTTTTTAGAGACAAGATCTCACTCTGCTGCCCAGGCTGGAGTGCAGTGGTGTAATCTCGGCTCACTGCAGCCTCGACCTCCCGCGCTAAAGCGATTCTCCCCCCTCTGCCTCCCGAGTAACTGGGACTACAGGCGCGTGCCACCACACCCAGCTAAGTTTTAAAAAAAGATTTTTAGAGACGGAGCTTCTCCATGTTGCCCGGGCTAGCCTCAAACTCCTGGGCTCCAGTGACCCTCCTGCCTTAGCGTCTCAGAGTGCTGGGATTACAGGCGTGAGCCACCACGCCCGGTCAGAAGCTGTGTTTTAAGTGGACGTGCCATCTTGTCCTGCTGAAGTATCTCCATGTAATCACAATATCTATGGCACCCAAATCTCCTCCTTCTTTCTCCCTCCCCAACACACCCCCACAGGTATGCACACACTGACATGCGCTGGAGGCAGAATCTCCCAAGGGGGGCTGGTCAGGAGAGGTGTCCCTGATTTCAGATGGAGGTGGAAGCCAGAGTGGGGCTGGACCCGCCCAGTGACATGAGGATGGGGCTTGGGATAAAGCCCTGGGGACACTGACATTTAAAGTGTGGACAGAAGGCGCTACTGAAGGCAATGGATGTAGAAAAGCAATTGAGTACGATTTCCGTCTTCAGAACGGCTGTCCAGCCAGCTCTCACTTCCTGTCCTGTGTTCAGTGCCACCCGGAGGCAGAGTTTAATGTGACTAAAGTCAACATTGGCCACATTGTCAGTGAGTGTGGGGAGATGAGTAAGGGCTCCTCGCAGGGCGATACCCACAGCTGAAAATAGCGCCTTCCCCTCCCAGGTCTGGTGAGAGCAGTTGTTACATATGAAGGGCGTGGAGTCTGGTCTTGTATTTTGGCCTTGTTGGTAAAGCATTCCAAAGCTTCGACACACCCTCCTTTTAACCCATTAGGAAAGGCTGTTGATTGTAATCTTCACGTGGTGCCCTGGGCTATGGTGAAGAGCCTTGCAGAAGAACTGGGAGAAGCCCTACATGGATTTGAAGTATTGTAGCATCAGAAAATCACACTGGAAGAAGGCAGGTGGGGACAAGGTGCCTGTGTCTGCTCCTTGGAATTCCTTTCCTTATTGTCCGAGGCAAGTACAGGGAAAGCAAAGCAAAGCAAATCTGCATCTAGGAGGAACGTTCCCTTGTGAGGCATGGGACTGGCTCCCCTGTGTCTCATGGGGGCTCTGAGTTTCAAGGTCACACTGGCCTCCTGAGGCCTGGCTGAGGCGGCTGGGTTGGGAGTCAGGAGACCCCCAGTAGCCATGAAGCTCCTCTGGGACATTGCTAAAGGTCCTCTTTCTTGTGGGTGTCCTGGAAGATCCCAACAAACTGCACTTTGAAGAAGAGAGGCTGAGAGGGCCTCCAGCCGCCTGCGTTCTCCACAGCTGTGGCCCCACAGCCTGCAGTGACCGTGGAGGGCAGGCGCCATCCGCCTCGGCTGCTGAGTCTTGGCTCCTGTGGTCCCACAAAGACCCTGTGGGGGCCACCCAGTTGTCACCTGGACTCATCTTGGGTTTTCCTTCCCTTTCCACCCTAAGCTCAAGGTATTTTTTTCCTGTTTTTTTTTCACTCTAACTTGGGGAAGAAGGAAGATCCTTTATGGGGGGAAAAAAAAAACAAAAACAAACTTTGAACGTCCTGCAACTTGAGTTTTAAGCTTTCAGAAATATTCAGTGCTTCTGGCCCGCTCAGACCTCTGCCTGGGCTGCGGAGTTCCTCCTGTTGACTCCTTCTCCCTGTGCACACACCACAAAAGCTCTCGGTGGCCCAGCCACCCCTGAAAGCAGTGCTGGTAGCCAGATGCCGCCCAGGTCCCCTCCCGAGCCGAGGGTGGCACCCCGCCCAGCGCACATGCATTCTCCTGTGGGAACTCAGGGGCATGTGGTGAGCAGGCTCCTGTCAGTTGAGGCGGGGGCTCCTGGCCCATCTTTGCTCTCCTCTCAGGCTGCCCAGCTCCCGGCGGCACATGGTGGCCTGGCAAGGCTGACTTGGCCTCCTCAGTTCTCCACCCATCCACAGATCGTCGCCTTCCCTAGCCACCTCTCTATGGCCACCAACATCTGCGGAGCATCACAGACAGTGGTTCTGAGCTGGGGTTTACAAATTTAACCCAACACAGAGTGAATTCAAATTTGCTTTTGGAACTCCCTTTATCTCCAATTAAGTGCAAGTATATTTACACTATGTGATATTTAAAGGACTTCTCCAATGACTGGGAGGTACTGAACCAAGATGTTTGTAAAGAAACAGTGGGGTGAGGTGGTTAGTAGAGTATAACGTCCTGGCCATTTCTTTTCCTTCAGGTGAGTAAGCGCTCCTTCAGCAGAAAGGCTGCAGGTTGCTGGCTGTGCTCTGTGGACTGGGCCAGTAGGTGTGGCCCAGGTCCAGGTCCTGGCACCTTTGCTGGGTGCCCAGCCTGAGACGACACGTGCCATCCTGGAGAGAAGCAGAGAGGGTGCTGTCTCCGGGCGTTCCTCAGACAGCCTGGGCCTGGCTCGCTGAGCCAGCTGGAGGAGGGGATCTCCTGACTGGGGCTTGGGGCCAGATCTACTGCAGAGAGGCAATAACTCTGTCTAAAGAGAAAACTTGTCCAGTGTGATTACAAAAACAGGAAAAGGCTCCAAGCTAGGAAGTGATATTTGAGGTGTGGAGAACATTCTCACCTGATGGAAGCATCCTGCTCCTGGACAGGAGAAGCTGGTGCAAGCCCGAGGTCACGTGTGTCTCAGTTGTTTTGGACCCTCTGTAGCTTTTACACTCATAAAATATTACAGTTGCCCCTTTCATATTTGGGTCATTCAAAGAGCCCACCTCACTCCAGGCTCCTGCTCACTATGCACAGCATCTCAGAAGATGGCGCACAAAACTCTTTTTCTAACTGTAACACAGGTAATATGGGGTGGGGAGGCTTGGGATATACCTAAACGTGGCACATGACTTGTATTCCACCTTGAGGGATGAAAAGGAAACTATGCACTTGAATGTTAATTAAAATTTTAATTTAATTCATTGGATAGCTTGTGCCAGAAAGAACAGTCAATATTCAAGAAGCAACACTGGTGATTAGCTCAGTTTGGGCCTCCCTGTACGGGGAGTTTCCTTGTCTGGAACGCAAACACCTACAAGTAGAGTGTGAGCTGGTTCTTGACAATCAGATCTCATCAGCCCTTTGAAACGTTCTGGGCAGCGCAGCTCCTCGGTCTGCATGGTTGGTGTAAGTATAATCAAGTAGTGAAATTGTATGGTATACACCTACATGCCAACAGTGTACACCTGTATGTGCAGAATTTGCTAATATAACCATTTCAATAAAAACCGACTGAAAAAGCTGATTTGGCCACATGGAGTATTGTTGGTGGTAACGCGTATCGCCGAGGACTCTCTTGGTTACAAATGACAGAAAACCCAACCAAAACTGGCTAACACAAAAGGGGAATGTAATGGCTCCCAAAAGCCAAAATGCCCAGGGGTGCCTGTGTCAGGCTTGGTGTGATTTGACCCTCAAATGCTGACACCAAGACACAGGCCAACTTTGCTTCCTCCTTGGGAACCCAATTCCCAGGCTCAGCGTGGCAGTAGCCCCAGCAGCACAAGAGCTGCTCCACTTCCCCAGGAGGTGGCCCAGGTCAGAACGGTGTTTCCCTGGCCCAGCTGTCTTGGTTGGAGGCACGTGGCCATCACCAGCCAGCCCCTGTGGTCACAGACAGAATGCACTGATGGCCTCAGCTGGCGTGGGCTCCACGTCCACAGCCCAGGAGTCCATGCATCTTCACCTGACAGACCGGAGCTGAATGTTCTAAGGCCCGGTTCCCACTGCAGAATCATGAACGACACTGCACAGACAGGAGAAGTGAATGCTGGGGGCAAAGGCAGCATGTGTCTGACACGCGTGGAAAAGAGCTGGAGCCAGAACAGTCTGGACAACAGTGCTGCCTTGCCACCCATGCAATAGTATGAACTGACATCATCTCATCGTTCTGGATTTCAGCTTTATCATCTGTAAAACAGGGATCATAAAATACCTACCTCATAGGGTTGATGTGTGGGGATTATACTTAATTTAAGAAGTAGACTTAATGTCATATATCCAGTAACAGTCTAGTATCCAGAATATATAAAGAACACTTACAACTCAACAATAAAAATACAACCCAATTTAAAAACAGGCAAAGGGGCCGAGCACAGTGGCTCACACCTGTAATCTCAGCACTTTGGGAGGCCGAGGTGGGCAGATCACTTGAGATCAGGAGTTCGAGACCATCCTGGCCAACATGGTGAAACCTCCTCTCTACTAAAAATACTAAAATTAGCCAGGCATGGTGGCACACGCCTGTAATCCCAGCTACTCGGGAGGCTGAGGCAGGAGAATCGCTTGAACTCGGGAGGCGGAGGCTGCAGTGAGCTGAGATCACGCCACTGCACTCCAGCCTGGGCGACAGAGCAAGACTCCATCTCAAAAATAAATAACAAAATAAAAAAAAATTTTAAATGGGCAAAGGACATAGACATTTCTCCAAATAAAATATACAAATAACCCAAAAGCACATGAAAAGACGCTCAACATCATTAGTCATCAGGGAAATGGAAATCCAAACCATAGTGAGATACCATTTCCCACCCTCGAGAAATGGACATCAAAAAAAAGAAAGACAATAACAAGTGTTGACGAGATATGGAAAAACTAGACCTCTTTTTTTTTTTTTTTTTTGAGATGGAGCCTCACTCTGCTGCCCAGGCTGGAGTGCAGTGGCGCATCAGCTCCCTGTAACCTCCACCTCCTGGGTTCAAGCAGTTCTCCTGCCTCAGCCTCCCGAGTAGCTGGGACTACAAGCACGTGCCACCACGCCTGGCTAATTTTTGCATTTTTAGTAGAGACGGGGTTTCGCTATATTAGGCAAGATGGTCTTGATCTCCTAACCTTGTGACCTGCCCACCTTGGCCTCCCAAAGTGCTGGGATTACAGGCGTGAGCCACCGCACCCGGCCTAGAACTCTTATACACTGCTGGTGGGCATGTGGAGTGCTGCAGCTGCTTTGGAGAGCGGTTTGGCCACTGCTTAAAAAGTGAAACACAGCTGTACCACATGACCCAACAATACCACGCCTCGATAGATGCCCAAGAGAATTAAAAACACATATTCATACAGAGACTTGTACACATGTTCGTGGCAGCATTATTTATAATAGACAAGAAGGGTAAACAATCCAAATGTCCATCCACTGAAGAATGAATGAACAAAATGTGGTGCATCCATACCATGGGGTATTGTTCAGCCATAAGAAGGAATGAAGTATCAATACATGCTATGACATAGGTGAACCTCAAACACATGGGAAGGAAAGAAGCCAGACACAAAAGACCACATATTGTATGGTTCCATTTATATGAAGAAATGGCTAGAAAGGGAAAAATATACAGAGACAAAACAGATTGATGGTTGCCAGGGCAAAGCTGGGGGGAAGTGGGGAATGGCAGCTAATGGGTGAGGGGTTTCTTCTTTGATAAAAATGTTCCGGAATTAGTGATGATGGATGTCCAGCCTAGTGAATATACTAAAAACCACTACATTTTGCACTTTAAAAGGGTGCATGTTATGGAATGTGAATTATATCTCAGAAAATCAAAAAGAACTAAAGCTTAGCACACACAAAGTGCTCAATAAATGTCTGTTCTTTTTCTTCTTACAAAAAATCATTCTTGGCGGGGCGCGGTGACTCACACCTGTAATCCCAGCACTTTGGGAGGCCAAGGCAGGCGGATCACGAGGTCAGGAGATCGAGACTATCCTGGCTAACACTGTGAAACCTCGTCTCTATTAAAAATACAAAAAATTAGCCGGGTGCGGTGGCAGGCACCTGTAGTCCCAGTTACTCGGGGGGCTGAGGCAGGAGAATGATGTGAACCCAGGAGGCAGAGCTTGCAGTAAGCCTAGATCACGCCACTGCACTCCAGCCTGGGCGACAGAGTGAGACTCCATCTCAAACAAACAAACACAAAATCATTCTCGAGGAGTGGTCTCCAGGTCAGCAGCATCAACATCACCCAGGAGCGTGTTAGGAAGGCAAACACCCTGGGAGGGAGGGGCAGCAACCGGTGTGGTGGTTTGTTTTGTTTTCAGATGGAGTCTTGCTATGTTGCCTTGGCTGATTTTGAACTCCTGGCCTCAAGTGATCCTCCCACCTCAGCCTCCCAAGTGGCTGGGCCTACAGCAGCCTGTTTGAATCAGCCTTCCAGGTGATCCTAATGTATGCCCAATTTGAGAACCACTGGAATGAAGGAACAAGACAACTCCTTACCTCCTCTCAGGGTGTTAAAAAGTGCAGATCTTCCAAATTCTTTTTTTTTTTTTTTTTTGAGACGGAGTCTCGCTCTGCCGCCCAGGCTGGAGTGCAGTGGCCGGATCTCAGCTCACTGCAAGCTCCGCCTCCCGGGTTTACGCCATTCTCCTGCCTCAGCCTCCCGAGTAGCTGGAACTACAGGCGCCGCCACCTCGCCCGGCTAGTTTTTTGTATTTTTAGTAGAGACGGGGTTTCACCATGTTAGCCAGGATGGTCTCTATCTCCTGACCTCGTGATCCGCCCGTCTCGGCCTCCCAAAGTGCTGGGATTACAGGCTTGAGCCACCGCGCCCGGCCAAGATCTTCCAAATTCTTTCCCTCTAGAGAGCCCAATGACAATATTAGTTCAAACTTCCAAGATGTTGAAGCAAGCCCACCTCTGCATCTTGAAAGCTTATTCCTATATCCAGCAACATTGCAGAAGACTGCAGGTCACTCTGGGTGTCAACTGCGTGTACCTACATCCATCACACCAAGATTCTTGATCGCCAATCACAGAAACCCACCTGGAAGCCAGGTCCAGCTCCAAGGATGGTTTAACCGCCCCCTTCCCTCTGCTCTCTAGCCAGATCCTGGTGAGGGCTCTGGCCAGCAGGGTGACCCCACATCCCAGTCGACCCCGGACAGCATGGATCCAGGCCTGTTGTCCCAGGTGGAGTTGACAGCTCCTTTCATGCAGAAGGCCGGGCGTGGACTGGTGCTACCCCTGCAGGTCAACACTGGGAGACCAGGGTCCCGCATTCGCGTGCAGCCCGCCTCACGCTTGCGCACAAGCCGCCACTGGCCCGGGGGCCAGCCCAGACCCCATCCTCAAGGCCGGCCAGCCTCCGTGACCCGTCTGTCAGGGGAGGAGCTGCACTGATTTCCAAGGATGCAGCCCGTATCAGGGCCTCCTGGCACTCGCCCTGCGCTGGACGTTTCTTCTAGTCTCCGGCCCCAGTGTCAGAATTCTGAGAACTGGCCAGGCGCGATGGTTCATGCCTGTAATCCCAGGACTTGGGAGGCCAATGTGAGCGGATCACCTGAGGTCAGGAGTTCGAGACCAGCCTGGCCAACATGGTGAAACCCCGTCTCTACTAAAAATACAAAAAAATTAGCCGGGCGTGGTTGCAGGCGCCTGTAATCCCAGCTACTCAGGAGGCTGAGGCAGGAGGATCACTTGAACCCGGGAGGCAGAGGTTGCAGTGAGCCAAGATCGCGCCATTGCACTCCAGCCCGGGCGACAGAGCAAGCCTCTGCCAAAAAAAAAAAAAAAGAAAAAAAAATTCTGAGAATTAGGAGGAACTGCAAACCCTTTTCCAGGTGCCCTTTGCAGTGCTAACACGCCCCGGGTTGCACGCAAAACCAGCCAAAAACAGCCAAACTGTGCTTCTTTATATCTATCTTTCACATTGCACAGCTTTCAAAACGCCAGAAGCCCTACTCTGCACAGCGGCTCCCCTGTCTGCGGACTGGGCCGTTCCGTTCTGGGTCCAGGCCGGAGGCCGGCGGCTGGACCGCTCCAGGAGGCCAGGCGGGCGCGCGCCCGAGGCCGGGGCGGAGGGGGCGGAGGGGGCGGTGCGGGCCGCGAGCCGGGTGCGTGAGCGCCACACGCCCGCCAGGGGGCGCCGCCCGCCCGGCCCCGCCCCGGCCCGCTCGGCACGCTCCGCTCCGGGACGCCGACGGCGGCCGGCGCTTCCGCCTCGCGGGCCTCGGCCCGGCGCGAGCGGCACCGCGATGTGGCTGAGCCCGGAGGAGGTGCTGGTGGCCAATGCGCTGTGGGTGACGGAGCGGGCCAACCCCTTCTTCGTGCTGCAGCGGCGCCGGGGCCACGGCAAGGGCGGCGGCCTCACGGGTGAGAGGCGCGCGGGCGGCCAGGCCTAGGGACGCCGCGGCGGGGCCGGCGGCGGGCGGGTCCGGTTCCGGCCCGGCCTCTGCGCGTCGCGGCGGACACGCACGCCAGTGCGCGGCGGGGCGGGGGCTCGAGGCCGGGACCCGGGAGCCGGGCGCGGAGGGGCCGGGGCGGGGAGCGAGGGGCTGGCGGGAGGCGAGTGCGCCCTGGGCGGGCTCTCCTCAGGTCGGCGTGGGGCGGCCTCCGCCCGGTTTCGGCGCCCGCGAGCCCCGGGAGCCGTGTCGCTTCCCGGGATTCCACCGCCGAAAGTTAGCGAGGCCGCCCTGTCCTCATCCTCCACCTCAGTTTCCCCCGGTGCCTCTAAGGGGCCAAGTGACGCCAGCGCACGTTTTCTTGTGCCGTCTTCTTCATTCCCACCTCACCAGAGTATCGCCCTTTTAGCAAGATCGGAGGTCCCCGGAGCCGGCCGCACCCCCATTCCCCAGCTCCTCCCCCGCCTTTCTGCTCCTGGCTGCTCTCAGCGCTGCCCACCCGAGGCTTTGGGTAGCAGCCCAGGGTGTTCCTGCCAGCTCGCCAAGGTGGCCCTGTGTGGGCCCGGGCGCCACCACCACGCAGGCTGAGGCCCTTGGAGTCGTGCGGCCTGTGGGATCCGGGGGAGGCTCACAGGCCCCTCCAGGCCCCTCCCTCCGCAGGGGTTGTCCCGGGCCCCTCGTGCTCCAGGGCCCGCGTCCCGCACTGCAGGAGCCCGGCTGGCCCAGGCTCAGTGCCTTTGCTCTTCGGGGCACCGATCGTTGCCCTGCAGGAATGCGGTCCCAGTGTTGCCAGGTCGTCCAGTTTATCAAGACCTTTTTCTGCGAATCATCCTGATTTTCAGTGTTAGCAGCTAATAGCCAGATGCAGACGGAGGCTTCTCCTGGGCCACACTTCTTCATATGGAAGAGACTGTTCTGTTCCCAGGAACACTCAGTGTTCCCTTCAGCTTCAGGCTCCCTCCCAGTGGGCCTCGAGGATCTCGGGCTCCTGTGCTGGACCCGCCTCCTAGATCCAGCTGTTCAGTGGGAGTTAGTTGGCAGCCCTTGTGGCCAACCTCAAAGCTACTGCAAGCCCGTTGAAGAAGGCAAGGGACCGGCACCTTTCCTTCCGCCAGCGTGCCCGTGTGTCATACTCGCCGGTGTACTGGGAGCACTCGCGCTGTGCTCGGCAGGCTTCCGCAGGTCATCTCATTGGACGGGCGGGTGCAGGTGCAGCCCGGCCTCAGTACACCTCCTTCCTGCGGGCTCTTCTCCTTTCCACCTCACTCTCCGTGTCCCCTGGGACCATTCTTTGAACCCTCTCCCCACTGCTGGGTTTGGTGTGTCCTGCTGTGCCCTCTGACAGGGCCTTCCTTGTGCCATCATGGGCATTGTGGCCTCCGAGTACTGTCCTCCCTGAAGAGGAGGGGACGGTGATTTGGTTTTATTCAAGACATCTATTAAAAACATGCCAACCTAGACTTTTCATTAAAGAATCTGAATAGCTAGCTTGGCCAACATAGCAAAACCCCGTCTCTACTAAAAATACAAAATTTAGCCGGGCATGGTGGCATGCGCCTGTAATCCCAGCTCCTCAGGAGGGTAAGACAGGAGAATCGCTTGAACCCAGGAGGTGGAGGTTGCAGTGAGCTGAGATGGCGCCATTGCATTCCAGCTTGGGCGACAGAGCGAGACTCTATCTCAAAAAAATATTAATGAACTGTGAAGCAAAAGTGTTAAAATTGAGTAATAGCAATAAAAATGGTTCTGACATCAACAGGAAAACTGGTAACAAAATATTTTCAGATCGTGTCAAAAGCAGCACTTAGTTAAAAGGAAGAAAAAATTTCAAATAACAACGAACAGGTTTTTAGATTGCTTGATAATTCAATTAGTGAATCAAACGACGGTAAAAAACTATATTTCCTGCTGATTTGTCACTGCAAATAGTGGCACTGACAAAGATAGCATTACCAAAAAAATAAAATCTAAAAACAAAGATAGCATTGCCACAAACTGGTTAATGTGTGTCATCTATCAAATGGGTGTATGTGAGGAGAAAAACTTGAAATGCCGTAAAATGTTTCAGTTCAGAAATGAAAACACTTTTATCAGTATTTTCCTAAATTTCAGAATTCTAAGAATTGACATCTTCAGTTATGAGTTTTGAGGCTAAAAGAAACTTCCTTAAACGGTCGGTAATAAAAATCAGTGAGTCATGGCAAAGGGAAGACTATCTTTCTGTTCTTGATACGGAAAATGATGTTGCAGAATCATTGTCCTGTGAAGAAGCGATGAGTACACGACCAAACACGCCTGAAAGTCTTATTTCTGGGGGTGTGTCTGGCAGTTAACCATCGTGTTGGTTTTCTGGATTTTGTGATATTTGTGATATTGTTCTTTTTTAGCTTTAATGTGTAACGCAGTCTAAAGCAATACTTGTTTTGTAGTCTAATTTGGTATACTTAAAGAGGGCTTCCCAGAATTGTTTAAGCTCTGACCCCATGAAACTTGCCTCTGCCTCCGCCTGCAAGCGTTTCTGAGTCAGGAGAAGCAGCAGATGCTTCCAGGAAGAAGCAGAAGGGGATTTTTTTGTTTGGGATCAGACGCTGGCTGAAGGCCTTTGACCGCGGGGATAATTCAGGACGTTTCCCTCGTTGGGCTGGACCCTTTGGGTAGCGCCACCATCGTTTCTGCCTCCGGCCAGACTCAGCCTTCAGGGGCCTCAGTCCGGCCCTCCCCTCACCCACCATGTCTGTCTGCCCTGTTCCCAGGTCTTCTCGTGGGCACCCTGGACGTGGTGCTGGACTCCAGTGCCCGCGTGGCCCCTTACCGCATCCTGCACCAGACCCAGGACTCCCAGGTCTACTGGACAGTGGCGTGTGGTAGGTGCCCTGAGTGGTGAGGGGTGCTGGGCAGGGCCTGCCCTGGAAGAGCCGTTGCCAAGAGGAAGGGGTGTGTAGCCCACATGCCTGGGCGGTGTTCCCTGCTGACAGCACAGTCCAAGGCTGCAAGAGGGAAGTGGAGGCGGCTTTGCTTCCATCTTAGAAAGGCAGCTCCACTGGTCATGGGGACAGAGTAGGAGAGGACAGCCCCATGGAGCCCCGCGTACCTCTGGGGGTGCAAGCATGGGGCTAGCCAATGTCCACGTTCTCATGCCACCTTTTCTCAAGGTAGATATAGCTGGCCTCATTCAAAGACTCCATATTTGCAAATTGGCCTACTCAATAAAATGTATTTGCAATCCCCACATCAATACTTCCAGTGATTTTGTGGTCATTTGGAGACATGGACATGTGTACATTCAAAGCAGTGAAAAATTTGAGTCACCTGATGCCCATGTCCCCGGCGGAGGCAGAACAGGGCGACACTCTGCCTTCTTGATTCAGCTGTCACACCGCACTCGTGTGTCTTGTTCACGGTCTCTGCAGTGCCGTGTTTTCCCGTGTTTGTGCTCATTGCTGTTGACTTGGCTGTTTAAAATGTCTCCTGAGCATAGCGCTGAGGCGCTCTTGTCCGTAAGAGCAAGAAGCCTGCGTTGTGCCTTGTGCGTTACAGCAGCTTCGTTCAGGCGTGAGTGACAGTGCTGCTGGCCATGAGCTCAATGCCAGTCAGTCAGGGGCACGTATTAATAGGGCCTCTTTAAACAGAAACACGTGTAAACAGTTACGTATCGGTCAGTTGAGAAAAGTGTGATTAGAGGCTCGAGGAACCGAACCCTGTATTCCCCCGGAGTACTGGTTCAGGATTCGCTAACTCACTGATCGCGGCCACCTTACAGAATCTAACCACCCGAAAAACGAGGATCTGCTGTGTCTTGGCTGAGGCTCTCTGCGTGCCTGGTGGATGGGCCTCCCGTCCCACCTCCGGGCAGCTGAGAACGATTCAGGGTGTCATTCACTCCTCATCCTTGTGTTCGTTCAGCAGAGGCAAAACCCCAGAAACGGGTGCTGGGGATGGGGGAGCCAGGCTCGGCAGACATCTCCCCTCATCTCTTTGCGCTTCCCCTTGGGGCTTCTTCCCTGATTCTTTGATGGGAGCAAACAGTTCTTCCGGCCTTTAAAAGTGGCATCGTGCTGCCTTCTCTACATTTTTGTTTTGTGTGTTGTTTTTTTTGAGACGAGATCTCACTTTGTCACTCAGGCTGCACTGCAGCCTCCGCCTCCCAGGCTCAAACAATCCTCCCACCTCAGCATCGTGAGTGAATGGGACCACAGACACGTGCCACTATGCCCAGCTAATTTTTTTTTGTATTTTTGGTTTCGCCATGCTGCCCAGGCTGGTCTCGAACTCCTGGGCTCAAATGATCCTCCTGCCTCAGCCTCCCAAAGTGCTGGGATTACAGGCATGAGCCACAGCACCCAGATTTTCTCTACATTTTTAAAAATTTCCATTGGGCCTATGGAGGACAGAGCCCCCCCTCCCTCCTAGGTGGGGCAGACACTAGGTAGGAAGGTGGCCAGGACAAACTGAAGAGAGGGACTTTAGCTACTTGTCTACCCAGCAGGAGCCTAGCTAGCCAGGGACCTGGAGTCTTGTAGGAAGCTCCAGCTGCTATCTGTGGATACCTAGATTCTCAGGAAAGAGCTGGACTCATTTATACAAAGTATGGCTGTGTCTGATTAGTCACATACATAGCAAAGGCCACATTAAGTTCTTTCAACTTGAGGAAAGTATAAGTTAGCAAGCTTGCAGGCACATAGACTGTTTCTAGGACACATAGGAGACTTAGTGACTCTCCCTGTTGGCTTCAGGGACAGGTGGAAATGTTCACTGACACAACTGTGATTCAGCCTGGACGTTTAATTTTTTGTTTTTTACCAGGACCATTTATTACTTTCTTCATGCACATATTCATCAGTTTAAGAGGGAAAAGAGGAAGCAGCTTGAAGATTCTCGTCACTTGGATTTAGCTAATTAGGTTGCCCACTTTCATCTCGCTTCTTTGAATGTGTGTTTAGGACCCGGTGAATTTATGATTTTTCTTTTACTTCACCAACCTCTTCTAGGTTCTTCCCGCAAAGAGATCACAAAACACTGGGAATGGCTGGAAAATAACTTGCTCCAGACACTGTCCATCTTCGACAGTGAGGAAGATATCACCACCTTCGTCAAGGGCAAGATACACGTAAGGTTTACTCGCCACTCCCTGTTCTCACCCTTCCCTGGCTGGCAGTGTTCTCGTGTATTATCCTATTTAATCTTCACGATGTAGGGTGCGTCCTCATTTTACAAAGGTGGAGACTGAAGTGTCAGTGCTCTTTCTCTTGGAGTTGAGAGGGGCAGAGAACTCATGACCCAGGAAAACCCCTTCTTACCCTGGCTGGGCACTGGAGGCTGCTGAAGCCTAGTGCGGGGTTTCCATTCCCACCCGGGTGCCTTGGAAAGCGTGTGCAGATAGACAGTTCTGTTTGCCAGAGGAGATGCAGGAAACAATAGGATATTTTGAGTTATTTTTTATTATAAAACTAATGTTATTTTAAAAGGCACATGCCCTTTACCCCAAAATTCCAATCCTTGGAGTTTCCCCTACAGTATATTCATATATGCAGAATATACAGTTTCAAGGGCCAGGTGCAGTGGCTCACACCTGTAATCCCAGCACTTTGGGAGGCAAGGCAGGAGGATCCTTTGAGCCCAGGAGTTTGAGACCAGCCTGGCCAACATAGCGAGACCTTGTCTTTAAAAAATATATATGTATATATTTGCATATGCATGTATGTATAAATAATATATGTATACACATATATATGTTATATATATAAACACACAGTTTAATATGTCTCCCACCAGACTGTGCGTATTAGCAGAAAAACTGGAAACAGTGCCTCCCGGTCCCATGATAAGGGAGGAAAGCAGCTGTTCTCTCTTCTGCAACATGAGAATAATAATAGGTGCTGTGGCATTGACTGAGCATACACAAAGTGTGTACATACGCTGTGCTAAGTGCTGCATGTTCAGGGGACTTGTTAAGTCATGTATGCTATACTTAGCGCAATATTTTGCTGCCATCAAAACAATGGTTATGAAAATTGTAGCAGTGTGTAAAAACTCATGGTGATCTCTAGGTTGTTTCCTCTTTGGGGATAATTAACAGGATAATGAGCATTTATCTGAATGTATGTGTCTTTTTTTTTTTTTTTTTTTTGAGCCAGAGTCTCACTCTGTTACCTAGGAAGGAGTACAGTGGCACAATCTCAGCGCACTGCAACCTCTACCCCCTAGGTTCAAATGAATCTCCTGCCTTAGCCTCCCAAGTAGCTGGGATTACAGGCACGCACCACTATGCTCAGCTAATTTATGTATTTTTAGTAGAGACGGGGCGGGTGCCAAGGCAGGCAGATCAGCTGAGGTCAGGAGTTCGAGAGCAACCTGGCCAACGTGGCAAAACCCCATCTCTACTAAAAATACAAAAATTAGCCAGGCATGGTGGCGTGCGCCTGTAATCCCAGCTACTCAAGAGGCTGAGACAGGAGAATTGCTTGAACCAGGAGATACAGGTTTCAGTGAGCTGAGATGGCACCACTACACTCCAGCCTGGGCGACAGAGCGAGACTCCTTGTCAGAAAGAAAAAAAAAAAAGGCCGGGCGCGGTGGCTCATGCCTGTAATCCCAGCACTTTGGGAGGCTGAGGCGGGTGGATCACGAGGTCAGGAGATCGAGACCATCCTGGCTAACACAGTGAAACCCCGTCTCTACTAAAAATACCAAAAAAACTAGCCAGGCGTGGTGGCGGGTGCCTGTAGTTCCAGCTACTCAGGAGGCTGAGGCAGGAGAATGGTGTGAACCCGGGAGGCAGAGCTTGCAGTGAGCCGAGATCGTGCCATTGCCCTCCAGCCTGGGCGACAGAGTGAGACTCCGTCTCAAAAGAAAAAAAGGAGTAGAGATGGGATTTTGCCATGTTGGCCAGGCTGGTCTCAAACTCCTGACCTCAAGTGATCCACCCACCTTGGCCTGCCAAAGTTCTGGGGTTACAGGTGTCAGTCACCGCACCTGGCCTGAATGTATATGTCTTGTTCTTTCTGTTAGGTTATTTCCTTAAGTTAGAGTCATGGGAAGGCTCTTACTAGGTCAAAGTCGTGTGGTACAAAGTTGCTTTGGGCAGGCCCTTGTGAATTCCTGATACCAGAACTTCCCATGCCTGGACACATTACCAAGTTTCTCAGCTCTTTTCGGTGCACTTAGGGGTTCAAGTTGAGACCTCGTTGCCTCTGTCTCCAGGAAAACAGGTGGAGAGAGTAGAAGCAAACCTTTACTCTCTGGTGAGCAATTGGGCAGTGATAATAATAGTAGTTGTGGCATTATTCACTGCCTCCTATATGCCAGGCCCAAAATACGCATCAGCAGAAAAAACTCTAAATGACTCATAGGCCAAGGAAGAAATGGAAATTAGAAAATATTTAGAATTGAGGCAGGAGGATGGCTTCAGCTGTTGGGTTGAGGCTGCACTCCAGCTTGGGTGACAGTGAGACCCTGTCTTAATTTTTTTTTTAAGTCTCTGCTCACAGCTGGTGATGACAGTAGTTCAGGGAGTTGCAGGAGCTTTATCTGGAGAGTCACACAGGCAGCATCTGTCATCCATGTGCCTTGACTGCAACCCAGCAAGAGCCGCTGACTGCTCCCACCTGTGCCTGTAGCCCTTAGACCAAGGTCCATGAGTCCTGGGTTCCCTGGGCCTCTCTGCTCCACGCTGCGACCTGTCCAGGACTGTGCAGGGCAAGCCCTAGTCCTCTTGTCTTCCTCCAGGGCATCATCGCAGAAGAGAACAAGAACTTGCAACCCCAGGGAGACGAGGACCCCGGGAAGTTCAAGGAGGCCGAGCTGAAGATGCGGAAGCAGTTTGGGATGCCTGAGGGCGAGAAGCTGGTGAATTACTACTCCTGCAGCTACTGGAAGGGCCGCGTGCCCCGGCAGGGCTGGCTCTACCTGACCGTCAACCACCTGTGCTTCTACTCCTTCCTGCTGGGGAAGGAAGGTGAGCCAGCCCCTCAGTGTGCCCCAGCCCCCACACCCTCAGCCCCTCCCTGCCCTCAGCCTCCAGATTCTCCATCCCCACATGGCCACCAGAGGGATCTCCCTGAAGCCCAAATGCCACCTTCGCAGCCCAGGGTGGGACTGTCCAGCCTTGGCCAGGCGTCCACCTGCTCCCAGCCGGCTTTTACCGTGCCCACCCCTCGCTAGTAGGCTTCTCCACATGGCGACTCCACATGCCTGCCCTGCCCTCTTCTGCTGAGCTGGTGCATTCGGGCACACGTCTGCCCCGAATTCCTGGGATTCCATGCCATGCAGTGCCTTGGGTGTGTGCCACAGCCCTCATCTGCTGCAGGTCCGTCTCTGCAGACACCCCGGCCACAGGATGCGAGCCTGGTTCCCCAGCAGCTCCAGAAAGAGCCCCCAAGGCCTTAGCCATCCCCAAGCCCACCACGCCCTCCTCCCTCCTCGTCTCCCTCAGCCCACAGCCTCCCTGTGTCCCCTCCTGCCCTTGCCACTTACCTGTCACAGCCAGGTGGCCAGTCACCTCCCGTCAGCAGGGGCTGGGTCCTGCTCTGTGTTGGCCATGCTGTGCTGTGACTGTTCACACATCACTGCGCTCCCACTTAGGGGAGCTGCGGGGTGGGTCTTGGTGGTTCACCTCCGCACATTCGTTCCTTTCCCCTTCAGCCACTGGTGGGGCAGACACCGTGTGTGGTTGGTCTGAAAGGCAGTGGACACCTCAGTGGCCTGGTCATGGAGGGCATGACCCAGCCCAGCCAGGCCTGGGCATGCAGGAAGTGCTGCCTCCAGAGAGCAGTTCCCTAGGGTGGGTCTGGGGTACAGATGGGCATCAGGAGCCTCACCCTGCCAGGCCCTGACCCGCGGTGTGTCTGTCCCTGTGGGCACAGTGAGCCTCGTGGTGCAGTGGGTGGACATAACGCGTCTGGAGAAGAACGCCACCCTGCTCTTCCCCGAGAGCATCCGTGTGGACACTCGCGACCAGGAGCTCTTCTTCTCCATGTTCCTCAACATCGGCGAGACCTTCAAGCTCATGGAGCAGTTGGCCAACCTGGCCATGCGGCAGCTGCTGGACAGTGAGGGCTTCCTGGAGGACAAGGTCCTGCCCAGGCCTGTCCGGCCACACAGGAACATCTCAGCCCTGAAGCGGTGCGTTACCCTCCAGGGCTGGGGTGGGCTCATGTGAGCCAGGTTTACTGACCTTGGCTGGGACCTGCCTGGTCCAAGTGTGTAGACCTGGAGAGGGTGTCCACATTTACCCCTCATGGGCTCCCCACTTGGGAGGGAAGCCAGGTAAACAGATCATTGCAGTACCGTGTGGAGAGGCAGCAGGAGATAGCAGTGATGTCCTGACCACTAACGGGGAGGAGGCTTTTCACACTTTACTCCTCTTGGCCCTACGATGGGAAGGGTCTCTTACCATCCCTAGGTATCAGACAAGGAAGCTGAGGCACGGAGAGGTCAAGTAAGTTGCCTGAAGTCCTCAGTGAGCAGTGGAGCCAGGATCTAGCCACCTCAGCCGGGGTGCTCTGAGGCCCCCAGAAAGGCTTTGGTGGCTCAAGTGCACGGCCTCCGTCCCACCGTGATTGATAGCTCTCCTGTATATCCTGAGACTCTGGCCAGAGGACCCTCCCAGCCATGGGACCCCAGGGGTCCTGAGTTTGATGTGGAAGCAGACCTCTGGGTCTGAAGCCAGCCAAGGAGCTGGGCCATGTGTGGGTCTGAGTCCCTGCTGCCCTGTCCAGAGGACTGATGGATAGGAACGCATCATAGCAGCCGGCCCTCCCGGGCTGCTTATGTTTGAGCTTCTAGGTTGTAGCTTATGGGAAACTCAAGAGGCTGGCCAAGATCTCTGAGGTTCCCTGGGTCCCACAGCCAACCTGAGCACAGCCAGATTCACACCCATGTGTTCAGCAACCTCATTCCAGCCAGGCCATTTCCTGCATTGCACCCACAGACTATGGTCTAGGCCCAAACTCTGTGGTCCACCCCCAGAAGCAGAAGATTGTGCCAGCATGTTGCCCTTAGGGTGTGGGTGCTGGTTGGCCGTGGGACCTTTTGGAAAGAACAGTAGAGGTGGAGCATGGCCGTGCTGGCACTGCCGGCGAGGGTGCAGCCAGGCCCTGCTTAGGCCACGGCAGCCCAGGCCAGGCAGGAGGCTCCCTTTGGGGCTGGGAGGGTTTATGTGAACAGAGCCACCGAAGGGGTGGGGCCCTGGGCCAGGCCACTGTCACAGCCATGAGATACACAGGTGTGCGCGTCTGTTAGCAGCCGCATGCTTTAGTTTTAGCTCCACACTTCCCTGTGGGGAACTCCTCACCTAGGCTTCAAGGTGAAACCTGGGGTTAGGCCTGCCCAGGGTGGAAGAGCTGCCCGGAGCCGTCCGTCCGAGTGGGACCAGTGCAGACGCTCTGGGCTCTGCCTGCCCTTCAGTACCGAGGGATGGGTTGCACATTGCCCAGGCCAGCGTCTAGGTGTCCTTTTCAAAGCAGTCTCAGGATACATTGCTTGCTGGCCACTTCTCCGCTGGTGTGTGACTGTCCCACCTTCTGCCTGGTGACTCAGCGTGCATCTTCTATTGAACTCTCAGGTCCCTGAGCGGGACTTCCTCCAGGGAGAGCCCCAGGGATCCTGAATCTGATGTGGAAACAGGCCTGGGGAGGCCCCAGGCTTCCTTGAGAGTGTGCTGGTCCTGACTTTGTCCCCTTTCCTCCTGTCCTCCCACCTTGTTTCCCCAGAGACCTGGACGCCCGAGCCAAGAATGAGTGCTACCGAGCCACGTTCCGGCTACCCAGGGATGAGCGGCTGGACGGCCACACGAGCTGCACCCTGTGGACACCTTTCAACAAGCTGCACATCCCTGGCCAGATGTTCATCTCTAACAACTACATCTGCTTCGCCAGCAAGGAGGAGGACGCGTGCCACCTCATCATACCCCTGAGGGAGGTCAGCATCCCCTGATTGAGAGGCCAGGGCCTTTCTATCCCTGAGGGGTCAGTCAGCTCAGGGACCAGCCTGTCCTGCTCTGCCCTGGCTTACTGGGGGGCATCTGGGAGGAGGCCCTAGCCCAGACAGCCACATGTCACTCAGTGATGGGACAGGTGGAGGATGTAGGCCGAGTGAGCCCCTCCACAAGCACCTGCCCTGTGGAGGAGGCAGGTGACATGGTGGGGGCACACTGCTTGCCCTCCCGGGTACTTGCATGAGTTTCCGTCAGGCTTGCCTTCTGGGCCCTGCAGTTGAATTTTGGCAAAGCACTGCTCTGTGGCTGGGCTTAAAGGACCCTGTTCCTGCACCGGTCCCACATGTCATTCTCAGAGGCCACCTCACCAGTCCTCTCTGGACACACCATCTTGGCTGTGGCTCAGGCTCCAGCAGGCCATCAGAGGTCGGCTCTCCCCTGTGGGGCGGCATTGGCTCTCACTTGCTCCTTCTTGGGTTTCTTGGGCCTCCACAGTGACCCTAGTGGGAATAAGGCCATCTGTCCTGCACTACAGTGAAGGGTGTGGAGCAAGGATAGGGCACCTTGCCCAAATAGAAGACATGAGACTGAGTCAGGACAGGTCCCAAGGACTCCTTTTCCTTGTGGCCAAGCAGGGCACTGACTGTTGAATTATAAGAAGAAGCAAGTGAGATTCTTTTATTTTTATTTATGTATTTATTTATTTTTGAGATGGAGTCTCGCTCTGTTGCCCAGGCTGGAGTGCAGTGGTGTGGTCTCTGCTCACTGTTCATGCCATTCTCCTACCTCAGCCTCCCGAGTAGCTGGGACTACAGGCATCTGCCACCATGCCCGGCTAATTTTTTGGATTTTTAGTAGAGACGGGGTTTCACTGTGTTAGCCAGGATGGTCTTGATCTCCTGACCTTGTGATCCGCCCACCTCGGCCTCCCAAAGTGCTGGGATTACAGACATGAGCCACCGCGCCCAGCTGAGATTCTTAAAGACTTTCCTGCCATTTGCACAAATCCCTCAAGGTGTAGCTGTAGCTGAGAATAGGTGTGGGAGAGTTGTTGCCTCAGTTTCCCCAAGAGAAGTCAGAGGGAAGGAACTCAGAAGAGCCACAGCTCCAAAAGCTCCAGGTTGAGAGGCTCAGGTGTTACCCGGACCCCACATTCTATTAGCACTAGGGCCCTGTGGATCTGTCCCGGGCACTGTACTGACCTGGCCCCTGGGCCTAGGGGTCTTCCTGACACCTGAAGCTCCATTTGAATTTCTCTTGCCGGGCCCTTGACATCTCAGATGGTAGAACCCTGGTGGAGCTTGGGGAACAGGACCGGCCCACACTGGAGGGCTCGGGGAGCAGGACCGGCCCACACTGGAGGGCTCGGGGAGCAGGACCGGCCCACACTGGAGGGCTCGGGGAGCAGGACCGGCCCACACTGGAGGGCTCGGGGAGCAGGACCGGCCCACACTGGAGGGCTCGGGGAGCAGGACCGGCCCACACTGGAGGGCTCGGGGAGCAGGACCGGCCCATACCGGAGGGCTCGGGGAGCAGGACTGGCCCACACTGGAGGGCTGAGTTTGCTCTGGTGATGAACCCTGCAGCTGGTCAGGGTGGAGGCGGCCAATGCCGACCCCTCAACACACCCGCTCTTCCACGTTCCCACCTGCAGGCTCCTGCACACGCAGCACACTCTGCTGTGGGAGTAGTGGGCTCTTGAATTTCACTCCCAACCATGCCCTTCCGTACTTCCCTTGGGAAGTGACCCCTCTTCCACCCTTTGTCCAGGTAGAAACCACGTATCAGCCTAGATTCCAACCTCTCTCTTCTCCCTCTGTCCTACCTACAGCATGTCTTGCCAGCTCACCCCTCAGAGCTCAGCCCTTTCTCTCCATGGCTGCCACCTAAGACACTGTCATCTGCTCTAGCCACTCCCTAACCACACTTAACCCCCACCTCTGCTTTGTTTTTTTGTTTTTGTTTTTTTTGGAGACAGGGTCTCACTCTTGCCTAGGCAGGAATGCAGTGGTGTGATCATGGCTCACTGCAGCCTCGATCTCCCGGGCTTAAGTGATTCTCCCACCTCAACCTCCCAAGTAGCTGGGACAACAGATGTGTGCCACCACACCTAGCTGTTTTTTTTTTTTTTTTTAACAGAGACAGGGGTTCGTCTTGTTGCCCAGGCTGGTCTCAAACTTTTGGATTCAAGTAATCCTTCCTCCTCAGCCTTCCAAAGTGTTGGAATTACAGGCAAGAGCTACCACACCTGGCCCAACACACTTAGCCCCTTTACAACACATCCTCCCACAGCAACCAGCAAAATTTGAAATGTCAGTCAGAGCACGTTGGCAACCTGCTTAGAGTCCTCTAGTGTCTTCTCCCACCTGCCTCCTGTGACCTGTGAGGCCTTCTGTGTGCCTCTGCCCCGGCACACCCCATGTATATGCTCACACACAGACATCAAAAGTGCACACACACTCCCCACTGCGTCCCCAGTCATGCTGTCCTGGCTTCTCTGGCCTTCTCTTCCTCCCTCAGGCAGTCCCACCCCGCTCTGCAGGGTGACTGCTGTGCCCCTGCCCATCTCTTCCCCAGCACTCACCTGGCTGGACCAGGTCTTAGCTCAGTGGCCGCCTCCCCTGGGGCCACCCAGCCTTCCCCCTTCCCAGCACTCACCCCTGCTGACTGTGCTCAGCTGGTGCATCCCTTGTCCGTCTCCCTGCCAGGCCTGGGGCTCTGCAGAGGTGCCCGCTGAAAGTCTGTCCTGTGCCCTCCACACCTCAGAAGGGTTCAGGGCCAAGCTCCAGGACCCCTGCTATCAAAAAGTGTTCCCTGGGAACAAGTGCAGGGGACAGTCCTGCAAGCAAGGGACCGCTTGCCCTGCTTTAGGACAGCCTTCTGAGAGCCGGTGAAGGCCAGCAGCTGGGCTGAACACTTTACGTCATCATCCTCAGAACCGCCCTGCTCGGCCAATGTGCTCACCCCCATCGACAGGAAAAACAGGACCTTACAGGCACAGGCAGCTTGGTCGGGGTTATGTGCAGCGGGTGGCAGAGTCAGAATATGAGGGCAGTCGGGCCACTCACTGCATTGTGCCCAGGAGGGGACAGCTGCATGACAGTCTGTCATTCACAAAGCATGCCCAGCGGCAGGACCTGAGATGCAGACACCAAAAAGAGTTCTTCCACCTTCTCAGGTGACCATTGTCGAAAAAGCCGACAGCTCCAGCGTGCTGCCCAGCCCCCTGTCCATCAGCACCAAAAGCAAAATGACATTCTTGTTTGCCAACCTGAAAGACCGTGATTTCTTGGTTCAGAGGATCTCTGACTTCCTCCAGAAAACGCCATCCAAGCAGCCAGGCAGTATCGTTGGGAGCAGGAAAGCCAGCGTTGTGGACACTAACACAGAGGTGAGAAGCCCCTTGGGAGCAACAGGGTCAGGAAGAGCCAGGGCATGCATCAGCCTCCCTGCTGGAGCCTGACCCCATGGTGCCTGCTGTGGGCCTCCGCCTAGGGGCTGATGTGTCGGAGCTGGCAGGAGACCCCTAGCCCAGACCCACACTGCCCAGCAACATCACAGCCTCTCTGCTCCCCTAGCCACACACCCTGATACTCCTCACTCCTGCTGGGCCCAGTGCCCATGAGGAACCCTCTCTGGCCGTCCTTTCTGCATTGCTGCTGCGCTGAGAGCAAAGCCACACTGTGGAGGCCTGTATACTTCGGCTTTGTGCTCACGGCCTTCCCTGCCAGGCTTTCAGTCTGAAGTTCTTGCCGGTAGAACTGCAGTATCACGATCGTACCAGCCAACTTAACAGTAATTCCTTAATATCATCAAATACTGTATTCACACTTCCCCGTGTACTTTTCACGGTTTGATTATTTGAACTGAGACACACAAAAGTCACACATGTCACTGTTGATTGATAGGTCTCTTAAATCCCTTTAATCTGTGGGCTTCTGTTCCACCTAGTTCTTGTTTATTCTTCCACAGTATTTTGTTGAAGGAATCGGCGACTTGTGTAGTCTCTCATTGTCTGATTTTGTTGATTGCATCCACTGCAGGCGTTTAGCAAGCTCCTGTGTCCCCTGTTTCCTTTAAGTTGGTTGAGCAGTGAGACCGAGAGCCATGATCACATTCAGGCTCAGCTGATTTTGGTTCTGGCAAGTTTGCCTGTGGGCAGGCTCAAGGTGCTGTTTACTTCCAACAAGAGATGTCGGGTGACCGGCCACCTCTCCATCTCCGTGCTACTGTCTGTCATTGAGAATATGCTTGGATCCAGCGGCCAGCGGCACGCTCATTCCATTCCTCCTTTCCTCTGGGAGCTGAAATTCTCCCAAAGAGGGAAGCCGACCCCAGGCACGGTTCATAGAGGAAAGGCAGAGTACATCTTTTACTCTTCCTTCTTACTCTCCAGTTGTCAAAATAATGATGAGTTGGTTTTCTAGTGTCTTCCATGTGTGACCAGTGAGTTTTTTGGCTTACTTTTTATTGTAATTATGAACATATGGATTTAAGCAACTTGATGTGTGTCTTTCCACTGGAATCACTATGCTTATTCTCTATGTGGCCAGAGGGGCTCATCTGGGCTGGCCCTGAGAGTCCCTGGGCACAACACTGGTCGTCTTTGATTCCTTGCTTTCTGGTGTGACAAGATGGATGTGCTGCTGCCGTCGTTGAGTCTGAATTTGCAAAAACATTTGGCCATTAGAAGAGTCCATATATAAATTCACAGATCCAGTTTCTCTGGAAAAATCAGTGCCCAGCCCTGCAGGCCCCATCTCATTGGGCAGCAGGCATGGGAGCTGTGGGTGCACATGTCCTCAGTGCTTTAGAACCGTGTGTGGTCTGGCCCAGGCAGGCCTTTACATTGTCCGCCCCAATAATAGATGCTAAATAAATTACTACATAGATGAGTGGGTGGGAAGGGGTGGGCGGGATCAGTGTGGATTGGAGATACTAAGAAAGGTGTGGAGGAGGTTGGGCTTCATCTGGGATTTCAAGAAAGAGTGAAGTTGGATTGAGTGGCGGGGCAGTGAACAGGGTGGTCAAGCCTCCTCTGCCTCCATGAGGCCCCACACTTCCTGAAAGCTGAGTAAGCACCACTCATGGCCCCTCCCAGGCACTCAGCTTCATGTATGCAAACACATTTTATTGCATTCCTATTAGGTGCCAGCTGCTATTCTAGGCCCCAGGAGTAGAACAGTGAACACATCGGACAGGGTGCATGTTCACTTAGAGCTAATATTCCAGTGAGGGAGACAGTAAGCAAATAAACATACAATATGTCAGGCAGTGATAAGGGCTATGGGTTGAAATAAAGCAGGATGAGGAGATGAGGAGTGCCAGAGGAAAGAAGGGGGCTCCATTTTCTCTCTGTTCCTCGTGGGTGACCTCTCTGATCAGGCAGCACTGAAGGAGAAACTTGAAAGAAGCAGAGGAACCAGCCATAGTGCGTCTGGGGCAGAGTGTTGGAGGCAGAGGGCACAGCAAGCTGGGAGACAGGATTGGGCGTGGCACGGGCTCCTGGGACCAGGGCTTAGGAGACTGACCAGGTGTAGGCAGTGAGACCAGAGAGGTGGCAGAAGGCCAAGTCACCGAAAGCCCGTAGACCCTGTGAGTGCTGCAGCTTTGACCCTAGGTGAGATGAGAAACCAGTGAAGAGTCATGACCAGAGGAGGGCAGGACCTGTTTACCTGTTAATGGGGTTACTGAGGCCGCCCATGTTGACAGTGGATTAGAGGTGCCCCATGTAGTACAGCAGCCACGTGTGGCCATGGAGCACTGGAAACCCAGCAGGTCCCAGTGGAAATGTATGGTAAGTGTTCACTATACGTGGGTTTTAGAGACTTAGTATGAAAAGAAAAACATAAAATATCTCCCTTTTTTTTTTTTTGAGAGACAGAGTTTTGCTCTGTCACCCAGGCTGGAGTGCAGTGGGGCACTTTTGGCTCACTGCAACCTTTGCCTCCCAAGTTCAAGTGATTCTCCTGCCTCAGCCTCCCGAGTAGCTGGGATTACAGGCATCCACCACCATGCCCAACTAATTTTGTATTTTTAGTAGAGATGGGTTTTCGCCATGTTGGCCAGATAGGTCTCGAACTCCTGACCTCTGATGATCCACCTGCCTCAGCCTCCCGAAGTGCTGGGATTACAGGAGTGAACCACCACGCCTGGCCACTCCATCATTTTTTAATTGATTCCTGTTGAAATGCAAATATTTTGGATGTATTAGATTAAGTCAAATATATTGTTAAAATTAATCTCGATTTATTTTAGGACTTTTTAGTGTGGCTACTAGAAAATTTACAATTACATTTGTGGCTGTCATCATCTCTCTTGAGCAGTGCTGGACTAGACAGTGGCAAGAGCAGAAGCAAGGAGGCTGGCTGGAGGCCGCCACTAGAGAGTGGCAAGAGCAGAAGCAAGGAGGCCGGCTGGAGGCCGCCACAGTAGCAGGGCACAAGATGATAGAGTCCAGCATCAAAGGTAGGAGCAGTGTAGGTGGTAAGAAGGGGTCAGATTCAGGAGATATTATTGTGGTAAAACACACATAACAACATTTACCATTAAGTACATTCACATTGTTATGCCGTTACCACCATCCATCCACAGAACTTTTTCAATTTTGCAAAACTGAAACTCTGAACCCATTAAACAGTAACTCCTCAGTCTGTACTCTCCCAGCCCCTAGCAAGCACCATTCTACCTTTTGACTCTTTGAATTGAACTATTCTAGGTAATGCACATAAGTGGAAGCATATAGTATTTTCCCTTTTGTGCCTGGCTTATTTCATTTAGCATGATGTCCTCCAGGTTCATCCCTGTTGTAGCATGCTTAAGATTTCTTTTTTTAGGCTGAATCACATGCCATTGTATGGATAAGCCACATTTTGTTCATCCATTGAAATTTGGACTGCTTCCACCTCATGGCTACTATGAGTAACACTGCTGTGAACATGGGTGTACAGATGTCTGTTCGAATCTTTGCTTTCATTTCTTTTGGGGACATACCCTGGAGTGGAATTGCTGGATTGTATAGCAATTCTATTTTTAATATTTCGAGGAACCTCCATGCTATGCTCTCTGCACCAACTATGCACCATAGATGGGTGCCAGACCACCAACTGTGACATGACTCTGTGCAGACACAGAGCCAGTAGCTGTGCTGAGGCAATGGCAGGAAGGAAAAGGGGCTCCGACAGTCCTAAGAGCCAAGGAATCCCGAAGTCACCAGAATACCCCTCACGAGAGACTACTTAGCAAATGGAAACCTCACCAAGTGAATCTGAGAGAGCCAGTGAGACTGGGGCAGGTTTCTCAGGCTCCAGTTTATAGAGGAGGCTTTTTTATTAATGGAAGCACAAAATCCTGCTTTATTTCTACCCACAGCCTTATCGCTGCCTGACATATTATACGGCTGAGGAAAGATCAGGAATGTGAGGGAAGCCCATGCGCTTGACAAAAACTTCTCTTCTGAAAGAAAAGAGCTCACCCCCCCCAAAAAAAGGGCTGGGATTGAACAGAGCAGGAACACTTGGGGTAAAGGAGAAAAGCTTCAGATACAAGAAAGAGGTGGCCGATCCTAGAAAGTACAGGAGCAAGGGCTACACAGACTGACCACTGCAGGGAAAGGCCCCTCCAGCTGTAGAGTTCAGAAAGCTACTCTGACCCACAACCGCCCATACATAGAACATCCTGCTGAAAGAACAGGAAAAGATGCTGATCACACCCTGTACAAAGATACTGTGGGGAGAGAGTGAACCAGATAACCTTCCACAGATAATGAAAGCACACCAGAAAAACATTCCTCCAGGCAGATGAAAACTGTGTCCTGATGTTTCCAAGTGATCTCAAAGGAATTAGAAAAACTATAGAAACTACTAAAGAATGGGCCAGGCGCGGTGGCTCAAGCCTGTAATCCCAGCACTTTGGGAGGCCGAGACAGGCGGATCACGAGGTCAGGAAATCCAGACCATCCTGGCTAACACGGTGAAACCCCGTCTCTACTAAAAATACAAAAAAAAAAAAAAAACAAACAAAAAAAACTAGCCGGGCGAGTTGGCGGGCGCCTGTAGTCCCAGCTACTCGGGAAGCTGAGGCAGGAGGATAGCGTGAACCCGGGAGGCGGAGCTTGCAGTGAGCTGAGATCCGGCCACTGCACTCCAGCCCGGGCGACAGAGCAAGACTCTGCCTCAAAAAAAAAAAAACAAAAAAAGAAACTACTAAAGAATGGTATAAATTAAAAATGTTTAGAAAGCTCAGGTTAAAAGTGACTAGTCAACAGAAAAATATGAAGAGAGTTGACAGGACTCAGGAGGAAATTTAAAAAACACATATTTCTGAAATGAAAATCAGGAACACAAGAATGAAAATACATTAAGGTAAATAAGGAAGAGACCGAAGAAAAATGGAGTCAGACGAGACTCAAACAAATAGAGAAGAAATTGTCCAGAGAAGGGATAAAGAAGTCAGGCAAAGAAGATCCAACTTACGTATAAATTGTAGTGCCACCCCACACCCTTCCCAGAGAAAAGCGGTGGAATAACAGGTAATAGAAACCATGATTCAGGAAAACTTAGAAAATAAGCTTGAACTTGTATAGTGGAAGGGCACATTGAATGTCTAGAAAAATGAACACAGAATAGTCAATATTGACATAAAATCTCATAAAACTATTCGATTTTAAAGATTTAAAAATTAGTCCAGGCTGGGCACAGTGACTCACACCTGTAATCCTAGCACTTTGGGAGGCCAAAGCAGGCAGATCACTTGAGGCCAGAAGTTCAAAACCAGTCTGGCCAACGTGGTGAAACTCTGTCTCTACTAAAAATACAAAAATAAGCTAGATGTGGTGGCACATGCCTGGAATCCCAGCTACTCAGGAGGCTGAGGCACAGGAATCACTTGAACCCAGGAGGTGGGAGACAGAGGTTGCAGTGGACCAAGATCCTGAGAGATTCCTCCTCAGAGAGGTATCAGACTTTGTGATACAGTAGCAACATTTTAGAGTAACTTTTTGGTGGGGGTTGGGCGGGGGGTGTCTCCTGGTGTGCAGTGGCACAATCTCGGCTCACTGCAACCTCTGCCTCCCAGGTTCATGCAATCTCGTGCCTCAGCCTCCTGAGTTGCTGGGACTACATGTGCGTTTCACCATGCCTGGCTAATGTTTGTATTTTTCTTAGAGATGGGGTTGAGATTTCACCATGTTGGCCAGGCTGGTCTTGAACTCCTGACCTAGAGTGATCCACCCACTTCAGCCTCCCAAAGTGCTGAGATTATACAAAGTAACATTTTTAAGATATACAGTAAAAGACGCTGTGACCCAAGGATTTTATACCCAGCCGAACTGACCTTCAGGTATAAAGACCATAGGCTGTAAAGAACATGCAGAGGAGTTCAGGGGCTCTCTCAGCTTCTGTGGAGTCTGCTGGAGGACAGACTCCAGACAACCAAGGAGTGATGGAAGCAGCTTGGGCATAAGGACTGGTGGTAGCATTGAATATATTTAGCTGTGGAATTAAGGTTAGATAGTAGGAATAGAGGTGACAGTATGTAAATGTAATAGTCTCTGATGATGGAGACATAGTACAATCAAAACCTGAGATCAGGAAGGTATATGAGGCTGGGCTTGGTGGCTCACACCTGTAATCCCAACACTTTGGGAGGCTGAGGCAGGCAGGTCACCTGAAGTCGGGAGTTTGAGACCAGCCTGGCCAACATGGTGAAACCTCATCTCTATTAAAAATACAAAAATTAGCTGGGCTTGGTGGCGCACACCTGTAATCCCAGCTACTTGGGAGGCTGAGGCAGGAGAATTGCCTGAGCCCGGGAGGTAGAGGTTGCACCTCCGTACTCCAGCCTGGGTGACGGAGCGAGACTCCATCTCAAAAAAAAAAAAAAAAAAAAAAGGAAGGTATATGGAAAGTAGAGTAAGCTCACTGATTGCCTTATTAATTAAAAGTATATCCTTTTGATCAGATGTTGGCAGAGAGGGAGGACAGTGGGAAGACAAGGCCTACTAGCTAATTTCAATATTGCTTATAGTAGGGAATTGACATCTTAAAAAGAGAGGACTAAGGGAACTATATAATGGTATTAGCATAAAAGTATTACAGTATAAATATACACTTTTTGACATGGGTAAAAACTTGAAAGGGAGAAAGGAGACAGTGAGATTAAGCATCTCTTTCAAGAAGTTTTGTGTTGGCCGGGGGTCAAGCTGAATCCAGCTTTGGAGCTGAGGAAGATCTGGTCGGTGAAAGGTCCATGGGCGCAGAAAGTACAATGTAAGGGTTAACTTTTGGGGAGAGGTCTCTGGAATTTTAACTGGAAGGATTAACATAACATACATACCCAGGAGTACACATACAGTATACAACTGGATGAATCTTAGCAGAGTGAGCATAACACGTGAACAACACCCAGCTGAAGTGGGGGTGGCCTTTAGGGGAATAACAGTGCAGTTCTGTGCTGGAGAGCGACTCCTGCAGAGAAGGCAGGGGATGGGGTCCAGGTGCAGGCAGGTGGGTGGGCAGGCGGGCAGTCACCTGTGGAGGGCTCAGATTGTTCCCGTGTGCTCAGTTTAACAGGAAGAAGTGTGGTTCAGTGGGATGCAAGGATGGCAGGTGGTTTTGGAGGTTTATGTGAGGTGGTTACCTCGGGGAAGCAGGGAGGACTGGACTAGGAATACATAGGATCCCAGGCAACTCTGAGAGCCCACCTGAGGCCAGTGAGCCTGAATGTAAGGCGGGACCTGAGCCAAGCTTCTGCAGAAAGCAACCTCGTCCCCAAGCTCGGTGTCGCACTCACCGCCTCACCGGGAGCACACGTGTGCTGCGCAGCACACACCCGGCGGTCTGGCTCCTTCCCTGGCACTAAGATTTGTGATCCTCCAAGGCACCTCACAGCCTGCAAGCCCATGTGTGTCCTAGTCAGTCCCTCTGGGGGAGCTCAGGTGGGAAGCAGGATCTCCAGGCAGGCAGTCGGTCTGCACTGGGGCTGTGCCCACTGGATTCAGGCGGCTCATCATAAACATTTGTTGAAGTGGACCCAAAATCCATTTTTGTAACATCATGGGGGGCAGAGGGGTAGACTGTGGGTGTGAACCTAGCAGAGTTCTCTCTTTTTTTTTCTTTTTTCCTCTTGTATTAATAACTTTATTGAGGTAAAATTACTATGCAATACATTGTACATATTTAAGGAATACAATTTGGTGTGTTTTAACATGTATACCCCCATGAAGCCATCACCACAGTCAAGATCAGGGTTCTCTCAAAAAACACAGAATACGAAGTGTCTTAGGAGGGCGCCCAGCACATTGGCTGCTGCCCCATCCCTGGGTGCAGTGGGACCATGACCACGGGACCAGAGCCAGCGGGACGGTGTGAGGGATAGAGAGCCCAGCCCAGGCCGGAGCCCACCATGGGGAGTCTACCACCTGCAGAGCCAAGAAGCTCAGGCAGTCAGCTGGCCCCGGTCGAGCTGGGCTCTCCCACACTGGACTTTGCTTTCTGCCAAGACAGCATCACTCTCAGGCCCGTGTGGCACCGTGATGGCAGCCGCAGGCCTGGCACGCCCCCTGGGTTACCCCAACACTGTCACTCTGAGGCCCGTGTGGCACCATGATGGCAGCCGCAGGCCTGGCACGCCCCCTGGGTTATCCCAACACTCCTGCAGGAGGGCTACTCGTTTCCTTGGTGGCAACTGGGTGACGCAGTCACCCCAAACCCACCCTGAGCCCAGACCAACATCACAGGCCATCGCCCAACCCTCTGTGCAGCCCAAGAAGCATGGGTCTGAGAGTGGGCAGGGGTGTGCCTCCATGTTAGGATCGGGCCTCTCCTGTTCTTTACACTGACCTCCCTCAGAAAAGGGCCCCACAGGGTGAGCCCAGAATTCACTCCCTGAGACTAACTCGCTGGTGAGGGTGGGTTTGGTTACTGAGGACTCGGTGTCCAGCAGCCAGAGAAGAGCTGAGGGCGGAGCTGCAGCCACAGCCTCCTGCCCAACCAGACAGGCTCTTCTCCATGCACCGCTCGCCCCCATGGCCCTTTCTGCACCAGGCCCCGGTCCAGCTGTGGGTGGACAGCGCGTCAGAGGCTGCCCGGCAGCACAGTTGTTAGGTGTCCCCTTCCCTGTTTTATTTTCTAGTCTCCAGCTCCTCAGGAGGTGCCGGAGCAGCCTGCCAGCCCAGCCTCTCCCCTCAGCAGCCGACAGAGCTTCTGTGCGCAGGAGGTGCCAACCGCATCCCAGGGCCTGCTCAAGCTCTTCCAGAAAAACTCGCCCATGGAGGACCTTGGAGCCAAGGGGGTGAGCCCTGAGCGCCGGCACTCCAGCCTCCGTCCAGAGCGGAGCCCTCAGGAGGAAAGCTGGATCCAGTCCTGGGCCTGTGCCTTCCCTCAGGGCCCTAGGCTGACCACTGGGCAGTGCCCATCCAGGCTGCACCCTGGCAGCGTGGGACAGAGCAGGCACTCTCTCGGGGGCTCCACTTACCTGCTCAGTGGTGCTGTTTGCCACGGGCTCCAGGCCTCTGAAGGGAAGGGCCCTCCCACTGAGGAGCTGGTCTCCTGAGCCTTGGGAGGTGTGGCTCAGCGCGGCCTGGTCTTTCCCGGGAATCGTGAGGAAGGCCACACCTGCAGGCCAGCACTGTCTGGAGTGCTCACGAGGCTTTCGGCGTGGCCTAGGCCTTGGCACTCAGATGTGCTTCGGCCCCCAGGCTCCCTGATGCGCTTTTCCCTCAGGCCAAGGAGAAGATGAAAGAGGAATCATGGCACATCCACTTCTTCGAGTATGGGCGTGGCGTGTGCATGTACCGCACAGCCAAGACACGGGCACTGGTCCTGAAGGGCATCCCTGAGAGCCTCCGGGGAGAGCTATGGCTCCTCTTCTCTGGTGAGTGGGATGCAGCCACCCCCAGCCTCAGCTCAGCCAGTCACAGCCCCCAAGCTCTCTCCATGTCTCAGCCAGTCACAGCCTCCAAGCTCTCGCCATGTGAGCTCGTCTGGTCCTGAGCCGGCCTGAACCGATGCAATCTCAGCTCACTGCAACCTCCGCCTCTTAAGCTGGCCAGGCAGGAGCTCCCAACTTTCACATAGCCGGGATCCGGGCTCTGGGCCATGGCCAGGGGCCCAACCAGGAGGAGCATCCCAACGGACAGAGGCTGGGGGCCAGGCACTCTGCTGGCCAGGTGGTGCCCTCCTGCCCACAGTGGGAGGGAAACGGGTCCCCTAGAGGCCTCCTTTCCTTGGGACGGGCTCTGACAGCATTCACACCCGTGGTTTTCTGGAGGAGGCAAGTCAGCCACTTGAACTTTCGGGTAGAACAGCCTCCCCGGGAGCACAAGGGAAAGCTTGCCTCGCAGCTTGTGCTTGATCCCAAGTCCCACCTCTCCTCTGTGGGACACCGGTATCTCCAACCTGCCCTGTTACTGCCCCCAAAGTACCAGAAGAAGGACAGAGACAGCCGGCACCCGTGTCTCCCCAGGGGCCTGGAATGAGATGGTGACTCACCCCGGCTACTATGCTGAGCTGGTGGAGAAGTCCACTGGGAAGTATAGCCTGGCCACAGAGGAGATCGAGCGAGACCTGCACCGCTCCATGCCCGAGCACCCTGCCTTCCAGAACGAGCTCGGCATTGCTGCCCTCCGGCGGGTGCTGACCGCCTATGCCTTCCGAAACCCCACCATCGGCTACTGCCAGGTAAGGGGCCTGACAGGGGCCCAGAGACAGCATCTGCCACCAGAGGCTCACAGGAGCAGGTCCCTGTGGTCCCAGGCCTGTGTGGTGACCCTGCCTCATGTCCCAAGGAAGGAGCCCAGCTGCAGAAAAAGACGTAATTTAAAAACAGTATTACTTGCTCATCTCATCCCCATGCCAAATAGAAGTTGTCCTCTTGCTCCTTTTGTCTGAGTCCCAGCAGCATTCGATTGTTTTATGTGTTTGGTAAAATAAGTAAATAGAACATAAAATTTGCCATGTTCACCATTTTTAAGTGTACAGCTCAGTGCTTTAAGCACATTCACACTGTTGTGCACCCGTCACCGCCATCCATCCCCAGACCTCTTTTCATCTTGCAAAACCAAAGCTCTGTGCCCATTAAACATGCCCCAACCACCATAGCAACCACTGTTCTACTTTCCATTGCTATGAACTGGACGACTGTGTCCCATATATGTGAAATAATACAGTATTTGCCTTTCTGTGCCTGGCTTATTTCACTTAGCATGATATCCTCAAGGGTCATCCATGTCATATGAATGTGTCAGAATTTCCTTTCTTTCAGGCTAGGCGCGGTGGCTCACACCTATGATCCTAGCACTTTGGGAGGCCGAGGCGGGCAGATCACAAGGCTAGGAGATCAAGACCATCCTAGCTAACACGGTGAAACCCCGTCTCTACTAAAAATACAAAAAATTAGCCAGGCAAGGTGGCAGGCGCCTGTAGTCCCAGCTACTCGGGAGACTGAGACAGGAGAATGGTGTGAACCTGGGAGGAGGAGCTTGCAGGGAGCCGAGATCGCGCCACTGCACTCCAGCCTGGGCGACACAGCGAGACTCCATCTCAAAAAAAAAAAAAAGAATTTCTTTTCTTTCTAAGACTCAATCATATTACATAGACCACATTTTCTTTTCTTTTTTTTTTTTTTGAGATGGAATCTCACTCTTGTTGCCCAGGCTGGAGTGCAGTGGCGCAATCTCGGCTCACTGCAACCTCCACCTCCCAGGTTCAATTGATTCTCCTGTCTCAGCCTCCCGAGTAGCTGGGATTACAGACACATGCCGCGTTGCCCAGCTAATGTTTTGCATTTTTAGTAGAGACGGGGTTTTGCCATATTGGCCAAGCTGGTCTTGAACTCCTGACATCAGGTGATCCACCTGCCTTGGCCTCCCGAAGTGCTGGGATTATGGGCATGAGCCACTGTGCCTGGCCAATATTTCTATTTTTAATTTATTTAATTAATTTTTTTAGAGACAGGGTGTTGCTATGTTGTCCAGGCTGGTCTCAAGCTCCTTGGACAAGGGAATCCTCCTGTCTCAGCCTCCCAAGTAGCTGGGACTACAGGCATATGCCACCATACCCAGCTATTTTTTTTTTTTAAGACATGGGGTCTCACTGTCTTGCCCAGACAGGCCTCAAACTCCTAGGCTCAAGTGATCCTTCTGCCTCAGCCTCTCAAAATGCTGAGATTACAGACGTGAGCTACCAGCCACCATTCCTGGGCTTTTTTTTTGAGACAGGATCTCCTTCTGTTGCCCACAGTAGAGGTCAGTGGCACGATCATGGCTCACTGCAGCCTCCATCTACTGGGCTCAATCGATCTCTCACCTCAGCCTCCTGGGTAGCTGGGGCTGCAGGGGCACACCACCACGCCCAGCTCTGTTTTGTATTTTTTGTAGAGACAGGGTCTCACTGTGTGGCCCAGGCTGATCTTGAACTCCTGGACTCAAGTGATCCACCCTCGTCAGCCTCCTAAAGTGCTGGAATTAGAAGGCGTGAGCTACTGTGGCCTGGCCTATTTTTAATTTTTTGAGGAACTGCATACTTCTTCCCCAGCAGCTGCACCATTTTATATTCCCACCAGCAGTTCACAAGGGTTTCGATTTCTCCACATCCTCATCAACACTTGCTATATTCTGTTATAGTGATGGGCATGAGGGTATTTAATTATGCTTTGGGTTAGCAGTTCTGGCAGCTTTTGGTTTTAACTCCAGGCATTTTCCTGGCTGAGTCAAATGGCATTCTGTTTGCCTTAAAGGTCTTGTTAGCAGCTAGGGCTATGTGTGGTCCTAGTTCTGTGCCCAGTGAGTGGCCTTGGTGTGGGGCTCTGGCCACGTGGCTCACCTCCACGTCAGCTCGGTCACGCGTCCCACCTCCGACACCCAACACCACTTTGCAGAAGTGTAATGTGTTGATGTCCACTTTCTCTGGTTTCCCAGTGCCTTCTGACGCAGTTTGAAGGAGTTGGCCGACTCTCTGTTCAATCAGTTTCCTACAAATTGCCTTTTGACATTTCCCGGAGTTGGGCAGGGCAGTTTCTCATTACCAGATGCCCAGCACTCCTGAAGAGGCAAACTTGCTTGTAGGAGGCCATTAATCTTTACCATGAGAACCTGAAAAATAATAAAAATAACAACAACAAAAAGAAGGAGATCATGTGGGCCCTTTTAGGGAGGGGGCAGCTGGGAGGGGTAGGGAGAGACAGTTTAATTTGCTGGCCAGCAGTGCAAGCCTTCCCCGGCTGTGTCTGCCCGGCAGGCGATGAACATCGTGACCTCGGTGCTCCTGCTCTATGGCAGTGAGGAGGAGGCCTTCTGGCTCCTGGTGGCCCTGTGCGAGCGCATGCTGCCCGACTACTACAACACCAGGGTGGTGGGTGAGTGTCCCCAGGTGCCGCCTTGCCTGAGTCTCCAGGTGCCTGCTGGTTCCATGAGGGCGGCAGCCCTTCCCAGGCCAAGCTCCAGGCTTCACGTGGTTCCCTAGGAGTTAGAGGGTAGTATTACACATTCGGTGATTTGTAAAAGTCCCCTCAGAGCCTAAGTTCCTATGCATCTAACTTTCTGTCAGCTTTCCGATTATAGAAAATTTCAAACATCAAAACTAGAGAGTGTATATCCCCCATGTAACCTGATGCTCAACTTTACTGAACTCACATCCAGTGAAATCTGTTACTAAATGGAAATGACTTGCAAGAGTATTTAATTAAGTTCATATTTAAGTGTGTTATCCTGTCCTTCCCCTGCCGTCTGGTGTTTGGAGTTACCGCTCTTAGAGCCCTTCAGAGCTGCATCTGTTCACAGTCATCAGGGTGGGACACAGTCACTGAGGGCGCTGTTTACCTCTCATGCCTCAGGGAGAAATCAGTATTTCCCCCAAATAAAATTCAAGTGTAGTGGAAGAAATAGTTATTTCGCCCAGTGGTTTGGAAGCTGTAGAGAGAAGACTTGAAGGGTTTTTTCGTCCTTGTTTTCTCCCGGCACTCCAAGTCCCCTTCAGCCCTCACTGAAAAGCTGGCAATGCTGGAGTGGCCAGGGCTGGTAGGCTGCAGGCGAGGGCCCACCCAGGCCATGGGGTGGGCTCACCATCAGCCTCACTTATCCTGCCCGCAGGAGCCCTGGTGGACCAAGGCATCTTCGAAGAGCTCACAAGAGACTTCCTGCCGCAGCTCTCAGAGAAGATGCAGGACCTGGGGGTGATCTCCAGCATCTCCCTGTCCTGGTTCCTGACCCTCTTCCTCAGTGTCATGCCCTTCGAGAGCGCTGTGGTCATCGTCGACTGCTTTTTCTATGAGGGCATCAAGGTGATCCTGCAGGTGGCCCTGGCCGTCCTGGACGCCAACATGGAGCAGCTGCTGGGCTGCAGCGACGAGGGCGAGGCCATGACCATGCTGGGCAGGTGACATGCCGGGCTCCTTCTCCTGCTAGGGGCTCGCAGCAGAACCCCTCACCAGCCATGGGCACTGTCCAGTCAGCCTCCAGTGACTGTGTCTGCGAAGTGCCAGGCCGCAGCTGGACCCGGGGGTGCTCTGGGGTCAGGAGCCGTCTCCTTTCTAGTGGGAGATGAAGCAGCGCTCAGTGATAGGTGCCAGGAGGAATAAAGCAGGAGCTGTGGGCAGAGCACGCTGGCTGGAGGGCCGCCGCTCAGATTGGGGGGTGGGGATGCTTCTCCTAGGGGCAACCCAGAGCCAAGATCCAGTGACCACAATTCCAGTTGGTAGCACAGCTGGGCATTTCATGTCCACCAGGTGGTCCTGGTCATAGCTCCCCAAGCTCAGCTGCAGTGCAGACCCCACGCCCTGGAGGGAGCAGGCCTGCCCTGGGCCCACTGGAACAGCTGGATGAGCTGATGTCCTGCTAGTCACGCCAGAGGCCCAGGGTCATCCCAGCCCCTCCACGCGCTCCTTAGTCCCCACATCCCATGCCTTGCAGATTCTGTCTGGGATCCAGTCCCTTCCCCCCTTCCCTTCAGCCTGCTGCCTCAGCCCAGGCCCACCATGCCCTTTCCCTGGGGTTCCCCTCTCAGGTCTTTCACCTGCCTGCATCCCAGGACTCTGATCAGACCTGGCCCTCCCCCTCGCCTGGGTCCTCTGTACAAAAGCACTGTCTGAGCCCCCAGCCTGGCCTTCATGCCCCGGCCCCTCCTGGCTACCCTCTGCCCTGCCCTGAGCTCTGTGCAATCCCACCCTCCTACATAGTGTATTTGTCTGACCTAGAATGCCCCCAGCCCCCGGGAACAGCCTGGGACTCTACCACTTGCCTGTGGCCAGGCCAGGTGCTGCCTGGGACTGTCTAGATCCAGTAGAGTTGTCACCTCCCTACTGTGGGCCTAAGTAGCTTTTGGTTCACACTGATGTCAAGATACTCCCTGTGGCCGGAGTCTGGCTGGTTTTCCTGCCCCTTCCTACAAGTGGGTGGGGCCTCCTCCAGAGCAGGGGATACTATCAGGGCCATGGGCATGGGGAATCAGCTACCTCCTCCCAGCTGAGGTCAGGCTCAGCCCAGAGAGCCAGGGAGGCCATGAACTCTGCCGGGGCTAGGGCAGCTGACCGAAGTCGGGCTCCATCCCCAGGGCTGTGTCCCTGGAGAAGCTGATTCCCTGAGCTGCAGCAGGCCTCCCCATACCTGACTTTCTCCTGCGACTCAACCTTTGATCCCTGAATCTTCTTGGCCAGGGCGAGAAGGTCCCACGTCCCCAGGGTCCCGCCAAAGGGAGGAAGCTTGTCCTTCCATCTGGTTAGGGCCTGGGGTTATAAAGCATTCCTGCCCAGGGGACCCCCCCACTAAGAAAACAGCCTGGTGTCCTCAGGGTTAGTGCTCAGGCCTTGTTGGGAGCACTGCCCTGTAGAGAGCTCCCAAGCTTGCTGGGGGCCCTGCCGGGGCACACCTCTGCCCTCCTGCAGGGTGCCCAGTCCTCAGCACACTCCTTGTTAGGAGTCTGTGTAAACATTGGGTCCCTCCGCATCACCCAGCTGTGGGAAGGAGGCTCCCTCTGCCTGGGCGTGGTCTGGACTGTTGTCCTCTGCCTTTTGTAGATACCTGGATAATGTGGTCAATAAGCAGAGTGTCTCTCCTCCTATCCCACACCTCCATGCTTTGCTGACCAGCGGCGATGACCCCCCTGCAGAGGTGGACATCTTTGAGCTCCTGAAAGTGTCCTATGAGGTCAGCATCCAGTGGGGTCAGTTTGGCCAGGCCACTCCATCTGGCCTGTGGGTTGGGGTAGCTACGGGCAGGTGGCGGCCCTCTGCCCTGCAGTTGGCTCGATCTCACCAAGTCACCTCTGCCTGTAGAAATTCAGCAGCCTGAGGGCCGAGGACATCGAGCAGATGCGGTTTAAACAGAGGCTGAAAGTGATCCAGTCCTTGGAGGACACAGCCAAGAGGAGTGTGGTATGGGTGCCAGCGGGGCTGGGCGGGGGCTGGGCCGGGGGGCAGCGGAGCCCTCTCCACAGAACAGGGCGGGTGCAGGGCTCCACCGCACCCACTGTCCTACACTGCTTTGGTACGTACATCATGGTAGGATTCATGGGACCAGATCCAGGGGTTTAGGTGGGAATGTGGGGAGAGGTCCCAGTCACTTTTCTCTGCTGGTGGGTGAGTCACCGGGAAGCTTCTCAGATGGCTGCCACCCTGACAGCCACATGCCCTCTGGGCCAAGCCCGCCCAGCCTGGCTGTGCCATGTGTTCCCTGCCCCACTCCCAGGTGGCGGCAACATGCCACCACCCTCCACACACCCCAAATGCCATGTCTCTGCCACAAGCTTCTGTCCTCGTTTCTGGAGGGGCCAGGCCCTCCCTGCCACCCTGTACTGCAAGACCTGTTCGTGGTCTCTGCCCCCAAAGGCAGGGACTTCTTCCATTGTTTCCACACTCCCAGCCCTCCTGCAGGCTTGTGGGACACGGTAAAGACATTGGGTCACAGCACCAGAGACTGGCTGCTTCGGCCAATTAAAACAAAGGAGCACTGGCTGGCAGGTTCGAGGGCTCCTTCTACGGAGCTGGCACCAGGGTCTCCGCAGGGATCCGGATGATGGGAGGCAAATGAGCATTCCTCACCCTTCAACCTCAACTGTATGTTGAGGAGAGAGGCTCCCCCAAGCCCATCCTGGGAAGGAGCCCAGGAGTGTGAGCTGACTGGTGGGTGGGGAGTCAGGGATGGCTGTGGGCCTCGCCCTCTCCTGAAGGGTCTGCCCTTGAGTGCTGGGCCACTGAGAGGCGGTTCACACCCTTGCCTTCATCTGCTGAGGATACTCCCACAGAGTGCTGTACTTTCTGTGGCAGGAGCTTGTGATCCAGCCGTACACCCTGTTTCTCCTTCCTTCTAGGTCCGAGCTATACCTGTGGACATTGGTTTCTCAATTGAAGAGCTGGAGGACCTTTACATGGTGTTTAAGGTGACAGCTCAGAGCCAGGGCAGGACCCCTTCCTAGCTTCCTAGCTTCCTGCCAGAAAAGAAATAGATCCAAGAGTATCCTCTTAGAAACAGAGGATAGAGGCCGGGCGCGGTGGCTCAAGCCTGTCATCCCAGCACTTTGGGAGGCCGAGACGGGCGGATCACGAGGTCAGGAGATCGAGACCATCCTGGCTAACACGGTGAAACCCCGTCTCTACTAAAAAAATACAAAAAAACTAGCCGGGCGAGGTGGCGGCGCCTGTAGTCCCAGCTACTCGGGAGGCTGAGGCAGGAGAATGGCGTGAACCCGGGAGGCGGAGCTTGCAGTGAGCTGAGATCCGGCCACTGCACTCCAGCCTGGGTGACAGAGCGAGACTCCGTCTCAAAAAAAAAAAAAAAAAAAAAAAGAAATAGAGGATAGAAATAGAAATAGGGAATAGAATAGAAATAGAGAAATAGATCTAAGTGCATCCTCAGATGCAGTTGCCATGAACCTCATGTGGTAGAATCGAATCCTTCTTGGAGTTTAGGCAGGACCTCTTAAATGGCAAAAAATCCATTCAAGTCATCTTTCACAGAAGAGGGAATGCGTTGCCCCTGTAACTGAAAAGTCTATCAATGCAAACTTCAGACATGGCTGGATCCAGGTGCTCAAATGTGCCGTCAGGCTCCCCCACCTCTGATGTCCTCTGCACTGCTTTTCCTACAGTGCCAGGACTGTTGTCACAGCTCCAGGGCCATACTCTCTTCTCAGTAACTCCAGTGCGAAGATAATTTTTCTTGCTCTTGTGCTTTTAGCAAGAGACCCAGCCTTGATAGTTGGAATGACTGCCTTTCTGTTCTTGTTACCAGTTCACATCCACCTCTCCAGCTGCCTCAGGTTCTGTGCTCAAGGTGGCCACTGGACTGTGGCCCTGGTGTCACAACGGTTGAGCCAGCTCTGCCTGCCTCCTAGAGAGGTCACAGGAGCGAGAGCAAGCCTCGGGCCTCTTGTTTCCCTGGAGCCCTGCCAGGAAGGCTCAGCCCTTCTCTGGGGCCAGCAGACCAGCTCTGCCCTCTGCAGGCTTCCAAGGACTCTGTCAGCCAACCCCCTCCCCATCTGTTAACAGGGGACTGATGATACCCTGAGAGCTTTCAGGAGGTGCTGCGGTGTCTGGCCAGTGCTCACCAACCCAGGGCTCCGCAGGCTTGGATGGAGGGGGAGGGTGGACACATCACCAGCCTAGGGGTCCCCTCCACCCACAGGCTTAGCGGCTGGGCCATCTCACCAGACTGTGTCCCACAGGCCAAGCACCTGGCGAGCCAGTACTGGGGGAGCAGCCACACAGTGGCCGGCCGTCGGGACCCCAGCCTGCCCTACCTGGAGCAGTACCGGATTGATGCCAGCCAGTTCCGGGAACTCTTTGCCAGCCTGACACCCTGGGCCTGCGGCTCCCACACGCCTGTGCTGGCAGGTCGCATGTTCAGGCTCCTGGACAAAAACAAGGACTCGCTGATCAACTTCAAGGAGTTCGTGATGGGGATGAGTGAGTGCCTGCAGGGCCTACCAGGGGCCGACCCTCCCTTACCCTTTCCCAGGAAGCCTTCCAAATGCCAGCATCTCCTGTCTGTCCCCACTGCAGCCAGGAGGGGGCTGCTTGTGCCCCTAGCCCTAGATACGGGAAGAACAGTTTACCCACAGGAGCCGAGAGGGGGTCCAGCAGGAGCCTTGCCCGCTCCCCTCCCACATGCAGTCTGGGGCTGCTAGAAGCTGGTCTGCCAGCCCCAGGGAAGGGCTGAGCCTTCCCAGCAGGGCACCAGGGAGACAGGAGGCCTGGGACTCACCCCGTGACCTCTCCAGGAGGGAGATGGGCAGCGCAGGCTGTGAAGAGGGTCCCACTCGTACCCCGTGGAAGGGGCTCTGCAGCCATCTTGCCAGCCCCAGCCCCTTCCCTGGCCTTCTCCACAGGCGGGATGTACCACGGGGACCTGACAGAGAAGCTCAAGGTGCTCTACAAGCTACACCTTCCCCCAGGTGAGAGCCTCCTGCCCACTCCCCAGCCAGGATCTCCCACTTGTCCGGAAGTTCAGCTGCAGAGGACAGGCCTCTGTGGGACTGTGGGGCCTTAAGGGGGCACAGCAGCTCCACAGGCTGGAGTTTCACATTGGAGGAGAGGGAACGGGAGCTTGAGCACCTGACAGAGGTCTAAGAGCAGGGCCTTGGCCTGGGAAAGGACATGGAGGAGAATCCCACGGGTGACCGGGCACCACTGGGAACAGAACTCCCACCGAGGAGGCAGCTGGACCCAAACCCCACGAGGAGGGCCATGAGTGGAGCTTCAGGGCTGGAACCAAAACTGCTGCATTAATTTGTCAAGTTTCTTAAGGGTTTATTCCCAGAGGTTCAGCTGGAGAATCCTCACATGGCCATGAGGAGGGGCCACTTCTCTCTGGCCTCGCAGCGGTGCTGGAGCCGAGTAGGGCTGCATTGGCGACAGGCTGTCTGGGGGCTCAGCAGGGGTGGCTGCATGGACAGTGCTCCAAGGAGGGGTCATCTCCGTCATCATAGAAAGAAAGAAGGGCGAGGCAGGTGGAAATCCTGGGCCAGGCGCTCTGCTCTGGCTGGACCTGCCCCCAGGTCCCTGCTGTCGCTTGCCATCTGAGGTCAGCAGCTGCCCTCAGAACCAACCCTGGGGATTTTTAGAGTACTGGGGCTGGGCTTCACCTGAGAAGATTCTCTCCTGATTGCCTGTGATGGGGCCCAGACCTGTGATTTTTAAAGCTGACAGGCCGTTGCTCTGTGCCTCCGGGGCCGAAAGGCTCTTGACACAGCTGTTCTCGTTTGTGGCTGGCTCACCACAGAGGCTCTGGTGGGACAGACCCCACTGGGCCTAGGTCCCAGGGTTGAGAGCATGCAGGGCTACGCTGAGACTCCTGAGCCCCCTCAGCCTGCCCTGCCCTGTCCTGTCCAGACACAGAGAACACTTGGGCTCTGGTGGGCTGCGGCCCATGCCCTGCCACAGTCACCCAGGACCATGTGATCTGCAACCCTGGGTACTGCTTGGTGACTTCCAGCAAAGACTGCACTGAATGAGGCAGGCCAGCACACACGGCGCAGCACGGCCTCTGAGCTACCCAAAGAGAGAGCAGCAAGCTGCCTGTGCGTGGCCGGTCTCTGTGTGCCCATAGAAGCATGAAACGCCCCCAAAGGGTCCACTGGCCAGATGGTCAATGGGACAGGAGGGCAGCTGCCATTCACTGGACTCCTAATTGTGTTGATTGGATTTTTACCTGGGATATGTATTTCCTTTTCAAATACAATGTAAAAGTCAGGAAAGCAGATACTTGGGCGCAGTGGCTCACGCCTGTAATCCCAGCACTTTGGGAGGCCGAGGCGGGCGGATCATGAGGTCAGGAGATCGAGACCATCCTGACTAACACAGTGAAACCCTGTCTCTACTAAAAATACAAAAAATTAGCCGGGCGTGGTGGTGGGCACCTGTAGTCCCAGCTACTCTGGAGGCTGAGGCAGGAGAATGGCGTGAACCCGGGAGGTGGAGCTTGCAGTGAGCTGAGATGGTGCCACTGCACTCCAGCCTGGGCCACAGAGCAAGACTCTGTCTCAAAAAAAAAAAAAGTCACAAAAGCAGCTGGGCACGGTAGGAGGCCCAGACAGGTGGATCACTTGAGATCAGGAGTTGGAGACCAGCCTGGCCAACATGATGAAACCTGTCTCTACTAAAAATACAAAAATTAGCTGGGCATGGTGGTACGCACTTGTAGTCCCAGCTACTTGGGAGGCTGAGACAGGAGAATCACTTGAACCCAGGACGCGGAGGTTGCAGTGAGCCAAGATCATGTGACTGCAGTGCAACCTGAGCGATAAAGTAAGACTTCTTTTCGGCCGGGCGCGGTGGCTCAAGCCTGTAATCCCAGCACTTTGGGAGGCCGAGACGGGCGGATCACGAGGTCAGGAGATCGAGACCATCCTGGCTAATATGGTGAAACCCCGTCTCTACTAAAAAATACAAAAAACTAGCCGGGCGAGGTGGTGGGCGCCTGTAGTCCCAGCTACTCCGGAGGCTGAGGCAGGAGAATGGCGTAAACCCGGGAGGCGGAGCTTGCAGTGAGCTGAGATCCGGCCACTGCACTCCAGCCTGGGCGACAAAGCGAGACTCCGTCTCAAAAAAAAAAAAAAAAAAGTAAGACTTCTTTTCAAAAAAAAAAAAAAAAAAAAGGAAAGTAACAAATAACCAATCATCACCATCAAAACTATTACTGGGCACTGTAATGGGCAGGTGGTAGGACTGGCCAGGCTTGTGGGCGGGGAAAGCAAGCCTCTGCCCAGGGCTGGAGGGAACTAACTTTGAGGGGATCTCCTTGTTTCCTCCTGCCCTCACTCTGCCTTCTCTCCGGGCACAGCTCTGAGCCCAGAGGAAGCCGAGTCAGCCCTGGAGGCAGCCCATTATTTCACAGAGGACAGCTCCTCAGAAGGTGAGTGGCCACTGGACCTGACATGCCCAGCCAGCACCCTGCAGCCACCGCAGCCTTCCTGCGGGGCTCGGGCAGTGGCCAGCAGTCCCACCTGGGCTCAGGGAGCAGGCTGCATGGGGTTGTCCCCAGGGGACCATGGGCTGGGCCCTGCCATGTTGGCGGGGGCTGGGGCCGCCCCCTGTGGATGTCCTCACTCCTGTTTCTCTTGTGTCTCTGTCTTCCTGGACCTTGGCTCCTCCCCCCTCTGCCCCTCTGCCTCTCCTCTGCTGTCCCTTCCAGCATCTCCTCTGGCCTCAGATCTGGATCTTTTCCTGCCCTGGGAGGCTCAAGGTCAGTCCCTGGAAGGCAGGGGCGCCCCCTGTACCTCCTGACACTCTCCTGCACTATCAGGAACCCTGGAAGCTCTTTGTCCCAGGGACCCCTCTGGGACTTCATCCTGTGGGGGATGAGTCCTGAGAAGGACCCAGAGCGAAGCCGCTCTTCTGCACCGCCTCCATGTCTGCTGTGGGTGGGGAGTAAATAAGGCCCCCACACTAGGCACCAAGCAGGCCCCGGGCATGACCTCTGCGGCCACATGTTAGAGAGATTCTGTCTTCATGTGAGTAGAAAAATACAAAATGCTATCGGAGCGTGTGAAAGACAGCGTGGCTGAGTGGAGGCTAGAAAGAAAAGTGGATGCTTTCCTAGGAAAAATCTTCATGCTCCACATCACTTTTTTTGTTAAGGAAAAACACGCATGTTGAGTGCCTGTTAGAAGTCATCCCTGTGCTATGTTTAAAGCCTGTTGGGACCATCTGATCCCAGGTGATGGGAGCATTCTAGGCCCTGGGCTTGGGCAGTCGAGCTGGTGACATGCAGCACACTTGCAAAACTGACCATAATGCCACCTGGTGATTTCATGTGGGGGATAATGCACACCAAGGAACTGGCTCAGAAAACCAAAAAGAGTGTGTACCAAGATGCCCATGGCAGTCCTGGTGACAGTGGCAGAGGCTGACTTGAGCTTGAGGACCTTGATTTCAAGGACAGGAACTACAGAAGCAGGTACACCTTCTGTTGTACGTGGAACCAGCAGGCCACTCTAGGCTTGTCCCACATGCTTCTGGGAGCGGCATGGTGGTGCAGAGCCCTGGCCTCAGACCGCACATGGCTCCCAGGAAGCAGGGCTTCCATTCCAGGGTGAGATGTCTGAGCCCAGGGAGGTGTGCCCTTCACTGCCACCACACAGCCAGCAAGAGCAGCTCAGAACTGGGTGCTGCCGACGTGCCTGAGGTGCCCCTACCAGCCACACTGCCTCTGGGGAACAGCTCCAGGAGAGCTGGTCGGCTGCTTCCCTCCTCAGGTGCATGTTCCCACACAGGGAGTATAGTGTGCGCCAACTCCAGCAAGTGTAGTCCTCCCCGAAACGCTGCACTGAGCACAGGAGCTGTGCACAGACAACCCCTCTAACAGGCACAGCAGGCACCGGTGGAAGGCGTCACTAGGATTCCCCTGAGTTCTAGCAGGAACTATAGAATTCATTGGTCCTCAGACTGGTCTGTAGCCCGCATCATTGTTCACTTCAAAACTAGCATGTTGAGACTTGTATTCATTTGGAAAAGAGGAAGTGAGCGTTTGGCGGCTTTTGTTTTAACCCGACCAAGTGCGGGAATGCTCAGTCCCTTGCTGTGGTGCCTTAGGGCGGGGCGGGGCGGGCCAGGCAGGAGGCATGGCATGGGGGACCTGCCCCCAGGGCCTGGCCTGGGGCAGGCTGTACAGAAACACAGACTACATCTCTCAGGGACCCCAGGAGCTTGCAGTCCCAACAGCAGAATGTTCTCCATGTTCTTTTTATTTTTGCGTTTGTCCAGAAGCACTACCACAGGAAGAGCAAGAAGGAAGTAGCGGTGAGGATGTCCAGGAAAAGAGAGGAGGTACAGGCCATTCTCTGCTGCTGTTCTTAGAGACCCCAGCGTGGAGGCACTCTTGCTGGCTGGTCTTTTCCCCAGTCACTGCCAGGGAGCCCCCTACCCTGGGAGATGGCGGATGCGTCCCCTGATCAGGGAGCAGGCCTCAGGGTGCACAGGAGGCTCTGCGCTCTCCACCAGCCCCGCGGGCACCCAGCCAGCCCCACCCTCTTGCCAGCTTCTCTCCAGCTGCCCTGGGACTCCTCATCCGAGGAAGGACAGTGTGGACCACTGTCACCAGCTTCGGTCCAACCACTTCAGCATTTTAGGGGAAACCTGTGGCTGTTGTGGGTTGTTTTCCCATGACCGCCTTCCCAAATGCCAGGGTGTTTTGTAACAGGCTCCGGTAGCTCCATGCGGAAGACGCCCGCCCTCCTCTCCCTGCTGTCAGCCCCCAGCCCTCTCTCTCACATGACGAAGACGTATCTCTTTCCTCCTAACCCGCAGAGGAGAAGGGGACCAGCTCTCCGGACTATCGGCACTACCTTCGAATGTGGGCCAAGGAGAAAGAGGCTCAGAAGGAGACGATTAAGGATCTTCCCAAGATGAACCAGGTAGGCTCCATCAGAGCCCACAATAGACATTTCTGGAGAGTTCTGACCAAGACTGGGCCCTCATATCACAGCACCCACAATGCAGCATCTCCTGGTGGGTGGGAAGGCTCCTCCCTGCCTCTAGAGCCCGTTAGTCCTAGTTGCCAGTCAGTGATGGTTCCAGAAAGACAGGAGGCCAGTTGCTCCAGGGCCTTGTACAGGGGCATGTTTCTGTGGTGACCGCTGTCCAGATTGAGGGAGCGTCCGTGAACCAGGAGCCAGAGGCTCGTAGGCTACCTTTGACAAGAATGCGTTCCACGCCCTGCAGCCTCCTAGCGCTGCCCAGGGCTCTGCACACGCAGGCTCACATGCACCCTCCACACCCACTCTTCATTCACTGGTCTCGCAGGTCAGGAGCGTGGTGTCTTGCCAAGGGTCTCACAGCCAGAAAATGGGAGACCTCAGCTTCAAACTGCAAGTGTTGAGCCAAAGGCAAGTCCGGAGCACCAGCCTGACCATGGCCCTTGGGCCAGACCCACAGCCTAGCTGTGCCTAGTAGGAGACCCTGCAGTCTGACCAGTCCCCCGGCAGTCCTGGACAGTGGGCACCACGTGTGATGAGGATTCTTCCCATTCTTGAGCCAGGGGACCTAGATGTGTGGCTTAAGGACCTAGCACCCACCCTCGTCAGGACCCCCCTCCCCAGCTGACCCAGGCTGTACTTTCCTCACCATCACCTTCTAAAGAGCTTCATTTGGCCGGGCGCGGTGGCTCAAGCCTGTAATCCCAGCACTTTGGGAGGCCGAGACGGGCGGATCACGAGGTCAGGAGATGGAGATCATCCTGGCTAACACGGTGAAACCCCGTCTCTACTAAAAAAATAAAAAAAACTAGCCAGGTGAGGTGGCGGGCGTCTGTAGTCCCAGCTACTCGGGAGGCTGAGGCAGGAGAATGGCGTGAACCCAGGAGGCAGAACTTGCAGTGAGCCGAGGTCCAGCCACTGCACTCCAGCCTGGGCGACAGAGCGAGACTCTGTCTCAAGAAAAAATAAAAAATAGGCCGGGCGCGGTGGCTCACGCCTGTAATCCCAGCTCTCAGGAAGGCAGAGGCGGGAGGATAGCTTGAGCCCAGGAGTTCGAGACCTGCCTGGGTAATATAGCGAGACCCCGTTCTCCACAAAAGGAAAAAAAAAAAGGAAAAAAGAAAAAAAATAAAGAGCTTCATTCAAGGGCTGAGTTGAGGTTGCTTCTGATTAAAGCCAAAGGTGATTCTAAAACACAACGGAGAAGTCCTTGTACTGACTGGATTTAGAGTCGTGGTAGAAATCCATCTCCCTGTGCCAACAGAACAGACCTAGAAACAGGGAGGCTCCAGGTCAGACCGGCACGCTCTACGTGCTGAGAAAGGCAGCTAGAGGGGAAAGCCTTTTGAAGAGCTGTGTGGCCTTGGTCGAGCCACTCTCCCTCTCTGAGCCTGTGTCCTGATCTATGAGATGGACTGATGAGGCTCGTGGAGATGATTAACAAGACGGCAGCCAACATCCTTAGGCTGTCCCTTGTCATCAGTTTGGCTAATATGGACCCCGTCTGACTGGTCTTTTACCATCTCCCTGTTCTTCTGTTTTTCTCCTTAAAAGGAGCAGTTCATTGAGCTGTGCAAGACGCTTTACAACATGTTCAGTGAAGACCCCATGGAGCAGGACCTGTACCACGCCATCGCCACCGTGGCCAGCCTCCTGCTCCGCATCGGAGAGGTGGGGAAGAAGTTCTCGGCCCGCACAGGCAGGAAGCCCAGGGACTGTGCCACTGAGGAGGACGAGCCACCAGCACCCGGACCCCATCAGGACGCAGCCAGGGAGCTTCAGCCCCCAGCTGCAGGAGACCCCCAAGCCAAAGCCGGCGGAGACACACACCTCGGGAAAGCCCCACAGGAGAGCCAGGTGGTGGTGGAGGGGGGCAGCGGCGAGGGACAGGGCTCACCCTCCCAGCTGCTGTCTGACGATGAAACCAAAGACGACATGTCCATGTCCTCATACTCGGTGGTCAGCACGGGCTCCCTGCAGTGTGAAGACCTCACAGACGACACGGTGCTGGTGGGAGGGGAGGCCTGCAGCCCCACAGCCCGCATCGGGGGCACTGTTGACACCGACTGGTGCATCTCCTTCGAGCAGATCCTGGCCTCCATTCTGACGGAGTCCGTGCTGGTGAACTTCTTTGAGAAGAGAGTGGACATTGGACTCAAGATCAAGGACCAGAAGAAAGTGGAGAGACAGTTCAGCACCGCCAGTGACCATGAGCAGCCCGGAGCTTCCAGCTGAGGCCTGCAGCAGTGAGGCCTGGCCCGAGGTGTCATTGGTGGAACTGGCCTCATCTCCTGCCTTTCCTCCCTTTTCAGTTTCTCTTGAAAGGTGTGCCCCTCCTGCTCTCCCAGGAGCAGTGAGTTGTGAATGGAAAGAAGGCTGGTGCAGACCCAGCTGCCTTAGACAGATTCCCTGGGCCTGCATCTCCTGGCGCCGGCTGCTTCTGGGCCCAGGAAGAGGCTGTGGCTCCCACCTTCCTTACACCTGCTGGGAGCACGCCTTGCACCAGCTGCACACGCTTAGTGTTAGAGGCTCTCAGATCTGCCCTTGCTTGCCTCATACCTCCGTGCCTGCACTGTGGCCAGGCCAGCTGAGTCCCTCCATCCGTGGATGCTCTCCTGCAGCTGTGTGGTGCAGGGGTCATTCCTGCCGCTTGGCACCAGGTGGGGGGCATGTGCTTGTTGGGCAGCAAAGTGATGGAACCCTCAGGTGCCCTCCGGGAGCCTGAACCTCCTGACTGAGGAACATGGACAGACCACGTTTACCGCACAGAGTGGTCGCTGCGCTTAGGCGTGGCCGTACACACGTTCTCAGCTCATCATCCTTTCCAGTAACTTTAAAAGCACATCCCTCAGGTCCTGATATATTTCCCTGGATTCATTTCACTTGGCTAGAGATTACACTGTGCTCAATGCCTTAATAAATCCCTGAAAGAAAGAAAACCCACACTGTGTGCAATGCCTTGCTGTGGCCCCAACCACTGCTTAGGCCTCCCAACTTCTCCCCAGGCCACGTACAGGGCCCTGGCTGCGTTCTGGAAGTTCAAGACACCTAGTCCTCTGCAGGGGGTGGAAGAGTGCAAGGCCTGCCAGGTCAGATGGAGAAGCAGAACCTGTTGGTGCAGGCAGGGCAGGTCCTGACCAACCTGCATCAGGGGATGCCCTGAGCTCCACAGGTCTGTGGGCAGGGGTCATGGGTCCTGGTGAAGGAAGTGCATCCTCAGGCCTGGGCTGTAGCAAGCTGTCTGCCCTTGGGTTCAAGAACCAGACTGTGGAGCCACAGGTGACCAGAGGGGGCCCCAGGGCTGAGCCACAAGGATACCCTCACTTTGCAGGAGGAGCTGAAACTGACCGGTGTCCAGTGTTTGCCCCCACATGGGGCTACTCTTGCTTCTACTAAAAGATATAGCAGTTACCCCCTTATCCACGGGGGATACAGTCCCAGACCCCCAGTGGATGCCTAAAACCACAGATAACAAACCTTATATATACTGTTTTTTCCTATACATACATACCTGTGACTAAGTTTATGAATTAGGCACCTTAAGAGATTAACAATAATAAAATGTAACGGTTATACTGTAATGAAAGTTGTAAATGTGGTCTGTCTCACAATATCTTCTTGTACTGTGTACTCATCTCTTCCAGGTGGCTGTTGACTCAGGGTAACTAAAGCTGCAGAAGGTGAAACTCAAGAGGTACTATTATATATCTCTGTGGCTGCTGGTTTTGTTTTAATTAAGTAGCTTTGCTTTTTTTTTTTTTTTTTTTTTTAAAGACCGACTCTTGCTCTGTTGCCCAGCCTGGAGTGGAGTGGCGCGATCTGGGCTCACTGCAACCTCTGCCTCCTGGGTTCAAGCAATTCTTTGGCCTCAGCCTCCCAAGCAGCTGGGACTACAGGCATGCGCCACCAAGCCCAGCTAATTTTTGCATTTTTACTAGAGACAGGGTTTCACCATATTGGCCAGGCTGGTCTCAAACTCCTGACCACCCACCTCGGCCTCCCAAAGTGCTGGGATTACAGCCGTGAGCCACCGCGCCCAGCCTGCTTATTTGTTTGTTTTAGAGACAGACTGGAGTGCTGTGGCATGACCGTACCTCACTGCAGCCTCACACTCTTGGCCTGAAGTGATCCTCCTGCCGCAACCTCCCTAGTAGCTGGGACTACAGGCATGAATCACCATGCCTGGCTTTAATTTCCTTTCTAGTATTTACACAAACTACCATAAAATAATTTCAAATTATTTATACCAAATAGACTGTTCTTGGCCATAATTAAGATATAATAACCCCACACATTTGGCAATTTCAAGTCTTACATTGATTGTATTCAATCAGATTTGAAAAACTTGGAATTTGGATAAATGCCTTTTTTTTTTTTCATTTTTTGTCTTTACAGAGGTAAGATAAAAATGTTTTTAATATGTGGAAGTATAAGCTTGTGAATACACCAAAGAAATTAAACCAAAGGATAGAAAAGAGGAATCTGGCCTAGTCACATGATACAATGTACAAAAATGTACAATAGTGCTTTCATCCATAAATCATTCAACCTGGCAAGATAACTCAAAATGTTTAACAACCAGAACAGTAACATTAAATAATATATAGATAATACAAATAAAAAATTTAAATTTTATAAGTAAACATGAATATTTTAAAACTGCTTACCAAGTAATACAAGTTCTATCAAACCACTCATCAAATCATTCTAATTCCAAGAAAAAGACTATACACATGAATTCTTTTTTTTTTTTTTTTTGAGACGGAGCCTTGCTCTGTCGCCCAGGCTGGAACGCAGTGGCCGGATCTCAGCTCGCTGCAAGCTCCGCCTCCCGGGTTCACGCCATTCTCCTGCCTCAGCCTCCCGAGTAGCTGGGACTACAGGCGCCCGCCACCTCGCCCGGCTAGTTTTTTGTATTTTTTAGTAGAGACGGGGTTTCACCGTGTTAGCCAGGATGGTCTCGATCTCCTGACCTCGTGATCCGCCCGTCTTGGCCTCCCAATGTGCTGGGATTACAGGCTTGAGCCACCGTGCCCGGCCACAACACATGAATTCTTAAAGGATTACAGGTTTATTGCCAAAAGGAGAAAAATATACAGAAAAGTAGAAAAACAATTTTTCCTAGTGCTACAGATTACTCCTCAGTGTTTTGGTATTCATTCTGTATTTTTTTCAGAGTTTAACTGATGTCATATATGAAATGTTTATTCTACTCTCTTCATTAAGCATAAAACATTTTTTGCAGATGCCTTCCTTCTGTTCTCAGCTACAATAACTCAAACGTAGAAATGAAGGAAGACCACCCAAATGAGAAATAGTATTCACGGCTTGCTCCAGCAAGGGAGCCACAGACATCACAGGTGTGGGCAGGCGCAAGGGCCAGGGGATGGAAAACAGGGAAGGCTCCAGGTGGTTCTGACTGCAGGCTGTTGGAAACTGGAGGTGAGCTAACAAGCAGGATGTTTTCTGTGACTGGCTTGGGGAGCGTATTCCTCTTTCGTGGGTTGGCTCTGACATGGGGAGGGTGGTACAGAAAATAGAGGAGCAAGCAGTCCTGACTACATCCTTCCCACACAGCCGACTGCCCGGTTACTGCAGAGGCTGCAGTTTCATGTCATTCGTTATCCAACCATTCTATTGGCATATTGTCTCAATTTTTTTTTTCTGATAACTACTTACTGTACAAGAGTTGGAGAAAATTTAAAAATTAGCATTACCTACAACCTTAGCCACACACACACACACCCCAGAAAATAATGCCGGTGTCACAGAATTCAAACGACGTACTGTAATTTTGTAACCTTGCCTCTCCACAGCAGGGTGTCACTTCAAACTCAAGTTCTTGCTGATAGAACTGCGTAAGGGTCCGTGCCGTCCTTTAGAACACTGATCTCCATTTCTTCCTGGTATACTTCAGGGAATACTAGGGAACGAATAGCAAATCACCTGGGTGAATCTGAAGGGATTCCTTCCTTGGGGTAGCAGTATTGTCAGGTTGCTTTCCACGGTTTTGCATTTGACCGTTCTCCCAGCTTCCTGTAAGAGGGGTAGCTCTCCCCGCACCCTTGTCAGGCTTGGGTGTTTTCTTCACGGGGATGGTTTCTGCTGTTAAAAGCGAGTGTCGGCCGGGTGCAGTGGCTCACGTGAGTCTGTAATCCCAGTACTTTGGGAAGCCGAGGCGGGCAGATCACCACACGTCAGGAGTTCGAGACCAGCCTGGCCAACATGGAGAAACACCGTCTCTACTAAAACTACAAAATTTAGCTGGGCTTGGTGGCGGGCACCCGTGATCCCAGCTACTCGGGAGGCTGAGGCAGGAGAATCACGCCACTGCACTCCAGCCCGGGCGACACAGTAAGACTCTTGTCTCCAAAAAAAAAAAAAGCTCGCTTTTTAATTTTTCACTGTGCAAAAGTTGGAAAAAAAACATAAATTAAAATTATAACCCTAGACACAGGGTTGTAGGGTTGGAGGTAATTTTAATTTTTTTTTTTGTATTTTATTTTCCAACAAGGCTACAACCCTAAGCCACGCAGGGTTGCCGCGAGAGCGTCGGGCTGCGGGGGCGCCTCCGCCCTCCGGAGGACGGGCCTGGGACGCTCCCGGGGCGGCAGGTGGCCGGCTTCGCGCTCTCCGGGAAGCTTGGGTCGGCTGAGCCCCTCCGTCTCCCCGGACTCCTCCCCGGGCTCCGGTTCAAAGGCTAACTGTGCGCTGCTGCCCCAAAGCACGGCAGCGCAGGCCGGGCAGGGCTGCCCCTCGCTCCGCTCCGCGTGGTGCAACAGCCCAAAGAACTCGTCCGCCGAGGCCCTGCCGTATCAACTCCAGTCTCCCCAGGGCCGGAAGCCGCTGCCTTAGGAAGATGCGGGCGCTGCCCTGGTCAGACGGCAAGTCTGCGACCGGGTATCCCGCACCCACCCGGACCCAGGACTCCTTCGACGTCGCAGGGGCCCAGACGACCAGCGAGAGGGGCGGTAGGCTAGAGGGACCCCAGTGCGCAGGGGCGGGCCGCGGCGGCGGAGCGAAGAGTATACGCGCATGCGAGGCGGCGTAGGGGACTAGAGCGTCGCGAGCGCGTACGCGGGGCGGGGCGGAGTGCGGCGGGACAAATGCAGAGCGCGCGCGCTTGGCTTGCTGGCTACTGCACAGGCAGGGATGGCGCCGCCTCATCCTTGTCGGGTCCTGCGCTGCTGCAGCTGCCGCCTCTTCCAGGCGCACCAGGTCTGGGGGGTGCCGGCCCCCTCCTTCTCCTCCGGCGCGGGGACAGTGGACGGGAAATGGCGGGGCCGTGGGTGCTGTCTCGAATGGCTCCGGGATGCACCTGGGCCCGAAGGAGTGCAGGGACCGCTGAGGGCGGGTCTCATTGGGGTCGCCCCCGCATAACGTCGTTCTGGGCTTTCTGTTTGGTTCGTGTACAAACCAGAGGTAGTGGTTTCTGCAGAGGTGGCCTCTCGTGAATTGTAGCAGGTCGTGGGAGAAGCCGGTTGAGGATAGCGTCCTTTACGCAGAGCCTGCCCCACGAGGTGGCCCTGTCTCCGTTTCAGTGAGAGGGGAGGACGGTTCTTGGAGCCCGGGCGCGCCGCGGCGGCGTCCCTGCTCTACTCCCGGGCGCCCTCTCCGTCGCCCCGCGCCTCTGCCGCCGTCCTTTTCCGCGGGGCTAGGGACTTGATACGCCTGTTCGCCGACGCGTGAACCACGGGCCCCCGAGTCTTAAAGACAGTTAATCTGTGTTTCTAGAACATATTTGCCTCCCTGACTTTCAGCGTGCGAGATAGAGGATGCCACTTAACCTTTGCCGGATCGCACCTGTCTCCCTGCTTGATATCACTTAACACTGCAGTCAGCGTATCCGCTTCTGATAGTCCCTCCCTCCTTATTATTGCTAATCTGCTCTGCCCTGAGAAAGAATAGCATCAGACTTCTTTAAGACGTATGTTAAAAAGTCAGCAAGATGCTGAGGATGTGTCTGTAACCTTGCATTTAATGCTAAGCGTTTGTAAGGGCCATTTTAAGGGCTCAGAAAGTTTTTACTTGTTTTCTTTCAGGAGCTGGGTCCTAAGAGTTGCAAATGGAGATCATTTGTTTTTTTAAATTATTACACGTCTAATGTTTCATGCTTTTTTTAAAAACAAATTTTCCATTTATTTTTATTTCCTTTTTTTGTTTTTGAGACGGAGTTCATGTCTCACTCTGTCACCAGGCTGGAGTGCAGTGGCGCGATCTCGGTTCACTGCAACCTCCGCCTCCCAGGTTCAAACGATTCTTCTGCCTGAGCCTCCTGAATAGCTTGAACTACAGGCGGCCGCCACCAAGCCCAGTTAATTTTTGTGTTTTTAGTAGAGATGGGGTTTCACCATGTTGGCCAGGAAGGTCTCCGTCTCTTGACCTCGTGATCCACCCGCCTCAGCCTCCCAGAGTGCTGGCATTGCAGACGTGAGCCACCACGCCCGGCCTCTATTTACTTGTTTGTTTCCCTGTTTCACTCTTCCATATTCACCAGTGTTATTTTTTTATTTACTTATTTATTTTGAGACAAGATCTCGCTTTATCGCCCAGATTGGAGTGCAGTGGTAACAATCACAGCTCGCTGCAATCTGCACTTCCCAGGCTCAGCTGATCCACCTCAGCCTCCTACGTAGCTGGTACTATAGGTGCGGCCACCATCCCCAGCTAATTTTTATATTTTTTGTAGAAATGGGGTTTTCGGCCGTGTTGCCCAGGCTGGGGCAAGTGTTCTGCCCGCCTTGGCTCCCAAAGTGCCGGGATTACAGGTGTGAGCCAGCGCCCCTGACCCTTATGGTCATTTTCAACCCTATGAAATGTGAGTTGCCAGGCCTCCGTGGCTCATGCACCTAATCCCAGCACTTTGGGAAGCCCACTAGGGCAGATCACTTGAGCTCAGAAGTTCCAGACCAGCCTGGGCAACGTAGCGAGACCTTGTCTCTACTAAAATTTAAAATAAAATAGCCAGATGTGGTGTGCATCTCTAGTCCTAGCTACTCAGGGGCGCTGAGGCGGGAGAATCGCTTCAGACCAGGAGGCAGAGGTTGCAGTGAGCCGCGTTCACACCCCTAGACTCCAGCCTGGGCAACAGAGCCAGACCCTGTCTCAAAAACAAAAATTACTTGAAACCGAAGAGGATGTTGACCATTTTAATTGCAAGTTAGCTGGGTGCTACTTTAACACGTTTAACTTCAACAACCTTTGACTTAGGCATCATTCCCATCTTACACGAGAATTCCAGAATCTACAGAAATCAAGTGGTTTCTCCATCTAGTAAGTGTCAGAACCATACTATCTCAGCAGTTCGCAGAGTTCATCCCTTCACCAGGTACTGTGAGTCCTAAACTTTTAAAAATGTTTTTCTTGGCCGGGCGCGGTGGGTCACACCTGTAATCCCAGCACTTTGGGAGGCCAAGGTGGGCAGATCACGAAGTCAGGAGTTAAGAGACCAACCTGGGCAACATGGTGAAACCTCGTCTCTACTAAAAAGACAAAAAATATAGGGCATGGTGGTGCGCACCCGTAATCCCAGCTACTTGGGAGGCTGAGACAGGAGAATCACTTGCATCCAGGAGGCAGAGGTTACAGAGAGCCGAGATGATGCAACAACACTCCAGCCTGGGTGACAGAGCAACACTCTGTCTCAAAAAAAAAAAAAAAAAAAATGGCCGGGCGCGGTGGCTCAAGCCTGTAATCCTAGCACTTTGGGAGGCCGAGACGGGCGGATCACGAGGTCAGGAGATCGAGACCATCCTGGCTAACACGGTGAAACCCCGTCTCTACTAAAAAAATACAAAAAACTAGCCGGGCGAGGTGGCGGGCGCCTGTAGTCCCAACTACTTGGGAAGCTGAGGCAGGAGAATGGCGTGAACCCGTGAGGCGGAGCTTGCAGTGAGCTGAGATCCGGCCACTGCACTCCAGCCCGGGCGACAGAGACTCCGTCTCAAAAAAAAAAAAAAAAGCTTGCTTACATACTCATAGAAAATTCACGGTTTTATTGGTGTTTTAAGGTAGAAGCTGAGAAGTAAAATTGCTAAGTCATTCCCTACTTCCATTTTTGGTAGGTGCTCATTGTCCTCCTTAGAATCCTTTTGGATACTTCCCCCAAAAACCTCATGATTTTGTATTAGGATCATATTAATCGTATTAATGTTAACGAATCAACATAGACATCTTTGTGATGTTAAGCATGATCTATTACGTTTCTTCAAGTAACCTTGGTATCCCTTGGTAACATTTTATTTGTTGCTGTTATAAATGGACTCTTTATCCATTATGTGTTCTAATTAGATGTCTGCTCATATAAAACCTATATTAACTTTTGAAGGTACCTTAATTTTGTACCTAACCACCATATTAGATTGTCTGGTTTTAGTGGCTTTTCATTTCATTTTGTTGGTTTTCGGATAAAAAATTATATCAGGTAGCACCTGGGCATGGTGGCTTACACCTTTAATCCCAGCGCTTTGTGAGGCCGAGGTGGGTGGGTCACTTGAGGTCAGGAGTTTGAGACCAGCCTGACCAACATGATGAAACCCTGTCTCTGCTAAAACTACAAAATTAGCCGGGTGTAGTGGCACATACCTGTAATCCCAGCTACTTGGGAGACTGAGGCAGGAGAATCGCTTGAACCTGGAAGGCGGAGGTTGCAGTGAGCCAAGATCTCACCACTGTAATCCAGCCTGGGCAACAGAGTGAGACTCTGTCTCCAAAAAAAAAAATTATATCGGGTTTTATAATTATATCGATAAATAATGATAGGGTTTTGCCCTCCTTTCCAATTTTTATACCTCTTACAACTTTCTTCTAATTCCATTGGCTAGTACATCCAGAAAAAAATGGTAAATAATAGTCGGTAACCCTTCCAGGGGGAGCGCTGGTAGAGACCCTGCAGCATCAGAGCTGGGTTTAAGGCATTTTATCATGTTAAGAGAGAACACATCGGCCGGGCACGGTGGCTCACGCCTGTAATCCCAGCGCTTTGGGAGGCCGAGGCGGGCGGATCACAAGGTCAGGAGATCGAGACCACGGTGAAACCCCGTCTCTACTAAAAATACAAAGAATTAGCCGGGCGCGGTTGTGGGCGCCTGTAGTCCCAGCTACTCGGGAGGCTGAGGCAGGAGAATGGCGGGAACCCGGGAGGCGGAGCTTGCAGTGAGCCGAGATCGCACCACTGCACTCCAGCCTGGGCGACAGAGCGAGACTCCGCCTCAAAAATAAATAAATAAATAAATAAATAAATACAGAATTTTTTTTAGAGTTTCCACTTGGGCTTTTCAGAGTTTCTTTGTTTGTTTGGGTTTGGTTTTGAGAGACGGGCTCTTGCTCTGCTACCCAGACTGGCCTCAAACTCCTGGGCTCAAGTAGTCCTGGCCTGCCTGGTCGCTGAGACGACAGGCTCAAGCCACTGCACCCAGCCCAACTTGATTGTGTTTCATATACATAGCCAGTTTTCCCAGCACCAACCCAGACTTGTTAAACAGTCTGTTCTTTTCTCACTCTTAAAGTACCACCTTTATGATTATGATATGCTGTTTTTTACACATGTGTTGGTTTGTTTCTGGACTCTTTCCATCCATTTTTAAAATTATTTCAGGCCAGGGCCAGGCACGGTGGCTCTCGCCTGTAATCCCAGCACTTTGGGAGGCCAAGGCAGGTGGATCACGAGGTCAGGAGATGGAGACCATCCTGGCTAACACGGTGAAACCCTGTCTCTACTAAAAATACAAAAAATTAGCCGGGCATGGTGGTGGGCACCTGTAGTCCCAGCTACATGGGAGGCTGAGGCAGGAGAATGGCGTGAACCCAGGAGGTGGAGCTTGTAGTGAGCCGAGATCGCGCCACTACACTCCAGCCTGGGCGACAGAGTGAGACTCCGTCTCAAAAAACAAAAAAAATTATTTCGGGCCAGGCATGGTGGCTCACGCCTGTAATCCCAGCACTGTGGGAGGCCAAGGCAGGTGGATCACTTGAGGTCAAGAGTTTGAGACCAGCCTGGTCGACATGGTGAAACCCCATCTCTACTAAAATGCGAAAATTAGCTGGACCTGGTGGTACGCACCTGTAATCCCAGCTACTTGGGATTGAAAAAAAGAAATTTCAGATCCGATTCCATTTTGCTGTTTGTTTGTTTGTTTATTTGAGATGGAGTCTCACTCTGTCACATAGGCTGGAGTGCAGTGGCACAGTCTCGTCTCATTGCAGCCTCCACCTCCTGGGTTCAAGCGATTCTCCTGCCTCAGCCTCCTGAGTAGCTGGGATTACAGGTGCACGCCACCGCGCCTGGCTAATTTTTGTATTTTTAGTAGAGACGGGGTTCACCATGTTGGTCAAGCTGGTCTCGACCGCCTGACCTAGTGATCCGCCCGTCTTGGCCTCCCAAAGGGAGATTACAGGTGTGAGCCACCAGGCCCAGCCCAATTCCATTTTGTTTTAAATAATTATCTGAGTTGTATTTCTGAAATTTCATTGCAGGTAAAAAAGAGTGTCAAGTGGACATGCAAAGCCTGTGGAGAGAAGCAGTCCTTTTTGCGGGTGAGTCTACAAAACAGAAAGCAGGTAGGGCGCAGGCCTGCAGTGAGCCCTTCCAGGGAGTCCCAGAATGCCACAGCTGGGATCATCCTCTCTCACACAAAGTTCCCAGACACGGAGCTCCTGCTTCCGAGCTTCCTGTTCCTTCAGGAAGTGAAATGGATGGAATGGTGTCTGGAAAGGTACTGCCATTTGATTCTTCATTCAGCAAGTATTTCTTGAGTACCTTCTGTGTGCCAAGCATGAGGGAAACAGTGGAAAGTAAGCCCATTGTCATTCTTGCCCTCACAGATGCACTTGTGTGGAAGGGGAAGAGAAACTAATGCACACACGCATCTACATAATTTAAAACTCGGCTGAGCACAAGGAAAGGAAAGCACCAGGGACTGTGAGAAGATGACGGAGGAATCAGGGCAGCTGGGGAAGGGCAGAGGCTGTTGGTGGAGGTGGGGGTGTGGGAGAGTGGGCTCAGGAAGTGCAGGCAGGGGCAGGCTGTAAATGCTCTTATCCAGCTGTTTGCATCTGGCATTGAGCACATCTTTTCAGTCCATCCACATTCCCCCTCCTGAACTCTGAAGACCCCAAACTGTCCTGCGTCCTTTGCCTTACTGAACTTGCTCTTTTCCTGCTCCAGCCCCAGTGCCGCCTCTCCCTTCATCTCTCATCTTTTCTCTTCTCCTACAGCCATGTGCTTTCTTTCTGACCTGAAACCTAAATTTGCTCCCTCTTGGGTCTTTGTGCCCACTGTAGAGTTCCCCTCCCTCTTCTCAGAATCCTATGGAAATTATATGGTCGTGTTTATGTGCAGATTGTCCATCTAAGACTTTAGTTCCATGAGAACAGAGGCTTTTTCTTTACTGGTGTATCCTCAGCACCTAGCACAGTGCTCGGTGTTTGTTGAGTGAGTGAGTGAGTAACGGGTCCAACCTTGTTGGGCATTTAGGTTGATTTCCCTTTTGACTGTTACGCACAACTCTACAGTGAAGCTTTTTACAAAAACCTCTTTATCCACGTGACCGGCTGTTTACTGTTTATTTAGGACATAGTCCTAGAAGTTAAATTGCTGTTTTTGGGGGGTTTTTTTTTTTTTTTTGAGATGGAGTCTCAGTCTATCACCCAGGCTAGAGTGTAATGGTACGATCTTGGCTCACTGCAACCTTCGCCTCCCAGGTTCAAGCGATTCTCCTGCCTCAGCCTCCTGAGTATCTGGGACTACAGGTGCGTGCCACCTCGCCCAGCTAATTTGTTTTTTGAATGTTTAGTAGAGATGGGGTCTCACCATGTTGGCCAGGCTGGTCTCAAACTCCGGACCTCAAATGATCCACCTGCCATTGATGAGCGCCTTCACCTGATATATTTTTTTATTTTTTTTGAGACAGAGTCTCCCTCTGTCACCTAGGCTGGAGGGCAGTGGCGCGAACTTGGCTCACTGCAAGCTCCACCTCCCGGGTTCACGCCATTCTCCTGCCTCAGCCTCCCGAGTAGCTGGGACTACAGGTGCCCGCCACCACGCCCAGCTAAGTTTTTTGTATTTTTAGTAGAGACGGGGTTTCACCGTGTTAGCCAGGATGGTCTCGATCTCCTGACCCCATGATCCACCTGCCTTGGCCTCCCAAAGTGCCGGGATTACAGGCGTGAACCACCGGTGCCCAGCTGATTTTTTTTTTTTTTAAAGGGAAAAAAAAAACACTTCAGAATGGGTTCAGCAAAGTTAAAAACAAGAAAAAGTGCTGGCAAGGTAATGAGATCTCTTAGGGAATCCAAGGGGCAGAACTTCATCCCTGATGCCTTGAAAAACTAGCCCCAAGAACTGAAAAGCTGCCAACAAGCCAGGCATCAGCTTTTCCTCCCATCACCCAACAAGCCAGGCCTCAGCTTTTCCTCCCCATCACCCAACAAGCCAGGCCTCAGCTTTTCCTCCCCATCACCCAACAAGCCAGGCCTCAGCTTTTCCTCCCCATCACCCAGCTTCTCCCTGTATCTTTGTTCTATTTTCTCCTCTCCTTCCCTTTCTGTTTCTCCCCAGACTGTTCAGTCACATTCTCTGCTCCAAGTCCATAGAATCTCATTCCAAGCCAACTGGAAGAGCTGAGTCCCAGTTATAAATTCCTAGGAGAAGCAATCTGGTTGGCCCAGGCTGATTCAGATGTCCACCTCTGGTCCAGTCAACTGGGATTGGGTCTCAGTAGAGAGGGGCTGGCTTACCAGGTAGGCAGACACCCCACATGGTGAGCATGGCTTGTTTGAGATATATTTCTGCATTCTCCTTGAGGAAGGCTTCTTATCCCCTCGGTGCTTCTGTGCTGTGTGTGGTATATGGTGTATGGCTGACTAGGCCACAGTAACAAACACACCAAAATTGTGGTGGCTTAATGCAATAGACGTTTCTCTTGCTCTCGTAACAGTCCTGGGAAGACGATAAGGTCAGCAGGGCGCTGCCCTTGATGTGGTTGCTCGGGGATCCAAGTTCCTGCCATCTTGGGCTTCTTTTATTCCCTGAGGCTCATCTGTAGCTGCTTCTAGCCACTGAGAAAGGCAAGTGCGTGGAGGAGCTGCTGGAGGCTTTGAGGGCCAGGCTGGGAAACAAGTGACACTGCCATGGGAAGAGGCTGGTTTCGTGGCCACCCCGACTACATGCACACTGGGAAATGAAGTCTAGTTTTGTGCCCACATTGGGAAGAATGCGCTTCAGTATCCAGCCAGCAGTCCCTGCCCCATGGAAGAGCACACCACTTCTGGTTATGCCAGCCTGGTCTTTTTCAACTTTGCCATTTCCCCCTCCAGCTGCTCTCCTCCGTTCTCACTTGAATGTGCTCCAAACAGGGCTGCACTCCCCACCTGTCCATTACAATTGCTTGTGTCGGAGTCGGCAGTGGTCTCCATGCTGCTAAAAACAATGGTTGGTTCTCAGTTCTCAATTGACACACTGCTGCCAGGCACTGGGTGTCCACCAGAGTTCTTTGCTCACGGGACATCAAGAATGCTCCTGCCAGCGGGGTGTTGAGGAAGAGTGGACACATACAGTGTGTGCGTCTGATCGCAGATGTGCGCCATTGTCCCAGCAGACTTCACTTACAAAACACAAGTTCAAAGACCAGATTGTTAAGAATTTCAAGACGGCGACAGCAGAGCAGATCTCATACCTGTAAAGCTGATTCTGCCTGTAGTAGGACCCATATTCTCAAGTTTCATTTCTTACCATCTTCTCCTTAGACCACTCAGCTCCAGCCATGCTGGCCTCTTCACTGTTCCTCCAAAATTCCAGGCTCAGGGTCTTCACACTCATTTTCATATCATTGCTTCTGCTGGAATGTTCTTCCCCTAGACAGCCATGTGGCTTGCTCCTTCATATCTTCCTGTTTGTGCTCAAACCTTACCTCTTTAGAGATCCATTCCTTGACCACTTCGAACACCTTATGTAAAACAGTATGCTCTTACGTAAGGCCTCTTTCCTGGCCTTGTCTTTCTCAGGAGCACGTATTAGCGCCTGATACGTTACATGCCTCACTGTTTCCTTCCTGCCTCTCCTCACTTGAATGTGAGTTCCATGATGACAGGGAGTCTTGTCTCTTCCTGTGTCGTCTGCCCCTGGATGAGGCCTGGCACATTAGTTGGTACTCAGTAAATACTTGTTGGATGAATTTGTGACTGCTAAGTGGAAAAAATTTATTTTGTATTCCCTTGATTATCAGTGAAGGTAAGTAGCATTTCATATATTTTTTGGCAGTATGTTATACAATGTGGCAATATGTGTTACTTCTCTTATGACCTTTTTATTCATGTTCACTAACCATTTTGTGTAGGGCTTTGGGTTGCGTTTGGCTTCAACAGGTAGAGTTCAGGGTGCTTGCGGGATAGCCACATAGATCTAAAGTATTAGTTCCAGAGACGGTTGGTTTGTAAATGATTCTAGAGACAGCAGTCAGCCATTAGGATTCCTCCATGCTGCTTTAGGGGTCTTTGGGCCTTGCAGAATACACCTTTGTCCTCCCCGAGGTGTATCTCAAATGGATCTGTTTCTCAACATTCTGCCAACACTTTTTAAATGTAATATATCTTTTGGTTTCTCAGGCTTATGGTGAAGGCTCTGGTGCTGACTGTAGACGCCATGTCCAAAAATTAAACCTACTACAGGGACAGGGTTCAGAGCTGCCACTCAGGTACAGTTGTGTGAGAAGAGTGTGGTTGTCTTGCCCTGTTTTCGTCTTGACTGGGTAATAGAAGTACACAGTAGAGAAGTCCCTTAGACTCCCATGTCTCACAATATGGCAGCGGAACACGCCGAGCAGTTCTCTCACTGAAAATAACTTAAAACGCCAGCTGTTTTACATGCACGGATGCGCTGACTAGAAAGAAAGTAACTCTCGGCCGGGAGCGGTGGCTCATGCTTGTAGTCCCAGCACTTTGGGAGGCCAAGGCGGGCCGATCACGAGGTCAGGAGTGCGAGACCAGCCTGGCCAGCATGGTGAAACCCCGACTCTACTAAAAATACAGAAAAAGTAGCCGGGCATGGTGGCATGCGCCTGTAATCCCAGCTACTCAGGAGGCTGAGGTAGGAGAATCACTTGTCCCCAGGTGGCGGAGGTTGCAGTGAGCCGAGATCGCGCCACTGCACTCCAGCCTGGGTGACAGAATGAGACCATCTCAAAAAAAAAAAAGAAAAAGAAAAAAGGTAAGTAAGTAACTCTCAAGAGGTCAAAAATGAAGGAGAAGCTGGTCCGACGGTAGTGGGTTATCAGAACTTATTAACGTTAGTGTCACTAAAGTTGATATACAACTTGCACTGCTAAATTTAACTGGCTTTTTTTAAAAAAAAAAAGCAGAAGCCAGAATCCAGAGAGGAAGCACCTGAGCTGCTGGGGTGGTTGGAGCCGGGTGCTCTGGAGCCTCCAGTTAGATGGCTGGGAGGGGTGCAGGAGACCCTCAGAAGACAAAACCTACGGCCCGGTCAGTGTGGGAAGACCAGTGGGACACCTCCTAACAAAACCAAGCCCCTGGAGGACTGCACCCTCCGTGTACGAATGAACTAGATCCCCTCTGCAGCGGGCAGCCTGCCTGTATTGACCTTGGCAATGGCTGAAGAGGGGGAAATAGCTCTAAGATTTTGGAAATAAAAGGAAGTTGTTGCATGGTTTTTCATCCTTTTACATACCCTGTGTGAAAAGCCTCAAGCGGAAAATTTATCTTCTAATTGTCCCAGCAAGCAGAGGTGAATGCAGCTCCTCTGTGCAGCAATATATCTTCAATTGCCGGGCCTTCAAGAATTCCCACAGAAAAAGTTCCAAGTAGCATGTACTCAGGAGTTTAAAATCATTTAACAAGGCTGGGCGCGGTGGCTCAAGCCTGTAATCCCAGCACTTTGGGAGGCCGAGGCGGGCAGATCACGAGGTCGGGAGATCGAGACCATCCTGGCTAACACGGTGAAACCCCGTCTCTACTAAAAATACAAAAAGAAATTAGCCGGGCGTGGTGGCGGCGCCTGTAGTCCCAGCTACTCCGGAGGCTGAGGCAGGAGAATGGCGGGAACCCGGGAGGCGGAGCTTGCAGTGAGCCAAGATCGCGCCACTGCACTCCAGTCTGGGCGACAGAGCGAGACTCCGTCTCAAAAAAAAAAAATAAAATAAATAAATAAAATAAACAAATAAATAAAATAAAATCATTTAACATTCAAGGAAATATGTCACCAGGAGCAAAAGATAGCAGAACAACAGTCCGAAGAGTCAGAGCCATAAAGACTTCAGAATACATGATATTGCATGTTTAATATACTTAATAAAATAAAAGAAGTGGGTGATAAGATGAGGGACTTCAAAAAATGGGTGTATTTGAGAGCTTGTTTGGAGGTTCTAGCAGGGGGGGTGCAGCTACTCATATACCCTGGACCGAAGACCGCTCCTCCTCTATTGGAGGTGGTGGTCCTCTTCAGCCAAGCGCACAGCTTCAGGAGGGACGCACGTGGAGCGGTGAGGGAGGACGGGGACACCAGCCAGATGAGCTAACCAACCTTGGTGACTGATGGGGTGACAGATATTACAGCCAGATCGCCCTCATCCAAAAAAATAGGTGTATTTGAAAAAGAACCGAAAAGAGGCCAGGTGCAGTGGCTCACACCTGTAATCCCAGCACTTTGAGAGGCCAAAGCAGGCGGATTATTTGAGGTCAGGAGTTCAAGACCCAGCCTGGCCAACATGGTGAAACTCCACCTCTACTAAAAATACAAAAGTTAATTGGGTGTGGTGGCACGTGCCTGTAATCTCAGCTGCTCTGGAGGCTGAGGCATAAGAATCGCTTGAGCCTGGGAGGTGGAGGTTACAATGAGCCAGCCTCCACCTCCCAGGCTTAAGTGAGGCCTGCAACAGAGTAAGACTCTGTCTTAAAAAAAAAAAAAAAAGAGTTTGCAGAACTTAAAAGTATAATCACTAAAATTAAAAATCCAGTTTAGGCCGGGCATAGTGGCTCATGCCTGTAATCCTGGTACTTTGGGAGGCCAAGGCAGGCAGATCACTTGAGGTCAGGAGTTCATGACCAGCCTGGCCAACATAGTGAAACCCTATCTCTACTAAAAATACAAAAATTAGCTGGAAATCACTTGAACCCAGGAGGCAGAGGTTGTGGTGAGCCAAGATTGTGCCATTGCACACCAGCCTGGGTGACAAAGTAAGACTCCATCTCAAAAAAAAAAAAGTTAAAAATTCAGTGGACACATTTAGCAGATTAAATGCAGCTAAGAGAGAATTAGTGAAATGGAAGATAAACCTAAAAAATTATTCACAGTGCAACACAGAAAAGTGGAAAAGTAGAAAATATAAGGTAAAGTTGAGGGACATGGAGGTTACAGAGGAGAGTTCTAGCAAAAGATAATTAAGAGAATGGAGCAAAAGCAATAACTGAAGAGATGAGAGCAGCATTTTCCAGAATCAAAGACATAACATTTTTAGATTAAGGAAACGCAGTAAATACCAAACTGGATAAAACCATTATTTTATTTGCAAATAGCATGATTGTGTATGTAGGAAATCCTAATGAATCTACAAAAAAGCTACTAGAACTAATAATTTAGCAAGATCACAAGGATACAAGGTCAACATACAAAATTAAATTGTATTTCTATATATATGCAGTGGGCAATTGGAAAAATGATTTTTAAAATCAAATAACAGCTGGATGCATACTTCACACTTGTAATCCCAGCACTTGGGGAGGCTGAGGTGGGTAGATCACTTGAGCCCAGGAGTTTGAGACTAGCCTGGGCAAGATGGCAAAACCCTCTCTACAAAAAAAAGGAAAAAAAAATTTAGCCAGGCATGGTAGTGGGTGCCTGTGGTACCAGATACTCAGGAGGCTGAGGTGGGAGGACCACCTGAGCCCAGGGAGGTTGAAGCTGCAACTTATCTCCATTGTCATGTGATTCCATGTTCTAGCAATCTTGGCTCACTGCAACCTCCGCCTCCCGGGTTCAAACGATTATCCTGCCTCAGCCTCCCAAGTAGCTGGGATTATAGATACGTACCACCATGTTGGCCAGACTTGTCTCGAACTCCTAACCTCAGGTGATCCACCTGCCTCAGCCTCCCAAAGTGCTGGGATTACAGGAGTGAGCCACTGTGCCCAGCCCCTGGTCATTTTTCAAAGTGCATATGTATGGTCTTCCCTGAAGGTCTCTAGAAGAAACTGTCAGTGCTGGTGAAGAAGAAAACATGGGCCACCAGCAGGCTGGGAATGTGAAGCAGCAGGTAAGCCTCAGGCCCACCTGCCCCAGGCTGGCTCTGTGTCAGGGAAGGGATGAATGCACAGATGTATCCAGTAGTCATTCGTAGAGCAAGTGTGTGTTGATGCCACCCTACAGGCAGTTGACTTAACGCTGCAGGGAACACAAAAATAAATAAACCTGTACCTTTTCTAAGGATGGAGATAGCCACGTGTACCAATCATTACAGTACCCTGCAAAGGACTCTCGTGTCTGCTTGGAGAACTCCTTCTGAATGTAGCTCAAATATCACCTTACTGCTTCCACTTTGCTCCCACAGCACTCTGGGCCTACCTCTGAGAGGGAGAGAATAATGGGATAAAACACCTGGGTTTCCTTCTTTCCTTGTTCCAGACTGCAAGCTGTTTTGTTGTTTTGTTTGAAACAAGGTCTCACTGTGTCGCCCAGGCTGGAATGCAGGGAGCGATCATGGCTCCCTGCAGCCTTGACTTCCTGGACTTAAGTAATCCTCCCACCTCAGGCTCCTTAGTAACTGGGACTACAAGTGTGCCCTGCCACACCCAGCTAATTTTGTGTCTGTTTTGTAGAGGCAGGGTCTCCCTGTGTTGCCTAGGCTGGTCTCGAACTCCTGGGCTCAAGCCATCTTCCCGCCTCGGCTCCCAAAGTACTGGGAGTACAGGCATGAACCAATGCACCTGGCCAGATTCATACTTTGTTATAAGCAGAGGAAGATGCTCTTCTGGTACCTGTGTCTGTGTTTCCCATTTGGTCCATTTACAGACTTAATTTTATATCATTCTCATCAGAAATACTTTTTTGCATCCTAGTTTTCAGTTGTATCATTCTTCTGTGTTGCGGTATAGTTTTCAATGATTTTCATTTCTTACTTATTTTTGAGACAGGGTCTCCCTCTGTCACCCAGGCTGGAGTGCAGAGGCATGATCACTGCTCACTGGAGTCCCAACATCTCAAAAAAACAAAGTATTTACAGAATGTAGTAGATGTACTAGTATTGGTTCCTTTATTATATGTTATGTAGGTTGTTTCCACACTTCTGCTTGCCTCCCTTCCTCCCTCCCTCCCTTCCTCCCTTCTTTCCTCTCCTTTCCTTCTTTCGACAGAGTCTCGGCCGATCCCCCAGCTGAAGTGCAGTGGTGTGATCTCGGCTTACTGCAACCTCTGCCTCCTGGGTTCAAGCAACTCTCCTTCCTCAGCCTCCCAAGCAGCTGGGATTACAGACCCACACCACCACACCCAGCTAATGTTTGTATTTTTAGTAGAGATGGGGTTTTACCATGTTGCCCAGGCTAGTCTTTAACTCCTGAGCTCAGGTGACCCGCCCGCCTCAGCCTCCTGAAGTGCTAGGATTACAGGTGTGAGCCACGGCACCTGGCCATGTTTCCACACTTCTGTTCTTTTTTTTTTTCTTTTGAGACGGAGTCCCAGGCTGGAGTATAATGACACAATCTCGGCTTACTGCAAGCTCCGCCTCCCGGGTTCACGCCATTCTCCTGCTTCAGCCTCCCGAGTAGCTGGGACTCCAGGCGCCCGCCACCACGCCCGGTTAGTTTTTTGTATTTTTTTTTTTTAGTAGAGATGGGTTTTCACTGTGTTAGCCAGGATGGTCTTGATCTCCTGACCTCGTGATCCACCCGCCTCGGCCTCCCAAAGTGCTGGGATTACAGGCGTGAGCCACTGCACCTGGCCACTTCTGTTTTTTTTTTTTTTTTTTTTTTTTTTTTTTTTTTGAGACGGAGTCTCGCTCTGTCGCCCAGGCTGGAGTGCAGTGGCCGGATCTCAGCTCACTGCAAGCTCCGCCTCCTGGGTTCACGCCATTCTCCTGCCTCAGCCTCCGGAGTAGCTGGGACTACAGGCGCCCGCCACCTCGCCCGGCTAGTTTTTTGTATTTTTAGTAGAGACGGGGTTTCACCATGTTAGCCAGGATGGTCTCGATCTCCTGACCTTGTGATCCGCCCGTCTCGGCCTCCCAAAGTGCTGGGATTACAGGCTTGAGCCACCGCGCCCGGCCCAGTTCTGTTCTTATAAATAAAATTTGCTACTTTTTGTAACACTGGGACTGGCACCTCTGCCTTCTCTCTTTGTGTGGAATCACTGGGCCAGGGAGCATAGATATTCATGAGATTCTTGGTGGGCCGTGTCCTGCCGCCTTCCCAAGGCCTGTACCAGTGAGCACTGTCCTGCCAGCATCACAGGGTATTGGTGTCCATCACCTTCCAGCCACTGCCTTCCCTAGCGTGGAGCTGGACGTGACCCGAGACCCTCAGGCACAAGAATTGGGCTAGGGGTTTTCGATAAAACTGCCTGCTTTCCAGTACTGAGAATCAACTTTTTTCCCAATCTGATAGGAAAAATCGCAGCCCTTGGAGAGTCGCTGGCTGAAGTATCTCGAAAGGGACTCCCAAGAACTGGAGCTGGAAGGAAGAGGAGTGTGTTTCAGCAAACAGCCTTCATCCAAAACGGAGGAGCCAGGCCCCCGCCTCAGCCAAGACCTGCCTAGAAAAAGGTGCCAAGTGCGACTCCGGTCCAGCCCTGGCCCAGAGCCTATGCTGCCTCCAGCAGTGGGGCACCAGTGAGCCCCTGTGAGCATCAGCCAAGCGGGGGAAGCCTAGGTGGCAAGTGGCAATGGGCAGCTGCTGCCACTGCTGGCCCCTCGGCCCACCTGGGCATTGGGCACTGCTGGTGCAGAGGCAAAGGCTGGGCAGGACACCAGTATGCACGCCCTTTATGATGCCCACTTAATTCTGAACATCTCAGACTAGACTGACCTCGGGGAAGTGGCCAGAGGAGCTGACAGGCCTGAGAGCTTTTAACACAGAGAAGCAGAGACCTCAGACTTGAAGGAAGGTTTCTTCTGCTTCAGGCATTTCAGTGAGATTTTTGGAGAGACTGCTTTAGGCTAAGGATCTAGGGTGGCTCTTAGAGGGCAGGTGCTTTCAGGAGGTAGATTCTGCTTTCAAACCAGAACATTCCTCTGGGCACAATGGCTCACACCTCTAATCCCAGCACTTTGGGAGGCTGAGGCAGGAGGATCATTTGACACCAGTCCGGGCAACATAGGGAGACCCTATCTGTACAACAAAGTTTTTAAACAAATTCATGGGGCATGGTGGTGCATGCCTGTGGTCTCAGCTACTTGGGAGGCTGAGGCAGGAGGATCACCGGAGCCCAGGAGGTCAAGGCTGCAGTGAGCCATTGCACTCCAGCCTGGGTGCCAGTGAGACCCTGCGTAAAAGAAAAACACAACTTTCTAGCAACTAGAAGCTGTGAAACGGGGAGTGGGGCCTGCGCGGTGGCTGGGCAGCCTGAGGAGCTGCCTGGGAAGCTGTTGGGATGAGCAGGCGGCCACCCGAGCTTGTGGGCCATGTGATCGTGGAGTCAGGCTTGGGGTGCCACTGGAGAGTAGCACGGGACCACTGACAGTACTGTCCTGACAGGAAGTGGAGCCAGAGCACCGTCCAGCCTCCGTGCAGCCTTGGCATCCAGGACTCGGGTGGCTCTGAGGTCGCCTGGGAACCCCAGAAGGTCAGTGACAGAGAATAGTTTCTCTGTGGTCCCAGTGACCACTGAGTATGTGTGGGATAATTTTGTCTTTTGTCACAGGTGACAAAGTATAAGATTCCTAACCGCAGAAAGCCCATCTCACCACCTGGGTTTCTTGTCTTTTCTGTGTGAAGCCAACTCCTTCCTTGGGTCTCTACCCCCTTTTCTCTCCCATGCCTCTCGTCTCCCGTGAGGGTAGCTCAGGACCAAAGAGCATCGTGACACCTGGGAGCAACTTGGATTTTCTGGGTCAGGGCCGTCGTCTCATTCTGCAGGGAGCACGGGGACCTTTGTCCAGGCAGGAGCAGTCTGTGGGCCCGCCCTGAATCCTGGGAGATGCTTCCCTCCACACTCGCATTTGCCCAGGTGTGGACTCTTGTATGTGAGATGCTCTTCACTTAGGGTGTTGCCTTGTTCATTTTTGTTTTCTGAGACAGGGTCTCACTCTGTCTACCCAGGCTGGAGTGCAGTGGCACAGTCAGAGCCTACTGAAGCCTCAACCACCCAGGCTCAAGTGATCCTCCTGCCTCAGCCCCTCAAGTAGCTGGGACTACAGATGTGCACCACCACACTGGCTAATTTAAAAAAAATATTTTGTAGCGGTCAGTCGCGGTGGCTCACACCTGTAATCTCAGCACTTTGGGAGGGTGAGGCGGGTGGATCACCTGAGGTCAGGAGTTTGAGACCAGCCTGGCCAACATGGTGAAACCCCGTCTCTACTAAAAATAATGAGTTGGGCGTGGTTGCATGTACCTGTAATCTACCAGCCAATTTTTGTATTTTTAGTGGAGATGGGGGGTTTCACCATGTTGGCCAGGGTGGTCTTGAACTCCTGACCTCAAGTGATCCACCCGCCTCGGCCTCCCAAAGTACTGGGATTACAGGCATGAACCACCACCCCCAACCTTCTGTTTTTGAGACAGGGTGTCACTCTGTCACCCAGGCTGGAGTGCAGTGGTGCCATCTTAGCTCATAGCAGCCTCCACCTCCCGGGCTGAAGTGATCTTCCCGAGTAGCTGGGATCACAGGCACTCACCACCACGCTTGGCTAATTTTTTGTAGAGGTGGGGTTTCATCATGTTTCCCAAGCTGGTCTCAAACTCCTGGACTCAAGCATATCTGCTTGAGCATTCCAGTCTGCCTCGGCTTTCCAAAGTGCTGGGATTCAGGCATGAGCCACTGCTCCCAGTCTACAACCCAAGTTTCTTTTTTTTTTTTTTTCTTTTTTTTTTTTTTGGGGGGGGGACAGAGTCTCACTCAGTTGCCCAGGCTGGAGTGGAATGGCACGATCTCGGCTCACTGCAACCTCTGCCTCCCAGGTTCAAGTGATTCTCCTGCCTCAGCCTCCTGAGTAGCTGAGATTACAGGCATGTGCCACCATGCCTGGTTAATTTTTGTATTTTTAGTAGTGATAGGGTTTCATTTTGTTGACCAGGTTGGTCTCGAACCCCTGGCCTCAGGTGATCTGCCCGCCTCAGCCTCCTAAAGTGCTGGGATTACAGGCGTGAGCCACTGCACCCGGCCTACACCCAACTTTCAGAGCATCTTTGGTTCCTGGGGTGAGAGAAGCCAGACCCCAGCTTTTCTATCCCACTGGGAGCTCGGTGCTGCCACCTGTGCAGCTGCAGAACCCGGCAGGCTCTGGAGAGCTGCTCCCAGGTGGGAGATGGCAGGATGGAGCCAGCCCACCCCTTTCCAGACGTCTCTAGGCCCTCCCTGCTCAAACCTCCTTTGTAGGCACTGGTGACCCGATTCTAAGGTCCCCAGGAGATGGATCACCAGATGACGTGTCTTGTTTTTGGAAAGCCTGGTCATGCAATTTAGCAGATGGTTTGGGGTGAGGTGGAAGGCATTTATTTGCTTTGTCTTGCTAACTCTCAAAGTCAAAGCCTGTCCCAGCCTGACGGCTTCCAGCAGAAAGTGTCAGAACCAGAGGCCCAGGCAGGGCTCGTGGTCCTGCTGGCCTGGCATTGTTCTTACAAATGGAGGGCATGGCCATCTTCTCTTTCAGGGACAGGCTGGCTTGACATGGAAGGTGAAGCAAGGCAGCAGCCCCTGCCTCCGGGAGAACGCTGCCGACTGCGGCGCCAGGGAGCCGAGGGGTCCTGGGAAGGAGCTATGGAGTCCTGCCCAGCAGGTCACCGCCACCTCCTCTAAATGGGCGCGATTTGTCCTGTCACCTAGAAACAGTTCACATGTGGACAGAGAGCAGCCAACGCCTCTTCAGAGGGATCCTGGGCCAGCTGCTCCAGCACAGGCTAAGCAGGGGACCCCCGGGACCCCCAGAGCACAGGCCTCAAGGGAAGGCCTCAGCAGGCCCACTGACGCTGTCCAGCTTCCTCGGGCCACACACCCCACCACATCCGGGCCTGAGAGGCCCTGCGGGAAGACCTCATGGGACGCAAGGACTCCCTGGGCAGAGGGTGGGCCCCTGGTCCAGGAGCCACAGAATCCCCAACTCCCACGACTGTGTGACCTCTTTACAACTGGTGAAGACTTTGATGATGATCTGTGACTGGCAGGTTATTATTAATCGAGATACACTTGTTAGGAGGGACAGGGTTCCCTAAGGCACTTTTAAAGATACTGTATAAGAACCACCAATAAACTTACTGTCAAACAGATCATTTCTCTCTATGCAAATGTCATTGGTTAAAGTGCTGATGCCATTTAATTAGATCGTTTACAAACGTAACAGGATGGCTACAAAGAGATCTTATTTTAAAAGCAGCTGATGGTTTGGCAATGAGAGAACTACAGTGGTGGAGAGACCAGGAGGCAGCTCTCAGCGAAACCAACATTACGGATGCCCTGCATGAGCCTTCTCAGTCCCAGCAGGAAGCCCACCACACTGGCTGCCCCGGCCTCCCCACTGCCTGTGCCAGGACAGCCGCCTCCCCTGCTTACCCGCCAACACCACCTAGGCTTCCTTTATCTAAAATCAGAGCGTACCAGGTCTCTAGCAGAAAATCAACTAAATGTCAGGGACCTCCGAGTCATTTAAAAAGAGAAAGTGGAAGGCCATTAGGCAAGCTATGTCTGGGCTGCTAATGTGGCCCCTGCAGGGAGGGGCCAGGAGCGCTGCGGTGAGCCTCAGGTCTCGCAGGCCCAGCCCTGCTGCAGGGAACCAGAGCACCCAGGAGACCGGTCTTGCTTCTCAGACATCACACACACGGGGACCCTCCCCTCATGTCACTTGTTTTGCTGCCCTAAATGTCTTCTTCCACCCTAACCCCTGATCCCCTGATCCTGGAAGGCGGCAGAGAAACTGGCCCGTACAGAGACCTGCAATTCTACACTAGCTTAACAGCTACGAGACAGAAGAGGGGGACACAGAAGAGGTGGGTAAAAGCGGTCACAATGGCGGGGAGTGCTTTGAATACTGGATGGTGTCCAGAGCCGCCCCGATGTCGTAATTCTTGGTCTGCAGGAGCCTGGTGAGCCAGCCGCCTTCGTCAGAGAAGCCCATGGACAGCATCTGGGAGAGGGACTCAATCAGCCGCGGGTCAGCCTCTGCCAAAACAGTAAGGAAGCCATGAGGAGTGATGCTGAGCCCTGTGAGTGACCCGAAACACACACCCTCCTGCCTTGGCCAGCGGGACCAAGGCCTGCCAGTGTCCGAGTGCCCAGAGCTCTGGCCCTCACAGGCCACAGTGGACCTGCTTTCCCTGTAAAGGGCCAACCAGTCTTTTTCACACTGTTCAACTCTGCCACTGTGACACAAGGCAGCCAGGTGGCATGTAAACAAAACTATCGCTGGACACTGAAATACGCATTTCCTCTAACTGTCACATCTTTTGATTGAAAAATACAAGAACTACTCTTGGCCCATAGGCCATAGCTCGCCATCCCCTGCCCTAAGGCAGAGAAGACACACTGGCAGCGCACAGCAGGTTGTGCACAGACCTTGGTTTACACACGGCTGCAGTGACAATGAGGAGTCTCTGTCAGCTGTCCCCACCCCCACCGCTGCCTTCCACACCATCCACTTCAACGGTGGCTTCTGCCTGGCTCTTCCAGGGATCTTGGCTATGACCCCCACTCAGACCAGCACTCCCTGAGGAGACACTGAAGAGGTCTGAGCCCAGTGTGAGTAGTAGGGACACACCCAGTGCTGCCCCCTCTCTGTGTCACACCTACCTTAATTCCTGGTCTGCATGTTAAGTTTTAGAAACTCCTACAATTAATATTCCTGGCTCTGGAGTTTGCTTAAAGAAAAACATTTTTAGAACTCCTGCATTAGCAGAGCTTACTCACTGCTGCTCAGGGTAGACGTAAGAGGACAAAACCAACTCCTAACCTCCCACACCTACAGACAAGCCCTGCAGTGGAGAACGTCCCATCCTGTTTGTGTCGCTGGAATCGGGGGGCAGGATGCTCTGAAGGGAAAGGTAGGACTGAACACAGAACTCTTGGTTCACTTGCCTGGTGGGAGATGCGGGTACAAGGCAGCTTCCTTCAGCCCTGTGGGTCCCTCCTGGGAGGGGTCCAGAGAGCTTGGCCCTTCGGATTCTGGCATCTGTAGGGACTGGAGTTCACCTGTGGACGGGTCCACTTCTTTTGAAGACAAATGGGTCCAGTCATCGTCTCCTCCTGAGCAGTTATCAGACTCCATCTGTTCCTGAAACAGAACTCACCATGAGCACACAAGAGACACGCGCAACAGGCCAAGCCTGACCATGGCACTGACTCCTGGCAAACAGTCGGGGAGCGTGCACGCACACATGTGTTTAAGGCTGCAGGGGGCTACAGGGATCAGTGAGCCACTCACAAAGACCAAGTAACTACAAAGTTCTAGCAGGTTCCCAGAGTGACTTTAATGGCACAGACATCACTGCAGCAGCAGCAGCTCCCTCAGGTTTCATAAGTGGCTGCATAGGTGCTGAGGATGAGGCGGAGGTGCAGCTACAAATCGCTAGGCTGCCCGAGGTCCCAGGTGGTGGGAGGGGCACAGGCTTGCCTCAGGCCGCCCCTCGGACTCCAAGGCGATCTTTCTCATCTGCTCTGCCAGAGACTGCGTGGCGCCCTCAACATTCCCACCCAGCTTGCTGGGGTCAGAGCAGCAGCTGCTTGGCTGTGAGCTGTTCTTCTCCTCTGTGCTGGAACTCTCTGGAGAGGCAGGGGTCAGGCGGCTTCTTTTCCCGCCGTGCTCCACGTCAATATCCACTTCAATGCCTAGAGGCCAAGGAGGAGAGAGAAAGCTGTGACACTCCCCCAAGGAGGCAGCTGCGAGCAGGAGTGTGGCCTGTGGGGACTACAGACTCATGAAGATCTCACGTTCAGTCCACACAAGCAGGTGAGGGTCTGGATGGCGGCACTCAGTGTGTGGATGCAGGGGCTAGGTTCTCCTACCCAGCTTGACCCCGGAATCACACAGTCAGTATGGGACTAGACGATGCAAACATGTGAGTCCGAGGCTTCTCCCAATATCCCAGCTACAAATCTCTGTGGCTTCTGGAAACATTCTCGGTGTGCCCGCGATACTGGAGCTTTCTCTTTCTCCAATTCAGTAAAACATTAACCTCAGCTAGCATCTAAGGTCAGCTTCTAAGCCAGAAAGTCAAGAGAGACCTTGTTTTTTCTAACCATGCAGGGTATGGGCTACACAGCAGGTAGGGCCAAGCCCTAAGTACGGGGGAGCCAACACTGCATGTGGCGGGCACCTCCAGCCACAGTGATGGAAGGCTGTGTGTGCCTCATGACACTTGCACACAGAGGCTTTGGGTGATGACACAACACGCACCTAAACGCTGGGCTCCGCTCGGAGTGGACAGGCCATGCAGGCGAGGCATGGGGCCCGACGTGGCAGCGCAGGGAGCCTGCACACCTCCAGGCTCACGTAACTCACCAAGGACAGAGGAAAGAATCACCTGCACTATTCTGAAATTAAATAGTGTCAAAAGTCTCCATGCCCACAGCTTAGAGTCACCGGTTGTCAAAGGCCGTGGTGCACACACTGCTCCCATCCCACTCCCCAAAGCCTCCCTGCACCCTTTCAGCTCATGCTGCTCCCACCTGATGATCGAGTTCACACCTGTGCACTTCCTACTCTAGACCCGTATCTGCCTCTCCTTCCACTACCCTTTCCAAGACTCAGTTTTTTGTTAAAAGAACATTCAGTGTTTCAGCTAGTACCTCTATCTAAATGTTCTTTGCTGGGTCAAGGGGCAGACTATTTCCTTGCATAGCTTTTTGTTTTCCTACCACTGATGACGGCTTCTCTTTTTTTTTAGACGGAGTCTCGCTCTGACGCCCAGGCTGGAGTGCAGTGGCGCAATCTCTCGGCTCACTGCAACCTCCGCCCACCGGGTACAAGTGATTCTCCTGCCTCAGCCTCCAGAGTAGCTGGGACTACAGGCACGTGCTACCATGCCCAGCTAATTTTTATATTTTTACTGTAGAGACGGGGTTTCACCATGTTGGCCAGGCTGGTCTTGAACTCCTGACCTCAGGTGATCCGCCCCCCAACATGCTGGGATTACCGACATGAGCCACCGCACCCAACCTGCCTTCTCTTTTCATTTGCTGACTTTCCCCATGTTCTCCCCACAGCATCTCCATAGTTTTCTACAAACTACAGACTATTGCTCAGAGGGTGAAGTGGATCCGAGGCCCCACTGGTTCTGGTGTTTTCCACAGAGAGTGTCCCCGGCTGTGCAGCCTCCTGTTCCAGCCAGGACTGGCGGCTCTCTGGGCAGAGGCTCGGCTGCACTGCTGTGACCACCTTTACTTTCACCCTCTGTCCTATTAGGTCCCCTGTTTCCTAATAGCTCTGTGCTTCATTTCGGGTTTATCTCTTCATGTGGTTCAAACCAAGGTTAAAATAATTAAGACTGTATACCAGAAAGTAACTTTGTTCTGCCCTGATACTTGATTGTTTTAGATGGTTATAGAACTCTAGGCTGGACCAGGCACAGTGGCTCACGCACGTAATCCTAACACTTTGGGAGAACAACGTGGGAGATCTCTTGAGCCCAGGAGTTCAAAGTCGGCCTGGGCAGCATGGCAAGACCCCATCTCTACAAAATGTTTTTAAAACAGCTGGGCACAGGGCTGGGCGTGGTGGCTCACGCCTGTAATCCCAGCACTTTGGGAGGCCAAGGCAGGTGGATCATGAGGTCAGGAGTTCAAGACCAGCCTGGCCAAGATGGTGAAACCCCATCTTTACTGAAAATATAAAAATTAGCCAGGCGTGGTGGCGGATGCCTGTCATTCCAGCTACTCGGGAGGCTGAGGCAGAAAACTGCTTGAACCCAGGAGGTGGAAATTGCAGTGAGCTGAAATCACGTCACTGCACTCCAGCCTGGGCGACAGCAAGACTCCGACTTGGGGGGGGTAAAAAAAAAAAAAAAAGAAAAAGAAAAAAAAAAATCTAGGTACAGTGGCACATGCCTGTAGTTCCAGCTACTTGGGAGGCTGAAGCAGAAGGATCACTTGAGCCCACGAGATCAAGACAGCTGTACCATTGCACTCCAACCCAGTTGACAGACCGTTTCACAAACAAGAGAATTCTAGGCTGAAAAGCCTTTTTAACTTTTTTTTTTTGACACGGAGTCTCACTCTGTCGCCCAGGCTGGAGTGCAGTGGCCGGATCCCAGCTCACTGCAAGCTCCGCCTCCCGGGTTCCCGCCATTCTCCTGCCTCAGCCTCCCGAGTAGCTGGGACTACAGACGCCCGCCACTAGGCCTGGCTAGTTTTTTTGTATTTTTTAGTAGAGACGGGGTTTCACCGTGTTAGCCAGGATGGTCTCGATCTCCTGACCTCGTGATCCGCCCGTCTCGGCCTCCCAAAGTGCTGGGATTACAGGCTTGAGCCACCACGCCCAGCTTTAACTGATTTTTTTGAGTCATCAGTTGTTCCATTGTCTCCTAGCTTTTCATGATTGTTTGCTCTTTGTATTCCCAAGTATTTACAATAACCTAAAATTTTAGAAGCCCCTCTTTATCCTCAGGGTTCTGACGCTGGACAGCGATAAGCTTTGCTGTGGGGTCTTTCTCAGTCATTGTCAGGGCCGCTTTCAATCTAGAAGATAAGGTCCTCATTGCCAAGAAACTATCTTGCATTTTTTTGGTTGTTTTCTGTTGTTTTTTTGTTTTGAGACAAGGTCTGTTCTGTTGCCCAGGATGGAGTGCAGTGGTACAATCTAGGCTTGTTGCACCCTCTGCCTCCCAGGCTCAAGCCATCCCCAACCTCAGCCTCCCGAGTAGCTGGGGCCATAAGTACACAACTCCAGGCCCAGCTAATGTTTGTAGTGTTTGTAGACACAGGGAGAGGGGAACGGTGTCTCCCTATGTTGCCAAGGCTGGTCTCAAACTCGTGAGCTCAAGTTATCTGCCCGCCTTGGTCTCCCAAAGTGTTGGGATTACAGGCATGAGCCACCGTGCCTGGCGCCAAGAAACTACCTTGCATTCCATGTTCATTTCCTCCTTTCAGTTTTCTATTCTTTCTGGAATTCCTACTCATCCTATATGGGGCTTCTAGACTTGTTCCTACACTAGTTTTTTCTCTCCTTCTATCTCTGTTCTGCTTTTGGAATATCTCCTTGAGATAATATTAGAATCTAAGCCTTCTTTTGAAGTTTTTTTTCTATTTACATTTTTTAATTTCAAGAACTTTCTTATTCTATTCCCTTTGTTATCCTTTTTATAGTATCCTGTTCCTTTTTCACACAGACAATACTCTTTTGTATCTCACTGAGGGCATTAACATTCTTTTCCCTTTAAGCCCTTTTCTCCCATGTGTGGGGCCTTTCCTCAGATGGCTGGTGACCCAAGGCTGTCTGATCCCACTGAAACACTAAGAAAAGGTTGATAGGAAGCCTTCTGTGAGGCCAGCGCCATCACCAACTTCTCCTCTGCAGGGTGACTGGGGGCCTGGCAGGCAGGAGCTGTAGGACGCTTCTCTGGGGGCATTCAGCCTCCCTCAGCAGGGACTCCCCATCTCCTGCCTGGCCAGGGAACTGACTGCTGGGCCCATTGCTCATTCAGGATGTCCAGTTTCAGGCTGGTGCCGCACCCTGCCCTGTGTCTCTGCTATCCCATGCTGAAGCTTCCCTGGGTCAGGTGCTCTTGGAATTAAACATGAGGTCTCCTTCAGTTGTTGGCAAGAGCTGTCATCTGGTCAAGTGGGCCCTGAAGTCTCTGACACTTACTAGAGGTTTTCAACCCTCCCCCCTTGTTCCTGTCCCCCATCACTCCCACCTCTTGCCTTTCCTGGTACCTGAACAGATGGTCTTGCTTCTCACCAGGATGCCCTGTTCTGGCACACAGATTTCTGAAGCTTCCCTCAGCAGGTTGCCATCCTCCCTCCATTTCCATCTTCCAAAATCTAATCACATCTTGGTCTTTCTTTGTCTATGGTGTTTTCTTTTTTGTGTAAGCCCTTTCCTGTTATTTCAGTAGAGTGTAAGCGGGAAGCAGAGGTAAAAGCAGGCTTAACTACAAGTACCTCCATCTATAAATTGTTTTTCTCCTTTATTCTTCCCAACGTGTGATTATGAAAAGGTTGAAGCTGCCGGGCACAGTGGCTCATGCCTGTAATCCCAGCACTTTGGGAGGCCCAGGCGGGCGGATCACCTGAGGTCAGGAGTTCGAGACCAGCCTGACCAACGTGGAGAAACCCCGTCTCTAGTAGAAATACAAAATTAGCTGAGTGTGGTGGCGCATGCCCGTAATCCCAGCTACTCAGGAGGCTGAGGCATGAGAATCGCTTGAACCCAGAGGCGGAGGTTGCAATGAGCCAAGATTGCACCATTGCACTCCAGCCTAGGCAACAAGAGCAAAAGTCTGTCTCAAAAAAAAAAAAAGAAAAAGAAAAAAGGTTGAAACAAACAGAAAAGTTGAAAGAACAGTACAATCAACACCCACATGCTTTTTAAATGGGTGAGTAATGAGACTTGTCTGTAAACAGATCAGAGAAATTACAGAATTAGGATTTCTCCAACTTGATGATGAAAGCCTGAAATTTCAGGGCTTATAAGAAGACTGCCTATGGAGTAGCCATTCTTGTATTCCTTTACTTTCTTAAGAAACTTGCTTTCACTTAAAAAAAAAAAAAAAAAAAAGTGGATGATGCTTCGTGCCCTGCTGCCCCATAAAGCCTCTGCGTGTGGGTGTGTTTGTCAAAGATATCGTGGCCAGGAGGGGCCCTGTGGCTTCATGTCAATGCACCTCGGGGCCTGCAGCCTCCCAGCCAGGAGTAGCCTGGGTCCCAGTGGTGGCTCCCTCAGCGGGTTCTCACCGCCCCACCAAAAGGCCTTGGCACTTCACATGAAAGCCGCCGCTTACCCCACACACACTGCCACTGGGAGGCGGCTGTTGACTCGTTCCCCTTTGGGCCCTGCTCTGGGAACAGTCCCTTCTAGGCAGTTAACCTGAGTCATGCGGCTTATAGTTCTTCATAAAGAAAGGAAAGAAACTAGCCCTAACTTCTGTAACAGTCTAAGTCACTCTGCGACTGGCTCTCCTCAGCTGAAACCTCTCAGTCTATTTTACTAAAATCTTCCTTGTTTGTAGAGCCGCAGGCTCCTCCCTGGTTAGGAGAAAGCAATTCTACCCACTTTAAGCCTTTAGCTTTTAGTGCTCAAAGACATCTGAGCACTTGCAAGATGATTCCTGTCTGTGCCAAGTGGGGCGTCCAGTTCAGTTCTGACGCCGAGATGCTGCACCAGCACAGGCGGGTCTTGAGACAGTGTGACCCCAAGCACCTGGGCAGCCTCCCAGACAGATCCCAGGCCCCACCAACACCCACTTACCACAACCAAAACAGGTAAGGTCTGGGGATCTGCACTCTCTTAAAGTCTCCACCTGAACCTACACTTGCTTCTGTGACTTCCCAGGATGTCTCCTCCTTTGTTCTTTGAGTGAAGGACTCTTGTTCGAACCTCCAAATTCACCTGCAATTTTTCTGACCTTTACTATGCCCAGAGTGAGTTGCAGGATTGAGGCACAGCCTATCTCTCAGTCATGATCTCAGTGCTCCACTGTTCTACCCTCCTTCGAAGGCATTAAGAATACTGATTCTAGGCTGGGCACGGTGGCTCACACCGGTAATCCCAGCACTTTGGGAGGCCGAGGCGGGTGGATCACGAGGTCAGGAGTTCGAGACCAGCCTGGCCAACATAGTGACACCCCGTCTCTACTAAAAATACAAAAATTAGCCTGGCGTGGTGGCGGGCATCTGTAATCCCAGCTACTCTGGAGGCTGAGGCAGGAGAATCGCTTGAACCCAGGAGGCGGAGGTTGCAGCGAGCCGAGATCACATCATTGCACTCCAGCCTGGGCTACAAGGGCAAAACTCCATCTCAAAAAACAAACAAAAAAACCAGAATAGCGATTCTTCTTTCCTATTCTCTGACTTCGCCTCTAAACTCTAGTACAGAAGCCATATGTGTTTGGGCTGTTTAGTACAGCAGCAATGCCAAGATGTCACTGCTGCCTCAAAGTGGAATGAGCAAGGCCGGGCGCAGCGGCTCACGCCTGTAATCCCAGCACTTTGGGAGCCCAAGGCGGGTGGATCACGAGGTCAGGAGTCAAGACCAGCCTGGCCAATGTGGCGAAACCCCGTCTCTACCAAAAAAAATACAAAAATTAGCTGGGCGTGGTGGTGGGTACCTGTAATCCCAGTTACCCAGGAGGCTGAAGCAGGGGAATCGCTTGAACCCAGGAGGTGGAGGTTGCAGTGAGCAGAGATCGCGCCACTGCACTCCAGCCTCGGCGACAGAGCAAGACTCCATCTCAAAAAAAAAAAAAAACCTGGAATGAGCAGAGTTGGAGCAGATGGCAGTCATGCCCTGTAGCCACAGGAGGCAGCAGGCAGGGTTCGGATGCCCCTCCTGGCAGCATTCTCTCAGACACTGAACACAACCTTTGGACAGGCTGACACAGTCTGCCACTGCAGTCGCAAAAACAAGCTCACTCTTCTAGAGAGATGCAAGTGTCCCAGCGATCCATCTGCCATCACGGATCCACCGTCATCTTGAACTAGAAGTTGGCTTCATTCACTGATTCTTACTGCCGCGTGCCTAACCCTGCAGCACCCACCCCAGACCCTTAGCCAGACACAAGCACTTTCTAAAGCCCAGCGGGGAGGGGTCTCAGAGCCTGAGCTCATGCCTGGGGTCAGGTGGCACCACTCTGGGGGTACACATTGGGGTTTGCCCACCCCAGCAGACCCACTGTGCAACCTGAGGCACCAGAACTGGCTGTCACCCAGAGTACCTGCCTCCACCTTCTCCCCGCTCTGATGCAGGCCCAGCGCCCAGAAGCACTGGAAAGGTTTGGGGGTTGTAAACTAAAAGAAGGAAAAGATAAATAGCATCTCTACTACTACCCAGGTCCTCAAAAGTCCAAATCCCAAGGCCTGGCTTAGGGGAAAATGCAGACTATTGTTCACCCAAAGGAGGCCAGTCAGAGGTGACAGGCAAGCCCTACAGCCAGACCCTGGTGACCCTGCCTCACTGGGACTGTCCCAACCAAATGCTGATTCTACTTCACTCCATGTAGAAAGCTTGAGAATTCTGTCAGGGAATTCAACCGTGAGTGAGTTGCCTGTGGTCCAGGATTTAGTAAAGGTTGACTTGAGGCAACAAACCCTCACCAGTGTCAAGGGCATGTCAATTACCCATTTCTCTGCGGTATTCCCGGTGAAAGTGACAAAGTGCAGGCTGAGTTAGGCAAGCGCTGGGCAAGGAGGTGCACTCACCCAGAGGGCTAAGGGCGGCTGCCACGCTCTCCCCCACGTTCTTCAGGAAATTCACACTGGGATCCTCCGATGGACCAGCAGCTTTGATTTTTACAAAGATAAGATAAAGATATCTTTAATGCCTTGGATACCTGTCACCTTCTTGCCAAGGTCCCTGTGTTCCTGGGTGACCTTTAACCCAGACGCCTTGTCCAGGGGCCCACTCAGCATCCCCCTTCTCCTCCCTCCCACTCTGCACCCCCTGGCCCTGCACCGAGAGCCTCTCCTCTCTCGCACGCCGTTCCCCCTCATCTGCGACCCTGGTGCTCAGCAACCCCACACAGGCTCAGGCTCGGTACACTGTGAATATTGATCACATCCTTGAGTAAATATTTACTCAAAGTCAAGCAAACATCCCCATCTTTGTCCCAGAGGGTGGGGTGATTCACAGGACACAGTAACATTAATAAAATCAGAATCCAAAAATCTAGACTACAAAGCTAAGGGTAAGTCTTTAACTTACAACTATGTTTAAAAGGACTTGAGAAACTTGGGCTCTGATCTTCGACAACCATCACAAAAGAGAACAAAGTGCATCAGAAACTCTGGGCTGGAAGGGCCTCCCTGCCTGCACCTCACGGCACCTGGACAGGGCAGCCTCCTGAGGGGGAAGGGCTATGCAGGTGAATTTGTGGCTTCAGGCACTCACACCTCAGTTTCCCTGTTTGGGAAATGCAGAGAATACTCCCCACTTTGCAGGTTCTTGTGCGATTGTAGGACACCAGGAAGGTGGGGAGGTATCCTGAATTCTTGCCTTGCACACAGGCTTTGCACAAGGGCTCTGCGCACAGGCTGCCTGACTACTGTCACCATTCAGAAGCCGGTTCCAATGCAAGCCTCACCTGATTCCACCGTGGGACCAGGGCGGGCATCCCCCGCACGAGGTGGACGTGGGCTCCAGTTTCCTGGTGGGCCCATTTCCCATCCTGGCCACCCGAAGTGCCCGTGTTTCAGCTTCCGGAGCCAGCGGCTGTGCGAGAAGCCCTGGGGGAGGAATTAGCAGAGGGGCAGGCAGTGAGCGGGTCAAGGTTCCTGCCACCCTGAGCCCACCCCAGGCCTGCCCAGAGGGCCTGCTCACCTCAGACAGGTGCCCGAAGGGGCTGGGGAACGCGAGCTTGGTGTGTCCCTGGTGCAAGCCCTTTCCCTCACAGACGCTACACAAGTCGTAGTCTGGACAGACGCTGCACTTGTAGCGGGTTCCTACCACGGGCCCGTTGCAGCCATCACAGATCACATTGGGGTGCACCATGTTGCGGGGCGCCTCCTGAGCACACGGTGGGCGGTGGTCCCGCCGGCACTCTTTTTTCTCTGCAGGAAGGGCAGAGAGAGCTGCTAGGGTGCGGCCCCCTAAAGTGCTCCCCCTCTATCATCACTGTGGGGCTGTCACTGCCAGCAAGGCCCCTGGAACTACTCCCCAGCATGGAGTCCACACAGAATTCAGCTGCTTAGGTGAGGGCCGCAGAGCAACCAAGAACCTGCTAGGAGGTTCCCAGTCCCTGTGTCTGTTACCTGGGAACCGTGGCCCAGGCAGCAGAGCAGCAGCAAGGAGCCTGGGCTGCATGACTTGGGCCTTGCTCTTCACCCAAGCACCGCGGCAGCAGACCCCATACCTAGGGTGAACACGGACTCCTCTTTCTCAGGTCAGGTCAGGCACAGCACTTAGTATGTCTTTTTTTTTTTTGGACACAGAGTCTCACGCTGTCACCTAGGCTGGAGTGCAGTCGTGATCTGCAGTCGTGGAGTGCAGAGTGATTTCGGCTCGCGGCAACCTCTGCTCTCCAGGTTTAAGCGATTCTGGTCTCAGCCTCTTGAGTAGCTGGGACTAGAAGCACATGCCACCACAGCCAGCTAATTTTTGTATTTTTAGTAAAGACAAGGTTTCACCATGTTGGCCAGGCTGGTCTTAAACTCCTGACCTCAGGTGATCTGCCCGCCTCGGCCTCCCAAAGTGCTGGGATTACAGGCGTGAGCCACCACACCTGGCCTACGTCCCTGTCTTAAACAGCCCTCAAATTACTGACCCCTTCATTGGTGGAACATCAAGCCCTGTTTTTCACTCAGCAGGGAACTGAGTACACGCTGAGCTGGCTTCAGGCAGCCCCTTACCTTTAATGTAGATTCGGAAGATGTCATCCTTCACGTAGGACATAGCCATTGTCAATTCCTCGTCACTGGAAAAGGCAACCAAGTCCCCGTCCTCATCTAGATTGTTTAAAAGACAGCACATGAGCACCCAGAGGTTCTCAGCTGGACATAAGCTGCTGGAATGGGCTGAGACCAGTATGAAAGGGACACTCACAGGGCTATAAACTGGAGCACACCCACTTGAGCAACGGAGGGCAGGAGTGAGAGGCAAGACTGCCCCCTTGCTCTGGCACCTCCTGGAAGGTGAGTGCTCCAACGTGGCCCTGGACCACAGCTACACGCAGCGGGTGGAGGGCCCTGGACCACAGGGGCAACAGCAGCTTCGGCTGCTGCACTTATTTAGACTCGGGCCAGCTTCCTCTTCAGAAACGTGCCACTTCCTTCCACATCCGACCAGGCCCATGTCCATCTTCAACTGTGGGAGATCCCTGCCTGTGACCTGCTTCTGAGGGGCCCAGCCCCACAAAGGCCTTAGACTTCTAGTGGCTTGGGAGTAAAGGAGACGAGGGCATCTGTCTACTTCCTTCCCTAACAAAGCTAAAAATCATGTATTTGTATGTAGTCTCCAGCTGTGACAGATACATGTGAGCTCAAAGGGCTTTAAAGCACAACCGTGCAGACTAAACCACACCATCCACTGTGTGAACAGGTGTGGCACCCAAAGATGCAAACAGCCCAAATGTCTGTCAACTAATGAACAGGTAAAACACAGCCCATCCATACAACAGAATATTATTCCTCCAAAAAAACCGAAGTACTGATGTGTGCCACAACATTGAACACACTACACTAAGTGAAAGAAGACTCCATTGTATGATTCTATTTACATGAAATGCCCAGGATTGCAAGAGGAATAGATACAGAAAGGAGGTGAGTGGTTGCTGGGGGCATGTGGATGGGGGGTGATAAAAGGTACGTATGGCGTTTATAAGGTGATGAAAAGCTCTCAGGTTGAATATGGTCCACAAACCTATGAAAATGGTGAAAACCACTGACTTGTACACTAAATGGGTGAACCCTTATGTCAGTTACAGCTCAATATCACAATTTTTTTTTTTTAAGAACAGGAGAGGGCCTGGCAGGCTGGCAGCACTCCAGAGGGCGGTCCTAGCACTACCCGCTCCCAGGGGCCGGCCTTGGCCACCTCCCTAACCCCACCCCCAGCAGCCACTGGTCACACCAGCGCAGCAGGAAACAGTTCCTGGGCTTCTGTGCCCACACCAACACTTCTGAAGAACGTTCTCGTCCTGTCCCTCTCTCCACTTGCCAGTGGGATAACCTCTGCGCTCGACCTGGCCTGGAGCGTTCCTCCCGGAATCAGTGCCCTCCTCCCAGGCGCTGTCGCGGCGCTCGCGAGTCCCCCGCACCCCCGCGCTTGTTTACCCGCGTCACTCCCTCCCCTCCGCCGGCGCTCCCCGGGCTCCTCCGGGCCATTATCTGAACCCACCACCTGGCGCAGCAAGATGTCAGTGTAACCCGAGTGCCCGCCTGACCACCCACTTCCCGCGGAGAGCCAGAGTTCGCCCCGGCGCGTCCTGGCCAAAACCCCCAACGGCGCGGGGGGTGGGGGGTCTGACGCTCGCAGGCTCGAGCCCCCGGCCCGCAGGGCTCCACCGCCCCAAGGGACCACCGCTGAACAGCGGGTCCCGGCCTTGGTCACCACTCCCGTCACCAGGCTGGCACCCAAGGCCGAACTGGGACCCATGCAGGCCACCGCCATCCAGGGAGCAGCCAGAGCAGACCCCTCACGGCCCACCAGGCGTCGCCGAGAAGCGGGAGGGCAGCCACCCGCGGCAGGAGGCCGAACCCGGCCTGCGTCACCGCCCCCGCCCTGCCCGGCCCGCTCACCGCGGTAGTGCGCCTGGAAGCCGCCGGGCCGCAGCGCGGGGAACAGGGCGGCCACCCGGCTCAGCAGCCGCTCGCAGGGCCCCGGACCTGCCGCGTCCTCGGCTTCCGCCTCCGGCTCGGGGCTGAAGCAGAAGCTGAAGCGGCGGATCTCGCGCGCCGCGTCCTCCTTGCCCAGCAGGTAGGCCTTCACGGTGAGCGACGCCATAGTGAGGGCGAGCTGCGGAAAACTGGCCGTCCGGGTCGCGGCAGACGCGCGGCTTTTGTAGCGAGCGCGGAGGCCCCGCCCCGCCTCGAGAGGGGGCGGAGTCTGTCGCGCCCTCCCAGCCTCAGCCACGGCCGTCGCGGCGCGAGAGCCGCCCTGCAGAGGCCCCTTCACTACTCACCCCTTCCCCGTTACCCCTCGCTCCAGGTCTCCCGGCCCCTCATTGCTGACCCCTCTCTTCACTACCCCAGTGCACCAAGGACCCCAAGAAACCGGCCCTGGCACTCACATAGGCCTGGGCTAAAGCCTCTGCACCTGGGATCAGGGGACTGTCCAGTCCCTCGCCCCTCCCAGGCTTGGGCCTGGTCATGACTCAGCAATATCCTCCGTTGGGGGTACCCAGTGCAGGGAGAGCTGACACAGCCCCCATATCAGGAGGCTGCTAGGTCGCCCAGTGGGCACTGCTGGCCAGAACAAGCTGGCTCTCAGGGTGCTGTTCCGACCCTGCCATGGTCAGCCTCCAGCGGGGGCAGCCCTCTTACAGCGCATGGCACCCTCGCTGATGGCCCCTAACTGGGTTGAGGGACGGACCCCGACTCTGGCCTGAGCAGCAGAGAAGTTTCCAGTGTAATAGGAGTGGAGCTGAGAGGTGCTGAGGACCACCTAAGGTCTCCTGAGTGTCAGTGGTCGCCAAATGTGCACTGTGGCCCAAGCGACTCCTTACGGGTGCCTCAATTCAGCGGGCAGTGCCCATGGCCCTGTGGGGGCTCAGGTCCGTCGGCCTTGTGGGCAGCCAAGGGGGTCAGGCAACAGCCTCCTCAGCTAGGAATGAAGAAACTCTACTTTATGCCACCAAAGTAACTGTCCGCCAGAACTGGGGCAAGGAGAGGGGCAGGACGGGTGGTCACCCTCCGGAGCCTCCCAGGCAAGGTCCTGTGAGTGGGAGGTCAGGACCTGCTGGGTCCAACTCATGCCATTTCAGGCTAGGGCTTGCAGGAGTTGGAGAAACGTCCCAGCGGGGGAAACCCAAACCGAGGGAAGGGAGGCTGGTTGGGGCCGGTCAGGTGCTCAGGTGATGTGTGGGTGTGTGCACAGCAGGGGCTGGCCCACAGGTGTGAACGATCCTTCCGGGAGAGCTCCGCCGCGGGCAAGTCTTCCACCCTGCCCAGAGCAGCACCCTCTGTGGGGAGGGCTCAGGCCTCTCCCTGCATCCAGAGGGGGACAGTGGAAAGTGCCCCAGGGCCTGCTGGAGCCGGCCTTGCAGACAGGGGCAGGGGACACAGAGGGGCGTGCTGGCAGAGGCTGCGGCCTACAGACAGGTGCTGGCCAAGCGTGAGTCAGCAGCCCAGGCGCCTGAGAGCCACGTGGCCCCCGCCGAGGGCCGGCCTTCCTGCCCCAGCCCCTGGCTATGGCTCAGTCTGAGCAGGGTGAGGAACACAAGGAAAGCCCTCTGGCTCTGGGAACATAGCTTTGAGCTCCCCCAAGAAGGAGCTCCTTTGCCTTCTCGCCATTTGGCCCCGTTCGGGATCGTGGGAAGTTTCCGCGGGGGCTGGGGGCAGGTGAAGAGACTCGGGGGTGGGGGAGAAGGAAGCACAGAAGTGGTGTCCTTGGGAAGATGGGGTGGAGACCCCGGCTCAGGCCCTTCCCCGCACGCCTTGCAGCCCCAGCGGCAGCCCTGCCCCCATGCGAGGCCGAGGCCTCCCGGAGGTAAACAAGCCGCGGCGGGAACCCCCTGGCAGGGCCCTCCCTCCCGCCGCGGAGGTCAGGTGGTCTGGCCGGCAGTGAGTCAGCGTCCCATGACTGCTGTCGTAATAGGGGGATCCCCGGCCCCTGCTGCCACCCATCTCAGTGACCTCTTACCTGGAGGCTGGGCAGTGGCTCCGGGGTCACTGTGAGTCCCCTGAGCAGGAAGAGCGTGCAGCGGCCGGAGCCAACCAGACCCTGTCCCCCTTCTCCCGTCTGACTCCTTCCCCTTTCCCGATGCAGTCCCACCCCGCAAGCTCCCCGCGTCCATTGGCCCCCTTCCCGCCCTCCAGGGCCCCCTTCCCACCCTCCAGGGCCCGGCGTGTATGCCCAGGGAAAGCTCGGCAGCTGAGTTGGAGACCCACTATGGACCAGCCTCTCATTTCCTCATCTTTCAAATGGGGCTGAAGTGGGAGGACTTGCGCTGCCTTACCAGGGGATGGCCCATGAGTGTGCGAGTTGTTTAGCTGCTTTTGGGGCTGTACGCTGGGGGGTCAGGGCAGGGCAGAGACTGCAGGCGGCCTGAGGTGAAAGAGTGGGGAGGGCAGGAGAGGCCTGAGCCAAGCGCCCAGTGGTCCCAGGAGACCAGGCGGTTGGCCACAGGGGTGGTCTGGTTCTGTCTGTTGCTGCCCCACGTGTTGTAACCATCTCCTCAGTTTCCCCTTCCCCCTTCCCAAATAATCCCATACCTTGGCAGTGGCGTTCCCAGGTTCCCTTCTTTTCTTTGGAGTGTGGAGTCAAGTGTCCGCGTGGGTGCTGGGGCAGCCAGAGACAGGGCCACTGAGGGATTCAGGCTGCACTGCTCTGGGCCATCTTTAGGGAGATTGACAATCACAGAGGACACAGTGCCTCCAGGCCCAGCCCTAGGCCCAGGGGATGAGTCCTCTACGGAGGTCCTGGTCCGTGAGGGGACCTCCAGGCCTTGTGCACTGCAGCCACTCGCTTCCACTCAGCCCTCCCTACCATCTTCCAAATCATGCCAGCTCATTCTACCTGGTGACTTTCCCTGGCTCTCCCTCTGGTCCGAAACCCTTTCCCCTCCTGCCCTGCAAGGCAACTTCCCACCCTAAATGTCCGCTCCTCAGTGGGGCCTTCCTTGACCACTCCCTAGGAAAAATCCCCAGGCACTGGACATCACTTTTTTTTTTTTTTTTTTTTTTTTTTTGAGACAGTCTCACTCTGTCACCCAGGCTGAAGTGCAGTGGCATGATCCTGGCTCACTGCAACCTTTGCCTCCCAGGTTCAAGCAATTCTTCTGCTCCTGCCTCAGCCTCCCAAATAGCTAGGATTACAGGTGCCCGCAACCAAGCCTTGCTAATTTTTGTAGTTTTAGTAGAGACAGGTTTCACTGTGTTGGCCAGGATGGTCTTGAACTCCTGACCTCAAGTGATCCGTCCACCTCGGCCTCCCAAAGTGCTGGCACTGCAGGCTGAGCCACCCGCCAGGCCAGACATCACCCCCTTTTAGCCCTTTCAGACAAGCCCAAAGCCCAGGCAAGAGGTGTTGGGGCCATGGGAGGGGCACGCCCAAAGGGGTTCGCAAAGATCTTTCTGAAAGAAAAGGAGTTCAAGTCATGGACTGACATGGTTAGAGAATTCGGTGATGCCAAGTTGTCAGCCGTGAGAACCGCAGGGACCCTCTCCTACTGGAAGGCCAGAGCTACAGAAAGACATCCCCCTGACTGTCGGAATTTCTCCAAATAATTTCAAATATAGCCTGCCTGGGGACGGGGCGAGTCCCTGGGCCCTCAGGGGAACCGAGGGGTCGCCCATGTGGGGGGACATTGCCACATGGGGGCGGCCCTCGCCAACCGCGGAGTGGGGAAAAGGGGGAGGGATGGAGGAGGAAGCCCGGCCGGAGTGGGGAAAACCGGGAGGGATGGAGGACGAAGCCTGGCCGCGTCTGAACGCACAACGCGGAGCGGGAACCACAGCCCTGGTCCCCAGAAAGCGTGCGCGGCCCGGGGCAGAACCTGCTGGGGTTCCAGCTCCGGCGCAAGGGACGTGGGGTCACTGGAAGACGGGAAATGGGCCGCCGGTGGGGAGGAGACTGGACCCGACCCCGGCCCGCCCCACCCGAGTGGCGACGCCAGCGCTGCCCCCAGGCGTGTCCCGGCCCCCGGCGCGGCTCCGGCCCAACCGAGCACGCCCGCGGGCGCTTCCCCTGCCCCGGGCAGGAAGCCTCCCACCCGCGTCGGAAGTGGCCTGCCCGGGGCCACCGGTCTGCAAGTCCCCGTGTTCTCGAGGTCCCTGCCTCGTCGTCCCGCGCACTGTGGCCGGCGGGAGGGGCTGAGAGGAGGGTTGTGCTGGGACCTAAGGCCCCGCCCCCTCGCCAGCCTCTCCCTTCCTCGGTCACCCGGTGGCCGGAGACCCAGGGGCATTGCTGGGGTACCCCAAAGCGTAGGGTTAGCCTGAGTGTGGAAGGTCCTGAAAAGGCAGGAGGGGGCGACAAGGAGTAGGGAGGGTGGCTGGGGGAAGACGGCAAAGTGACCCCGGAAGGGTCCAGGCGCCCCAAGCCCATCGAAGACTGGAGGCCCTCAGTGAGGCCTGGGGGGACTGTGGGAAAAGCAGCTCAAGAGGAATCTGGAGCGAGGTGGGGGAGAGGTCAGCATGGCCTTCTCTAGGAGCGCCAGCCCCAGACAGAGCGGTGACAGGCTACATCAGGGGTACCCCATCTATCCTGAATTGGCCAGGAGTGTGGGATCCCGTGGAGGGGCTGTCCCCAGAGCAGGAGCAATGGCCCTCTCCCTCCCCTCCACTTGCTCCCCTCGAAAACCTTCTGGAAGAGGCTGGGCGCAGTGGCTCACGCCTGTAATCCCAGCACTGGCAGGCCAAGGTGGGCAGATCATGAGGTCAGGAGTTCGAGACCAGCCTGGCCAACAGAGTGAAACCCTGTCTCTACTAAAAATGCAAAAAATTAGCTGGGTGTGGTGGCAGGTGCCTGTAGTCCCAGCTAGTCGGGAGGCTGAGGCAAGAGAATCGCTTGAGCCTCAGAGGTGGAGGTTGCAGTGAGCTGGAATGGTGCCACTGCACTCCAGCCTGGGTGTCTCAAAAAAACAAAACAAAGAAAAGAAAACCTTCTGGAAGAATTATCTAACTTTGAGGATCTAACCCTTCTTGCTCCCAAGGCTTCCTAGCAGGGCCTGCACCCCAGGGCGGGTACTTACTGCAGTCCCTCACCTCCAGCTCTGCATACCCACAGCCCAGTGCCCGCTCTTCCCCCTCAGCCTCCCGACCAGACTCAGCTCTTCAACCTCCCTGGAGTCCCTGTGCACCCACTGTGTTCTGTGCCTGTCCCTGCCCTGTGTGGGCTCAGGTAGCTTTGTGGGGTGTGCCCCATGTGTCCCATGTGTTATAACCCTGATGGTCTGGAGCAGAAGGCGTGGGGTCATCTGTGGATAAAGGCGTGGGGTCATCTGTGGATAAAGGGTG